GAATTTAGATATCGGTAGTCTATATAAAGTCGAAGACTCCCGTCTTTCTTTAGTATAAAGATAATAGGGTATCTAGCCTCTAATTTTAAGACTTAGATATATCCCTTTAGTAGATTCTCCTTAATATAATCCTTAAGTATATCGGACTCTTTTTATAATAACTAATAGATAGGTATAAAAGTTAGTTTAGTACTTTCTATCGTATTAATCTTATAATTAAAAGGTCTATATTTCGGTAATACTCCGTTAGCCGGTACTATAAAAATATCTATAAACTCCTAGTATTCCCTCGGAATCCTAGGTATATCGCTAATTATATATAGCTTCTTATATTTAATTATTATATAGTCTTTTAACTCCTAGTCGGATATATCTAGTGATTATTCTATAGTATCTAGGGTAACGCCTATAGCTAATACTCTAGTCCTTTTACTTCGGGACTATTTACTACGCTTATTTCTTTAAGTAGACTTCTATCGATATATCTTATATTCGTCGTATATCTCTATATATATATATCTATCGAATAAAATATATCCCGACTACTAATCGATACTCGGGTTATATTTCTTAAGCTATAAAATACCTAAAATAATATTATAGTCTCCCGTTTTTAAGATATTAAACCGTATTAATTCTAGGTATCTATAGATAGATATAGGTAATATAATAGTTTCCTCGCTAACTCCTCCTAAGAGTACTTCTCCGTCGAGTCCTACGACTAGTATTACGTATAGTAGGGGTTCGGTTATAACTTATCGATCTTCTTTAAACCTTAGGTTTATAAAGTTATTAGTAGCTCCTAAATCGATAAGAGTCTATACCTTCCCTATAGGTAGAATCGCGTATAACTTAATATATATTCCTAACGTTATTACCGCTAGATATATCGTTAGTCGATCCTTATAGTCGTATATCTAGCGCCTATTATACTAAATTCCTTAGTATTCCTTCGTCTATTATAGCTTCTTTATCTACTATAGTAGTTTCGGTTCGATACTATAATCTAACTTTACTAACCTATAAATAGTATACGTTTCGTCGTAGTATATAATACTAGCTATCTTACTATATCCTAGGTATCGCGTATATCCTTTATACGCGTAAATAGAATTTTTATAAGGGTATCCTACTAAGTCGTCGCCTTCCTTAATTACGTTAATAAAGTACTAGTCTAGTCTACTAGGCTATATCTTTCCTTCGAGATATCTTATAAGCTCTTTAGCTTCTTTATTATTATAATAGTTTATAAGGCTTTCTATTAGTATTTCTAGGATAGTTTAATCTATTCTAGGAAGCGTATCTAGCGTTCCTAGATTACTATTAGCTCTAGGGATCGGGTTCTATATCTCTAGAGGTCCTATATCGTTTATCCTAAGACGATTATAGTCCTAGGACTTCTCTATTCTTATAATTATAATCTCTAGACCTAGTAGGTCTTATAACTACCGACCGAGGTCCTCCCTAGCCTTAAGTCCTATTAGGTCTTAGATTAGTACCTAGGGTATATACTATATTTATCCTTAACTTTCTACTATATCCTAATCGATTTCTAGATAATCGAGTTCTAGCTCGTCGGCTAACCCTTTAATATATAGGTTACCCGCTATTATCTCTTCTAGGTTAAGGCCTTAGTACCTACCTATAAGATCTTCTAAGAGCTTATCTCTTAGGTCTATAGCGACTCGCCTACTACTTTTAAGGCTATCGATAAGGGTCCTAACCTACCCTCTTAGGTCGCCCTATTACTCGTTAGGGTATATTTCCTCTTAGTATTCCTAACTAACGCTTATTTCTTTAGCGCTAGTACCTATACTAGTAGTAGCCTTTCCCTCTTAGGTCGCTTATAGTACTTCGCGTATCGCCTATATATATTACTATTTCTTATATAGTTTCTTCTATTTATATTCCTTCGCGCGGTATCCTAGTTTCCTATAAATAAAATAAAGATTCTTATTATAATACTCTTTTTACTTATTATAAGTAGTATCTAACTCTATTAGCTTCGGGCTATATAGATCGTTATCCTATAGTATCGCCCTCTCGCGGCGTCTACCGAATCGGTTAAAGCTATATATCTTTCTACGTTTCTATAATTCTATCTTATATCGTTCCCTTCTTCGTTCGCTATTATAGTTATCGATCTTAACTATAATCTTAATAAGTTAATTAAGCTCTTCTAGCTAATCTATTCGCGCTAGTTTATCTTTAATATCGGATTTTATTCTAACTTTAAAGTAAGGAAGGTATACTCTATCTAGCTAATCTAAATAAAAGATAATTTATAAGAACTTAGAGGTATAGCTTAATATAGTTCCGGTTTATCGGATTCGTTATAACTTTTTCTAGGCTATTCTTATAGCGTCGATATCTCTAAACGTATTTTCGAGGTATCGACGGAAGTTATAATACTCGCTAAAGATATTTATTATAGTATCCGACTATTCTTTAGATTTCTTTCTATAATAGTTATAGATATAAGATTCGAACTAATCCTATACTTAGCCGCGTAAGTAAGTTAATATAAAAATTACCTTACCGGCTTTATTAGGTATCTTAGCGCTATTTATATCGAGGTATATATCTATCTAAGTAAGGAATCCTCGAAGTTTAATTCGGTTTCCCTTAAAGAACTTAGTCTTAGATAGTCATAGTACCTAGATAGTACTAATAGGTATAGAGGCGTTAACTTAAGCCTTAATCTACTTAAGGTAGTTATCGACCTCGCTAAACTTAGTACCGCTTTACTTACCTAAGTTATTAAGCTAATCTATAACCTTTTTAAAGTTATATTTAAGTTCGCTAATCTTTCGCTTCTATTCTATAATAGTATTATCTCGTTCGATATTAGAGTTAGGATCCTCTATAGGTAGAGTAACTTACTCCTAAATAGGCTTCTTCCTAGTACTAGCGTAAGATATATTACTTATCGTAACTCGAAACTTAATTCGAGATAGTCTTTAATATATTATATACTAGCTAACTAGTTATAGTTAGGTTAGATAGGTTTAGGGTATACTTACCTTAATACTCCTCGAATAGTCTAACGTTAATAATCGGGTCTTAATTAAGCTAATACCGCGTAGGGCCTTATAGTAGCCTAAGTCCTTTTAAGCGATTAAGGAACTAATACTAGGTAGAGCGCCGAGTAGATCTATACCGGGGTATTAGTCTACTCGTAAGTATTATTAAGTTATAATTAAGTAAAGAGTTATAGTAATCTAAAAGGTAAATATAAGTAATAATATATAATTAAAGACGAAGAACTAAACTAAGTATATAAAGGAGTGTCCTTATATATCCTTCGTTTCCTACTCCCTAAGTGACTCCCTTAGAGTCACTACTAGAGTCGCTAGTGACTCCCCGGATATACTTCCTAGGAGTAGGTCCTAGAGTCATAGTTACGTATTCTAGGCGGTTACGGGTAATCGATATTATTATAAGGTAGAATTGCCATTTGCCCCGTAAGGGCCGGTAATAGCTACCTTCTAGCGAACCCTTTTCTACCAGATATATCACACGTGATCTCGATCTATTGGCTCTCGATAGCCTATTGGTGTGCCTATGGGTCACCACTGATTGGTGACGGATAGGTCCGTAACACTTAGGGTCTATATTTTATAAAACCTAGGAGATATTACTAAGATAGCATCTAGGAACTAAGTTAGAGTATCATCTGCTTCCGGCATTTTCGCTCTCTTATACCTTACCTATACGGTCTCCTAGTTTAATAACTACTTATCGATATCGGTATTCCGATCTAATCCTCGATCTAGGGTACGCCAAAGCTAATAAAGCCTAGCTATATTTGTTAGATTATACTCGGCGGCGAACCGTTATCGGAGGTTATAGAGGAGGTTATATAATATCTTAAAGTCGATAATAAATAGTTAGTAGTTAGTATAGACGCTATTCCGAATAGCTATTACTACTACGTTTAGTCCTTTCTTCTACTAGGTATAGGCCACGTTGTCATTAGCCCATTCTATCTATAGTATCTTATATATATCGACCTATTGGTCTTTATACTATATTTGTGCTTCTACAAATGAGATGACTTTCTTAGGTACTACTAGTAGCTCTAGTCTCTTATTATTGCTAGGGTCATATAGCTCCTATACGTCGAATTGCACTACAATCGATTCAATATTAGCTAGCCATACATCCTATGTCGTTATGTCCTTTAGTATAACGCGAGAGGATATACCCGCGGAGAGGTATTCAGCTATATTCGTTGTCCTTTATAGACAGGCTTCCGATTCTTAATTTAGGGGTTGGTTTAGGGGTTGGCTTCGGCGACGGGGGTAACGATACAATGTCACTTTGACCTCAATTCGACGATAGCTAGGTTTAATAGAACGATTCCGGGCTTATAACTGACGGAAAGCTGGTGTACGAACAATGTATGGTATAAATGACCAATGTTGATAACTCTAACTAACTAAAATGACAGAACCCGCTATTTCAACAATCTGTGCGGACCATGATGACTAACTATAATATGCACTTTTGTATGGTATGCCTGGTACCCAATGTCACATGATGTTTCCGGTATATTACCTGGTTTCTACCATGTATTCGGACTTGGTATTCGACAGGTCCTCCAGGGCTATCCGTGAGGGCTATCTATAGGGGCATCAATACTGGAGGGCATTATGAGGAAGAAAAACCAATATATACACCGTTTAACAAAGTATATTGAAGAAAAAACAAGCAGGGGAGTAGAAATGGTGACGTTTGATAGAATGGTAAATTGACATAGATCGACCTCATCCTTACAGCACGAATCACATAGTTCGTCATACACTCAGGCCTTCTGAATAACTTTTTCATTAATCAAGGTTCTTTAGACAGCTGAACTTGTTGAGCTAGTCTTTGTATTCAGGGGTTTACAAGTTGATTACTTCCAGAGTCAGCTTCACATCTCCATTTATACTTCTCCCTTATTGGGAGACTCCATTTCAAGTAACAGTTAATCATACGAGAGCCTTCCTCGTAAGATGGATCAAGATACGCCCCTAAATACAAGGTCCCTAGTCTTGCAGCTGCTGCTGGAAGACGTGAAAGACAAGATCGACAAGTTCGAAGCTCAACTGCTGAAGGATACAAACCAACCAGCCAGCAGGCTAGAAGAACTAGAGCCCGACAGGAGAGTGGCCCTCCATACATGGAAGTCCGAAATCGAAAGACAAATAGTAATATTGAGTGACTTTCAGCTGGCTACAGCTCTGTCGCTAGGAAGGGAGGCAGAAGAGGCCCCGTTGCCTAAGGAAACCAAGACATTCGCCGAATTTATCTCTAGTGCTATTCAAAAGCTAGGTCACTTGCTCAAGAACATCATGCATTCCATCAAGGTCCCGAGTCCAGTCGAAGCCTCCCAGCCTGAGACCTGCACGTCCTGCAGAGAAGTCTGCAGCGAAATCTTCAAAACACAATGCTCCCACTTTTATTGCAAGAACTGCTTAATCCGCACGGTCACGAAATCCTTACAAGATGAATCCTTGTTCCCTCCTCAATGTTGCCACAAGCCTATTGAAGGCTCAGGTATGGAGAAGATGATAGGATTTGCATTAGTTCAAGAACAAAAGAAGAGGGCAACCGAGCTCAGCGATCCAGACCGAACCTACTGTTCAGATTTAACCTGCTCTCGATATATCTCGCCAACCATAGGATTTTGGCCAGCTTTTACTTCGAAAACGGTTGGTATCTGCAAGTGTGGCGTACAAACGTGCAGGAAGTGCAAGAGCAGTGCCCATAAGGGCAAGTGTCTATCTCAACTAGACAAGTCATTGGAGAAATTGATGAAGAGACAGAAATGGCAACGGTGCAAAAAATGCGGCCATTTGATTGAGCTCACCCAGGGCTGTCATCATATCACGTAAGTGATTTTGCTGGCCATTTCTAAGCCTCCCAAGCAACTCCCGAGGTCGCGAGGTCTTTTACTGACACCCGATAGTTGTGTTTGCAGAGCCCAGTGGTGTTACCACTGCGGGGAGAAGTGGAAAAATTGCGACTGTTAAATGTAGACCGAACAGAATCCGAGCGAGTCATTTTCATGAGTCCAGGTTATTCTGACTGAACTTAGTCTTGGGGGGTAAAGTATGTGGCTTTAGTACACTTGGCTTGGAGGTATATGGGATCTATCTCTGTCAGATATCTGAGATTGCTCAATCACTTACATCTGAGTGATGTACCGTTGCCTGATTTTGCTCAAGGCAAGCTAATCCATACCTTTAAATTGCTGTACAAGCGATAAATGATATACATAGCCTCGGAAATATACTAGATGTGTGACAAAATGGTGGTAGAGTGAAAAGAGAAGTTAAGTTGACATTCTATATATCTGGAAGGTCAGTAGGTTGATGTGTCAATCATCAACTCCACGTTTGTGCCTATACTCTGAGACTTGACGCTTTTAAAATATCGCCAATGATACGCCGTTGTGTATTATTTGTGTTGCGTGAGGACCTTATTTTCCAGGCATTGACACCGGTATAGTTACGTAGTTTTAACCTCTCCAATTTATTTTCTTATATTTCCTCTTTTGCAGATGCTCCAAGTTATTCCAGGGAGTTTCTCTAGGCTTTTAACACGCCTCCATTCAGAAAAATTTGAGTACTCCCTTCATCACATGGACTACGATATAGATCAAGGTACGAAGTCTCTAGACTTACAGCTATTCTGGTGAACATGAACTAGGAGGCCAACAAACCACAAAAGAAAATACAAACAAGACAAGGACTCACCCTTGATAAAATACTGGAAGAAGGGTCAGCATGAGCAACGTCAGTATGGGTACAACTTTGTCAATGGGATTACAGACAGAAGACGACTTGTCCAAGGTCGAGAAAAAAGAAACCTCTTCCAATTCCCTCCGTATCGACATCCAGCAACTCGGTCATTCCATCGAAAATGCCATCAATTTGACTGATTCCCCAAACTCCGAGATTTGGCATGAGTGTGTCTCCTGCCGGGACGACCACCTGCAAGATGAAATGATCAAAACCAAGTGCTCACACTTTTATTGCAAGGCTTGCTTGGTTCGCCTGTTCAAAAATGCTTTGCGTGATGAATCCTTGTTTCTCCCCCAATGCTGCAAAAAGCCAATCGCGGCCTCAGAGAAGATTCTCGGATCTACATTGGTTCAAAAGCACATGGAGGGGCGATCGGACTCAACGATCCAGACCAAACCTACTGTTCTGATTCAAAGTGCGCTCAATATCTCCCACAAAAGCCCACACGTAATCGTGTTTGCAAATGCTTGAGCTGTGGAGTATGCACATGCAGGAGGTGCAAAAAACGCCATCATTAGGGAACCTGTGTGTATAAGCTTGACGCACTTCTGGAGGAAGTGGCGGATTCTAAGCAATGGCAACGATGCTCTAATTGCAGTCGTCTGATTGAGCTCAGCACAGGTTGTTATCACATCACGTAAGGGAAATTTCATTTTAACCTCTAATTATTCCCTTCTTCAGCTTTGACAGTGCAGGTCTCTGGACTCACATCTGCTAGGTGTTTTTGCAAGTATGAATTTTGTTATTTTTGTGGGAAACAGTGGGAAACAGTGGGAAACAGTGGAAAACGTGCGACTGCAGCTTCGCAGACGAAGAGAATCTTTATGAACGAGATGTCTGAACTAGCCAACTCAAGGAGTGCTTCAGGTTTGCCTTGGAGCGAACCGGATAAGGTATGACTGGCCACCTGGGAGATCGTTATGGATGCAATTGAAGTGTAGTCGGAATGGAAGGGTAGATCATGTGGTTTACACGGTTGTTTTTGAGTGATCTGATTAATTTTCGCCAATAACGAGGCATTTTCTGACCTACGGAGGTTACCAAGTTGATAGCTTTGGTGCTGCTTCTTAATATCAATATCTAAGTAAGAGCAACAGACTATAGAGGACTAGACACATCTTAGCCATCATAATTACATAGTCCTCAATATATGTAGATAGATTCTACTAGTAGTAGCCTTTTCTGTAAATACGATACAAATTAATATCTTATAATCCTTTCTACTTTATACTCTTCATTATGACTTCACTTATAAAGGAAGATCTAGCAAACATAGCCAACGTTTTTGATCTTCCAAAAACCATTCCACCCCACTTTGCAAGAGTACGATTGGGAGACACAGAGCAATACTGAGAAACTCGGGAGACGCAGCCCTGTCACCGGGAGAAACGGCATCATCAGCTAAATATATCACCTCGGGTGATAGCGACGAGGACCTCCTCGGTGAAAGCTCAAACGACGATATCGCTGAAACCAGCGAAGAAGAGACTGAGACCCGGCATGCGTGTACATCTTGTACGGAAGAGTATCCACTGTCGAATATTTTCCAAACGGAATGTGCCCACAACTATTGCCGCGAATTTATTCTGCGCCTTTCTGAAAATTCCCCTACGAACGAATCCTTGTATCCTCCTCGATGTTGCCGCCAGCCAATTCGTGCCCCTACCGCCGTCGAGGATATGATAGGCATTGAGATGACGAAGAGATCCAAAGAACGGAAGACCGAAACCAGCGCCTCTGAGAGAACTTATCGCTCGAACAAAACCTGCGCTCGCTATATCCCGCCACATAACATCCGTCGCGGGGTGGGAATCTGTCAGTTCTGTACGGCTCGAACGTGCGCCGGTTGCAAAAAGCAGGGACACAGAGGTGATTGCAACTACGAGGATACCAATAAGCAGAGAATTGCTCGTGATGATGCGAAGGCCAATAATGAGAGGGCCAATGATGTGTTGCTGGAAGAACTAGCAAAGAAAAAGAAGTGGCAACGATGCCCGAATTGCTCTAGAATGATATAGCGTGTGTCTGGCTGCATGCATATACGATAGGCTGAATGTTGCCCCCATAAGCTCCAGAAACCATGAAGACTGACCACGTCTACTAGCTGTCTGTGTAAAAGGGATCTCTGTTATAAATGTGGGAAAACATTGTGGTTCTGCAAATGTTAGTCTTACTGTCAATTAAGACTCTATCCAATATATGGATAACAGTCTGAAGGCCATGCGGCAGGGGAACCGAGGGTTGACGTGAGTAGAAAGATGGATGATATCAGGTATGAGTATAGGAGATTGAAGAATTATTCACCGGTTTAATTTGTTTTAATTGCCTTGATATGCTGTGTTAGTGACTTAGGCTCATATCCATAGCTTACATCTGTGATGAGCTGGCAATTCTGATAGCCAAAATTAGAGTCAATTAAACAGAATATGAGCGCTGCTTTTCAGATAAAAGAAGGGTAAAACATGTGATATCTATATATATGAAAGGGATATATTCCTATAACCACTCACGATGCGAAGTGTAGCCTTACTTGGTCCTCCGGGCAATACTCCAAGCTCGCGATATTTCTAGATCAGGCAATATCTAGGGTATATAGGATGACCTTTTCGGTATCCTAGTCACAGGACTTAGCACGTTACACAAGATTGAAATATGGATTATGCATTTCGATTCTCTCAGTACTCATCGTTTTGCTCAGTTCTCCTCTGTCCTAGTCTTCTTTATCAACTTCATCAACTTCATCAACTTCATCAGTTTTTATCTGTTCACTCGTCCCCGCTTCATCCTCACAACCGCTCTTCCGGCTCCAACATTGCGTAGATAACCTTGATGTACATGAATCGCCACCCATCTCTGGCCATGGCATGTTTTATGGCGTTGCATCCACCTATATGGCTTCGCGCAGCGTTGGCGATCACATTAACTACTACGTGCACCACACCAACATCAATTTCCGGCTTCCTACGAGCCCGGATATGCCAATCCTGATGGCGCCCGCGGGAACTGGAATAGCTCCGATGCGCGCTTCCTGTAAGAGCGTGCTGTTATCGCCGAGACTGAGCCTCGCCTCGGCAATCCTGTTCTATGGATGCAGCGACCCAAACAAGGACTTCATTTACAAAGACAAGTTGCGGTCCTAGGAGGATAAGAAAAGTGTAACTGTCAAGCCAACCTTCAGTAGACTGCTCGATGGTTCCATTCCACGATGTGCAAGATGTCACTTGGGAAAACGGGGAAGAAGTTGCGCTTCTCTTCCGCTCTGGAGGTAATATATTTTTACGCGGTAGCGTAGTACGGTTGGGGCAATCTGTAGCAGAGTTTATAAGAATATTTATATGGAGCAGAAGAACAAGAACGATGAAGAGGCGGAGTGGTGGCTGGAAATCGTGAAAACCAATGGATATGTGAGTGATGTTTATTAGTGTTGTATCTGTTGTTCATGCCTTCCCACCTTCGCTGCTATTTATTTGAGAAATCGCACATCATGTCTTTTGTCTTTTTGCTGGCCTGTTACGTCCAGATTCTCCATCATTTTCAAATTCTTTCTTCCAAGAGCCATCTTTAACCTTAATATCGTTCCCATGTAACCCAACACCATAAGCATGCTTCATACCAGCCAGACATATCTCCCTTCGCTCATTGAAATCGAACATTGGCTTTGGATATGTGTGTTCAAAGTCCTCGGACCCAGAGGAACCGCCATCTCCAGTGATCCTGCACCCCCATTTCTTCTGATCTGCAATGGGTGCTTTCCAGGGCTCGTATATATACTTTTTGTCAAACTTGCCTAGTTCGGGGCAATATCTTCTGATAAGGGAGCCTTCTGGGTCCCATTTCTTTCCGAACGCAATAGGCGAGTAGCAGCGGTAAAATTGAGCGAAAAATGCCGTGCAGGAGAGCCACATCCAGTTTCCCACATTGCAAGCGACTTCGTCTACCGTCATTTTGTTAGCCCCCGTAGGAATCGTTTGGATGAAGACTCACGATCAATCAACAATTCTTCAAAAACCTCTGCACCCCGCTCCCATGATACATAACACCCGCCTCGAGTCAGAAAGCAGGCAACGCTGTGTCTTCCTAGATGATGGATCCAGCCCTCTTGCTTCAGCTGGCGCATCAAAGCATCGATCCATGGAAATCCGGTGCGACCTTCCTTCCACCGTTGAAACCATTCCTCCGCTTCTTGCGAGTCCACATCGTAGGACCCGTCGATTAGCCCATCTTGATTGGGAGGGTTTGTTTGAAGATGCCAGTCGATGAATCTAGCAACCTCGTTTCCATATGTATGCGAGAATGACTGCCCAAGAGGTGCCTGGGCGGCGAAGTACATATCGCGGAAGAGCAGCTGACCAGGAAGATTGGTAGGCACAGTTGAGACTGGCTTTTTGGCCTTACGCTGTTTCTCCAGAACCCCTTGAACATCCCACCAAAACTTCCGCACGGACAGCGAACCGAAATGAAGATGGGGGGATAATAATGTGGTTGACTGGGGCTCGAAATCGGCTGGCGATGTATTCGGCTTTTCGAACCTGCCGATATAACCCTCATTTTTGATACAATCTCCTAGTATTCTCAATGCTTCTTGCTCGCCTCCTCGATGAGGCGTTGTCGCTTGGGAAAGATCAATGCCGATGTCTTGCCAGGGAACAGCAAAGTCCCTTGTGGGACCCATGAGATCAGAATATTGTTCATCTTTCTTGGTACGGTGTTCCGCATTCAAGTCTGGCTGATTATCAATGGAGTCTCGTTTGAGACTGCTCAAGTCCATACGTTCCTCATCCCAAGGATTGGGAATGCTTTTAGGGGGACCTAGTGGCTTCTCCGGGTTGCCATTGTTGATTTTCACGGCAGCCTTTTCCAGTTGGGTGATGCTCATTGTTGGTTTGCCATTATTTTTCCGGACAATTTCATCGGGGTCAAACAGAGTCCGACCCATCTTAACAATCACCTCGACACCAGCCTTCCGGGCCAACTGCATAATTTCATTATCTCGGTCTCGAGCATACGCATCTGTGTCCTTTTCAAAAACGAGATGTGTCACACCCCAATGTTCCCAGAGTTTGGGAAGAACAGTCTCTGGTCCCTCGCGCACAACGTGGAGCTTTTGTTTCGGATTGAGCTTTGTATATGCATTGGACAAATCACTTTGGCATTCAAGCAGAAACTTCCACCTGTTGGGTCCGACTCGTGCTTTATAAACGTAATGCTGGTCCCATGTCCAAATTGGAATAAAGACCGATGGGTTCAAGGACAGAGCGGCATGTAAAGCTGGGGAATCATGAAGCCTCAAGTCGGTTCTATGCCAGTACAGGACCACTGGGTTTGAGGCAGCTCTAGTTTCCATGTTTCTAGTAATTGGTTAGCCTTTCTGGGCGCATTAAACCGACAAATGCTGATGGGAAAAAGAAATGTGGGAATGCGGGACAGAAAAAAAAAAGCAACAAAAGCCTGTTAATGCAGCCCATTACAAAATATGCAAGGTCTCTGCCAGACCTACATACCAGATTTCCTCTGCCACTTCTTTACGTATATCTTCATCCCCGCCGTATCTTCATCTTTAGTGCCTATATCGTTGTATCTACTGTGTTCACATTCCTCAACTTCAATAGATATGCTCCTGATCGATGAGCTAAAGATGACGGATTACCAAAAACCTTATACCGTGAAGCTTAATCTTCACCTTTATTCTTCGTTAGAGGATCTCACAGCTGTTGAGGCCAGACTTTCAGATATAGATGATTCAAATAACCCAGACCTCGAGTCGAGTGTTTTAAGGCACTCCCGGACGATACAATTGAAGTTATCAAGTCCTCGGCTAGCGTTATACGTAGGACTGCAAAAGAACAGAAGGAACTTCCTATTGAGGTGGTGAAATGCCTGCGTTTTATAGATGTCCCACCACCTATTGCGGAAAATTTATCTTTGAGCTCTACTCGGCAGATATTCAATCATAACACTCGATGTATGATTATAAAGCTCTTGACTAGGGCCTATGAGGTAGCTTCACGCAGTCTAGTTATAGAAGTGATATATGTGGTACGCGATATAGGACTGTATAGGTCGATCTCTATAGTAGGGTCTTATAGCGTCCGAGATAGTCCCTATATAACCTGTTATAGGTCGCGATATAAAATGGCCGACCGTTACGGTCGAAGTTAGAGAGTCACTCGGAAAGCTAAAAGCTAATACGGTATAGTGGATCGTAAACTCGTAGGGCTAAGTTAAGCTTGTAGTTATTATATCAATCAGTCGGAAACCCTAAAGATCAAATCTAAGACAATTTTCCTAGGCCCAGGATCCTTATAAAGCGCGGCGATCCCACTTATATGATAGTTTATTATCACGAACGGACAAAATCCGACGCTCCTATTATCACCACCCCTATAGAACCTTTACTTATTAAGTTTGGGGAGATATTCTATCGCTAACTTGTTCCCCTAGAGTATGATATCGAAATCCCACTTGATCAGTTAGGAAATATCTTATGGCACGTCTAGATAGAGCATGGCTATAAGTCCACCGATCCTAGAGTATGGAGATTTTTCGGTTTTACTATTCTTAGCTCTATTAGCTTTGGTTGTTCGTTTATGGTACTATACGCTAACCTATCTACTCCGAGAAGTAGATGCCCAAAAAGAGACGGCTGTCACGCAGTTCAACAATTTCTACGAATTCGAGTTTTTCCGAGCATCTGATGTTCATAACGTCAAAGGTACGATGATGATGATGATGATGATGATGATGATGATGATGATGATGATGATGATGATGATGATGATGATGATGATGATGATGATGTTCTCATTAACCCGATGTAGCCCGCTATTACAAACGTCAAAGGTAAGGGACTCGATGAATACTTCTACGGAGTCATCTAACCGGTGACGTCATTGGATGTCAAGCGCCATATTAATATGATTCTTACGAAAACTAGGTATAGTTATCTTGAATTGGTGCTATGTGCTCAATGTGCATGGAACATCTGAGATTATTGAAGTAATAACCAAAAGAGCATTTCACTGGGGGATAAGACCGCGGATTTCCTCCTTAGACAGAATCTTCAGGCCAAACAAATCGTTAGAAACCTTCTCAGAGTCGAAGAGAGTACCAAATCCTTCACCAAAGATAGCCCGCAAAATGAACTTAGTAGCAAAGATCCCCGGATTGGGGGCCGGCTTGGCCAGTTCTGCAAAGGCCTCCTGTTCCAGGTCTGTGGTCTTAACAATATTCGTCTCAATGCTCTTGCCAGACAACTCTAGCAGCTCATTCTGTGTGATTCTAGCTTCATTGATATAAATTGTGGAGTTCTTAGTGGTTTCCAGGTTGTTGATGATTCCAACAACTCCCCTGCCGATGCCGGCGACAGTCGTTGCGCTAAAGAGGCGATCACCGCCATCATATAGTGTAGCCGGACCAGCAAAGTTGAGCACGAAGCCCTTCTCAAGACCCCAGTCAAGGAAAGGACCGGTAATGAGCAGCGAGTAGCTGAGCCCAGATTGCTGGGCGACGTTCTTGAGATGTTCCTGAACGCCAATCTTATCGCCAAAGACAGGCAATTTGGCAGTGTGGGGATTTGTGGTGTCGCAGCCGTATTCCGAAGGGATAAACCGCTTAACACCTGTTGCCACTGCTGCATCGATTAAGCGCAGATGGATGGGCTTGGGAACTGCGCCGACATTTAAAGTGCTGACTACAGCATCCTGGCCGGTCAGAGCAGCCTTGAGCGAGTCGAGGGACTCATAGTCCACCTGTGCGACGTGGGCACGGGAATCAAAGGTCTTATCGCTACCCTGTCGAGTGAGGATAGTCACGTCAAAGCCTGCGTCGAGCAGCTCCTTGAGCACTGCAGGGCCGAGATTCCCGCTAGCCTGGGGATCATGTTAGCGAACGAAAATGTATGAGGGTGATTGGGCTGACATACTCCGGCAAGGGCAACCTTGATGTTTGCCATGTTGAAGTTGAAATATAAATGTGGGAGGCAATCACAGAGTTGGCTTTTCGAGTGATAATTGTAGGGCTGGATGCAGTATTTGAAACAATGAACAGAGTGAGTGTTAGATGTCTAATTCGAAGGCCTCTGATGGAGGGGCTATGGCTCTTTATAACTCCATGATACCGAGGCATATTCGCACGCAATATTATTATAAAATGAGCGATTACAGAGCCATCGTACTACGTGATACTACATGATTGAGAACGATTTCAAAGGCATTGATTGCGCTATCAATGGATGACGGGATTAAATCCGAAATTATATAAGCTTACGAATCAATACCCCTTCCCGAGGTTCCCGGGAGGACTCCAGGCTATACTATTGGCTTACCCACCTCGAATTCCGCTCTTGGTTATCAATCAAATTCACCTAAAAATATCTCGAGTAGTTTAACTTGATAACAAATCCTCCGAATCCCCACGCTTGCGATGGTTAGTTAGTTTAAATATGTAATCCCCTTGACTGAATAATTAATACACCATTTCACGCCTCCTTCTGGCACCCCTTCAATCAGAACCTATGTATCCGACAGGAATTGCAGGCTTGGAGCCCACAATGCCTGAATTCGAAAATGTAATCGGGCATCAAGCCGCCACATTCCTCGCATTCGGCAGAGATCCCGAGCTTTTTCCACGCCCCATCATGATAGCAATCATGCTGCTCAATTAAGAACTGAGCTGCTCGCTGAACAATCTGTGGTACAGGAGGAGTGGGCTGGTTCCGAGCCGCAATCAGCTTTGCTCGCTCTTGAAGCATGGCCTCATCCCAATGAGCACATTCGCACTGCTCCCATGGTGTAGAGCAAACGTAACAAAATTCATGTCGGCAACGGCATCTAGATAAATGATCGTGTATTAGCATGTGTAGCCATAATGTCAAAAAGTTTTCAGGTCCACGGGAGAAAGTTCTTACGTGAGATGGTTGCAGCCGCTACGAAGCTCAACAAGATGACTGCAATTCAAGCATCTTTGCCATCCTTTCGCTTTTCCGAGTTTTAGGACCTCTACGCGGTCATCAACACGTTCTCCCTGATGAGTGACCTTCTTGCGGAGGATACAACTTTGTCGATTGCATACTCTGCAAGTTCCAATTGTACCACCGACATGTGATGGGAGAATGTACCGAGAACAAGCCGGATCTGAGCAATAAGTATGACGCTTTATCTCCATGCTCAATCTTCTTTTCCTCAAATCTTGCCCACAGGTCAGCATCGATGATACCCCGCGCAGCTTCCAATGGCAAAGGTAGCCGGCAACAACGAGGTGGAAACAAGCTTTCGTCGGCTAGTGAATTTTGCAGGAGGTGGGTGACACATCCTTGGCAGTAAACATGTGAGCAACTGTTCCGAATCATACCGGACCCGGGATAACTTTCCGAGCAGGCAACGCACTCCCGCAAGACATCAGAAGGAGGCACCGTCACAGGAGTCGTAGTATACACTCGCTTGCGAGTTTGAGTCTGAACATCTGAGTTGAGAATCAAGCCCGATGTGCCACGAGATTGTTGCAGTTGAGGTTCTTGTGGTTGACCCTGTACTGTGGTTGAGGAGGTGCGCGGCCGGCAGGTCGTACATGAGCTGCCGGCGCTTCATTTACCTCGCGATCATGGATGTCTTGAAGAATGGCGGCCTGATCGAGACGTGATTTTCTCGAAATCCGTAGGGCCGCTCGAAGGTCCTGTTGGGCCCTCATTCGTCCTCGAAGCTCGGCTCCCGAGTGTAAAAGAGCAAGTTTCTCATCACGAACCTATGCTCTTCCATCATTTTCATCCCGATCTAGTGATCTCAAAGCCTCTTCAACCTCCTGTAGGGAAGTTTGTAATACAAGATCCGCTGTCTCAAGGTCCGTTGCGTTGGGATCCATAGTGACGATATTGATATCAAAGCTAGAGTAGGGAGAACGGGTTCTTGGGTTTTGTATGTTGAGGACAATGTTAACTAAGATGTAATGAGAGACTTGCATTGGATGGAAAAGGAGTGGAAGAGACGAGCCATGGAACCACACTTGACTCTCGGCCCCGGGAGTAGCGTGCAGTAATAAGTGCACGGGAACATGAGGAGTCGAATTTTTGGGAAAGAACGAGGGATCAGAAAGGGAAAGCGGCACTTGGAAAACGCTTGGAGGGAAGGAAGAAATAGAGGAGAGCAATGAAGAAGTTGGCTGGATCTGGAACACAGGCCTGATCTTCAGAGCCCTACATCATGTGAGTGAAATCATGAAAGATAATGAGATGTAATTAACACATATTCTAGCTACAGTATTTAACATTGTCTGTGAGGCCATTGAGAACAAGACAGACTATTTTGAGCCCAACAAAGTTCATGTCATCATTCTTCTTTTGCTTGGTGCAATTCCTTGGACCTGGTCACCACTAAAATGTAAGTGGATAATGTACTTGGGTAGAAATAGCTTGCGTATTATTGTGATCTCCTAGGAGACATCTTAGTTCAATATTCAAGTGTTTGTTTAATTGCGTCGTAGGTTCCTAGAGTAAGAAGACCATCGGTTAGTGATAGGAACGAAATATAGGACACTGGGTACTCACTTGCAACATCGGGCAGAATGAATTGCTCGTAGCTCAGCCCAGTATGTGTGCTCCACCCGGCAACTCGCTTGACGGGAGCTTCAAGGCGCAAGAATGCACTATCCTGTATCGTAGATGCAACCTCTGCACCCACACCATAGTTGATCATACTCTCATGCACAACAACGGCTCGACCCGTCTTCTTGACACTGTTGATTACAGTTTGTCTATCCCATGGATATATAGTTCGCAGGTCAATAAGTTCGACACTGACACCCGGCATGGTTTTCTCAATGGCGGAAATAGCCGAAGAGCACATGTAAAGAGGTTGTCCATATGAAATGATAGTCAAATCCTCGCCAGGTTTGATGACCTCAGCCTTACTGAGGGGAATGGTGTAGTATTCATTCGGGACATATTCCACGGCTGCACGGTAGAGGATCTTGGGCTCCATAAACACCACCGGATCATTGTGTTCGAAGATAGAAGACAGAAGGAGTCCTTTTGCTTGAGCAGGAGACCGTGGCATGACTACTCGCAAACCGGGAATATGTGCAAAAAGCGACTCTGGGGATTGAGAGTGGTACCTATGCAGTCAATTAGTATGCCAATTTTCTTGGCACTCGGATACAACACAACGTACAGAGCACCGTGTCCAACCGCGCCACACGGCATGCGGATGACGAGACCCCCAACATTAATGCCTGTCGCACCCTCTCGATACCGAAACTTGGCTGCCTCATTGACAATCTGATCGAACGCTGGAAATACGTAGTCGGCGAATTGGATCTCAGCTATAGGCTTCATCCCTTCCGCTGCTGCCCCAATTGCAAACCCCGCAATGCCTTGCTCTGTCAAGGGGGTGTTGAACACTCGATCCGACCCAAATTCGGTTTGGAGGTCCATCGAGCATCGGAAAACACCACCAAATCCAACATCCTCACCAAACACGATAGTTCGATCAGATTTAGATAGTGCTGTCCGTAGTGCCGAGTTAATTGCTTGGTAGAGGTTGAGTCGTTTACTCGTGGCACCTGCTGGGTACTCTGATGTATTTGACAAGGAGGATGAGGTGTGGTGTAAAATTGGAGTCGTTTTGTAGTCAATAGGTAGGTTCAGCTTCGCTGCCGGAGTGGGAGCTCCGGAGTAGAACCGGCGAGGAGCTTGGGCAAGAGATCGCAAAGGAGTTCGTAAGGAAACCATCTCTGGCTAAGATTGTGGGATATGGACAGAATGTAAATACATAAGTTTTCTTCTCCGTAGGGATGATTACCTTTTAAATTTGCTCCTTGTTCATTGTCCGGGGCATGGCGCGGGGAAGCCGCCGCGGATAGCCGAGATGATGCAAACGGGACAAACGAGCCAAACGAGCCCAAACGGGACTTGTGACGAAGTATGATGAATTGGCCAAAACAGTAAATAACTAAACTGAATATTGTATGTTAAAATGAATATTTAGAATACGAAATCATGAAGCCTTCTAGATTGTATCTTACAAAGTATATGCATGCTGATTGCGTACATATCCTCCCTTCTAATGGATCCCGAGATCGGACTGTATCTTTTCTCTAATGTTATCTTCGGATGTAAAAGGCGAAACCGCATTTTTCTCATTCCCTGAATGGGAAACATGGTAAAATTTGAACTTGGAATATTCATAACAAATTTGAAAAGCTTATATATCACTTTGAAGTCCATTGAGCTCATATATCTGTTCTAGGAGTAAGTCGGAGTTGATTCGGACAAAGATTGGAGGGGCAAATAGCTATCTTATCAGGGCTATCAGTTCGGACCCGTGACTTGTTTCCCCGGCCCACCAAAATTGCCATTTTTTCCCAATGACTCAATCTTCCTTTTGTTTTATACACCACGTCTATAAATCTTTTTGAATTTTACATTCAATTCCACACAATGGCACAGGGAAAGGTATGAACTATTGCTTTCGCGCTATAACGCTACAACTCCTTTCTCAGTTCCCAACTTGATTTCCAATTCTATCCCACACCGCCACCCGCTCTCTCCACACTTTCTGACATCTCGATCCCACAGGTTTGCCTCGCCTACTCCGGCGGTCTTGATACCAGCTGCATCTGTATGAATATTACCGGTCAATTCATTCACCAATTGCAGATACTAATACCGAATTACAGTGAAGTACCTTATTGAAGAGGGCTATGAGGTCGTCTGTTTCAGTAAGTCGCGATTTAATACCATGTCAATCAAGATCAAGTACTAATATGAACATAGTGGCCGATGTCGGTCAGGAAGGTAATTCAATTCCATCGACATATCATCCGACACCACTCTAATAACTATTCGCAGAGGACTTCGAGGCTGCCCGCGAGAAGGCTTTGAAGATTGGTGCCCTCAAGTGCGAGATTGTTGACATCCGCCGCGAGTTCATTGAGGAGCTTTGCTTCCCTGCCATTGCTTGCAATGCCGTTTACGAGAACGTCTACCTGCTCGGTACCTCCCTGGCTCGCCCCGTTATCGCCCGTGCCCAGATCGATGTCGCCAAGGTACGCTTTACTTCTCCGCCAGCAGAAAAGATATCATACTGACCCAAATTTAGCGCGAGGGCTGCTTCGCTGTCTCCCACGGCTGCACCGGTAAGGGTAACGACCAGGTCCGCTTCGAGCTTGCCTTCTACGCCCTCCAGCCTGACATCAAGGTCATTGCCCCGTGGCGCGACCCCGTCTTCTACGAGCGCTTCAAGGGCCGTCAGGACCTGCTCGACTACGCCGAGGAGAAGGGCATCCCCGTCACCTCCACTAAGTCTAAGCCTTGGTCTATGGATGAGAACCTTGCCCACTGCTCTTACGAGGCCGGCATCCTGGAGGACCCCGACACCACTCCTCCCGCCGACATGTGGAAGCTGACTCAGGACCCGCTGACCGCCCCCGATCAGCCTGAGGACTTCACTCTTTACTTCGAGAAGGGTGTCCCCGTCAAGCTCGAGTACACTGAGGCTGGCAAGCAGAAGACTGTTACCGACTCCGTCGAGCTCTTCCTCACCGCTAACGCCATTGCCCGCCGTCACGGTGTTGGCCGTATCGATATCGTCGAGAACCGTTTCATCGGTATTAAGTCCCGCGGCTGCTACGAGACCCCCGGTCTCACCTGCCTGCGCTCCGCACACCTGTGAGTATTGTATTGCGAAATCGAAACGGTGGTGGCATAACTAACCTTTGTCCAGTGACCTTGAGGGTCTTGTCATGGACCGTGAAGTCCGTGCCCTGCGCGATTCCTTCGTCACCTACAACTACTCCAAGGTAAGCATGGTATCTCCGGTATCCAATTCTCTGATCTAACATATATAGCTCCTGTACAACGGCATGTACTTCTCCCCCGAGCGCGAATTCCTCGAGTCCTCTATCACCGCTTCCCAGAAGTCCGTCAACGGCCAGGTCCGCTGCCGCGCCTACAAGGGCACCGTTTCCATCCTCGGTCGCTCCTCCGAGACAGAGAAGCTCTACGACATGAGCGAGTCTTCCATGGATGAGATTGGTGACTTCTCCCCCGCCGAGACCACTGGCTTCATCAACGTGTCTGCCATTCGTCTCAAGAAGTACGGTCAGATGAAGGCCGCCGCTGGCGAGAGACTGTAAATTGTGTTACAGGAGTATGACATATCTTCAATTTTGAATGATTGGAATGCCAAATGTTGACCGTCCCTGGCTTCCTCGGGCCAACATGTCAAGTCTCCCTGTCCAATGTTCCACCGATGCATAATGGATGGTGTTGGGCTTGAATGACTGTATAATGAACTAGAGAGAAAAAAAAATGAACAATATGGGAATTGGTATTAAAAATGCAATGTCTTGGATGAATTGAATGATTCAATCTTCATTATGTCCACAATGAAGTGAAGTATTTGCATTTCTAAAGATATATATACTCTTGAGTCTACTCGCTAGATGGTAACAATAAATGAGATATGAACAGGAGATGCATCGTATCGACAACGCCTACAGATTCGCATTGGCCGTGATCTGCCCTTGATCCTCTGCCCGCAAGTTAGCACATGACCACCAGAAATATAAGGGAACATACCATTCCAAGTATCCAACGCTGCCTTCTCTGCATCCCAACCCCAAAGAAACTCTTGTGTCCTACGATCCGACCACTTATCGGGGTTATTTCCGCTGACCGAAGCCTTGAACTGCGCATCTCGGGCAATTTGCTCAGGTCCATCTGGCAAATGTAACGTAATCCGATTCTCCGATCCGGACTGCTGCACTGTCTCAGCACGCTTCTTCCGGGACTTTTCATAAACACTCAATGCATGCGGAATCTCCTCGCGCGATGAGATAGCGGACAAGACGACACCAAGCGCGGCCGCATCTTCAACAGCCTGGGCAGCACCTTGGGCAACATATGGACTAAACCAACGTGATTAGTCTTGAAGCCAACCAGCCAAAATTCCATGAGCACCTACAGCATGGGATGACACGCATCACCGATCAAAGCGACGGATCCCCGGATCCACGTCCTCAATGGATAATGCAGACACAACTTCCACTCTAAAACTTCATTATCATCGACTAGATCAATAAGTTTTCGCACCCTACTATCCCACCCATCATAGTTGTCAACCATAGCCTGCTTAGAACCCTTCGTGGTCCAAGACTCCTCAACGCCATGGCCATCGGGATGAAGCAAGACAACATTGTACAGCTCATGCTTGCGCACAGGGTAGGCGATAATATGGCGCTCAGGACCAAGCCAACGAGTCGCCTGCGGCTCGTCAATGAGCTTCTTCAATTCAGAATCCTCCTCCATAACGTGTCGAGGAAGCATAATGCGGTACGCCGCGTCACCAGTGGCAACTGCTTTAATAGTTGAGTCTTCGAGCAGGTGATCACGGATGGTGGACTTTATTCCGTCTGCACCGATTACCACGTCGCCGCGGATGATTTCGCCGTTGGCTAGGCTAATACTTGCTGGGCTGAACTTCACGTCTGTGACGGGCGAGTTCTCGCGCAGCTCAACGTTGGGCAGGGCCAAAGCCCTGTCAATGATAGCGTTGTGCAGGTCTGCGCGGTGAATAACGACTTGCTGGCCGAATGTCTTATTCACTGGCATTGTGCCGAGGAGTTTGCCGTCGTCCCATCTTCGGACGTGAATGTGTTCTAGGGCTACGTCTTGGGCGTGAATTAGGTCCGAGACGCCCCATCCTGATACCGGTCAGCATGGGTTTTTTCTTCGCGTAAGGCAGACTCACGGTCGAATAAACGCAACATGTTTGGGGACACTTGAATTCCAGCTCCCACTTCCATGAGCTATTATGAGTGATTAGTCTTGCTTGAGATAGCATGGATCTTCAACGACACATACCTTTGGCGCAGCTTCAAGGACAATGACATGGTGTCCTCGAAGACCTAGTGTGAGGGCTGCTGCCATACCGCCGATGCCTGGTTCGATTATTGTTAAGACAACCCTTTTCTCGAGCCAATGCAGTTTCATCAGTGTTCAGAAACAACATACCAGCACTACAAAACATTAGTATACCACTTTCGCATCTCTAACCATGCATAATGGAAAACATACCCGACAACAATCACCTCTAAAGGCACATTTGCGCGTGGGACCTCCATCTTGACTTCCGTTATGGGATGGGATTGTTATATCATAGAGACATAGACTTCGAATGACGAGCTTTTGGCTGGCAATCCCGGCCTTGAAGTACCCAAGAAATTACCACGTGTGTACTCGTTCAAGGGATTGCCGTTCCACCCGTCCTTATAGACCCTATTTCGGGGAAAGAAAAGATGAAATTGGCCCGATGCCGAAAAAAAAATTTACACAATTTCTCATTCCGAGCTGCTTTAGCGCCTGCACTGATCCACAGCTTACCCCGTCAGCTTATTTGACCAGAGGAATTGGAATGGAGACATCATTTTCCTAAAACATCTGGATTCTTCAATGCGACGGTACTCTGCGGCACCCTGTGGGGCTACCGGGGTTCCCCAAGTTCCCCCAGCATTGCTTAACTACCGAATTTGCCGATTGAAACGTAGAGTCCATATCATTACGGTGTTACAGATGATATGTTCTTTGACATCAGCCCAGCTCAATAACTGTAAATGTAAAAAAAAAGCACATACTAATATTATCTGGCTTTGGGGCGTGCCTGGTAATCCCGATCGCCTGTTCGTTGCCGACTGTTCGGCCCAGAATTAGCCAATGGGGGCAGTGCTATGCTAAATCCCCGGCTCTTTAGGAGCCCTCCATCTGCCGACCACAGTCAGACCATCCCATTTTATTCGGTTTCGTGACTTCGATCATTACGACAGCTGTTTTGGCTACGCATGTTGCATATTGATGGGATTGACGGCAGATAATCGGATTGGGCATTGCCGATTGACCATTGCTTTTGATTCAACGGTTCGGTGAGTACCTTACTGATTTATTCAGTAGACTATTAAAGCTCGCGGAACTGATACAGTTCGTCATCCGAGCAACTGTCGTTTCAGAGGACTGCTCATCATTCCATGCTGGGGACAAAATTGCAATGCTTTATACACGCATTCTTCGCCAGGTGGTGATGATGTTAGCAAAACTACTATAATTACGTTGCCAAGAGACCGCACAGCTCTATCTCTTCAAAAGTACCTTACATGGATGTTGATTTCCAGATTTCTATAACATGCGGATATATAGACAGGATAATGTCTGCCGGGTGGGGCCTTTCCTATCTGGGCTGCCGCCACTTTATGAGGGCGCTTAGGCTCAGGATCAGTGAGCATGCTCAAGTTCGGTCACGTATATAATAACTAATCCGCGACTTGCTCAGTGAGTGCTCAGTGATACCTTAGTAACGCTCAGTAAGTACCCCTGATTTGTATAACTCAATCTAGACCTTACCCAATAGAGACAAGCCCCACAGGGCCATTTATTCTATAATGGTTAGTACGTTGACGATATTTAGGCTGCGCTCGTTTTCTAGAGGATCCCTTGCCCCTAAAATAATGCGTAATGTCTGTCAGGCGCGAAAAAGACGGCGAAGGCCATCCGATTAGGGATAGTCTAATCAAACTTCCCTGTCTTTTTTCAGTACGGCGGCCGACTCTATTACGAAATAAGGCTAGTAGTGTCAAAGATGATCCTATTCCTATAGCATAGCTACGTAAGATATCACCCAGAGCTTAGTCATAGGTATATGATAGTGCCGTCACAAGTAGACCTCAAGAAAGCCCACCCGGCCCACAGCCCAATCCAACCCAATCCACCAAATGGGCTGGGTTTTGGGCCTATGCTTCGGGCCCATTGATAGGCTATGGGCCCGGAATGAAAGCCCATAGGTTTAATAGGGGCCAATTATGGGCCCCTATTATGAACTAAACAATACAAATATGCCAATTTATCGTAGGTATATAATTAATGTATTTTTCCTGGTTTTCTTAGGTATTTAAATTACTGTTACTATAGAGAAGGTAGTGATTCTAAACCAACTATCATGTAGATTGATCAATCATAATATATATATCTCTTTATTCTAATACTCACCTAGGTACGAATTCGTGGACCACGGGTCAAATTGGATCTTTTTAGGGTGATTTTATATGAAATCTAGTATCATTATACTAAAATAAGTATAATATCTACTTAATTCCTACTTCTTACTATAATAATACAATAAACTTAAATTCCTCGAAGTATACCCTTAGGCCCGAATTAAAGCTTTTAAATCGGAGATAAAATTAAAAATAGCTTTATAACCGCCGGTTTAGTACTATTTATATGTAACTAAGTAATCTTAAAGCTTAATATCTAGCTTCGAACCCCGAACCTCCCTCTAAGCTAGGGTAGTAATTAGGACCCTAAAACCATATTAAACTATATCTAGTTATAAAATTAAGTATCGTTAATTAAAGCATTACTTCGTATAAGATTAAGGAGCCCTCTAAGTCCTCTTAATTCCGCTATAAACTAGATTTTAAAGATATACTAGATCACTATATAATCCGCCGCCTTTCTTAAGAAAGAAGTAAGCGAATTATACGCCGCTAATAAGAAGTAGAAGTAAAAGCGTACTAGATCCCGGAGGTAGATACCCGCTAAAGAAGGCCTCTTAGTACTAGAAGCTTCTTAATTGATTACTAGGCTCGTAGAAGTAGATAAAGCACCCTATACCGGTGCCGGAATATATAGAGAACCGGTTTTAGAACCACGTACGCGGCCTATACTAAGGTATAGTGGGTGTAAAGGAACCGGGCATAAATTCAATAGATGCCTAGCTAGATAGATGATTTTAGTATATTTAATTTTATGGAGTTATGGTTGAGATAAATATATTTAAATTCAATAGGTTGGGTGGGGTGGCCGGCTCGCATGTGAAATACGTTATTTAAAGAGAGTATAGTAATAAAAGAATTAAGGCCGTTAGAAGGCCTGAAAAATAAATAAATAAATAAAATAAAGCTATTAGAAGGCTTAGAATTAAAGGAATAGATAACTCTTAAAGCTAGGAAAATATAGACTTTAAGAACAAGGGTGTATATCGAATACTAAGTCCAAATATATAGTAGAAACCAGGTATTATACCGGAAATATCATATGATATTAGGTACTAGGCATACCACATGAAAGTGTATATTATAGTTAGTCATCGATGTCCGCATAGATTGTTGAAAAAGCTTGTTTTGTCAATTTAGGTAGTTAGAGTCTTCAACATTGGTCATCTATACCATACATTGTTCGTACACCAGCTTTCTGTCAATAAGCTTACTACTAGTAAACCTTTAATTAGATGCGTTAAGGAAGGCCAGCATATCACAGCAGTCACTATTGATGACGGATGCTCGTCAACTACCCAGAATTGGTTTTCTGGAAGGGTAACTACTTGGGCTTCATGGTCGTCACCGCGTCCAGGCCGGAGTTGAACCCACCCCCCAGGTTCTCTAGTGCGTCCCCACTCTCTAGTACGTCCCTACTCTCCAGCTTGTCCCTGCTGACTGTTGAGAATAGCCGGTCTGATTTATCTTCCAAAAATACTAAGATCCAATGGATGCTTATATGTTGACGAATCCTCATTCCGGATCCACAGGGAAACCACCATGTTCCAGATATGGATTTGGCTCTCCGTCAAGCTTTGCACAGGTCCCATATATCCTCAAGGTCCGAATCAAATCATTCCCATCTTTCTTTTGATCCGCCAACATATCATTGCAATGTAAGGTATGAGGAAAAACAATCGCCTGGGAGAGCACATAAGCGCCATCCTGTCTATTCTGCTGATTCCTGTTCACGGCTCGAGCTAACAACCGCCAGAAATACAGGCAATGCGCCTGGTGCCAGTCATGCGTTGCCCAGATCTCAGGCATTTCACTGAGAGTATCTGCGTCTTGGGAAACAGCCTTCTGGCCCTCTGCATCCGCATACCAGTTAAAGACACCCGCCATGTGGAATGGTGCGAAACGGGAACTTTCTGATTGTACATCGGCGGCTAGATCGGACTCGTAGCATGCGGGTGGGATCCAGCAGTAGATCATCACGTCGAAGATACAACCCCTGGCCTTGGCTTCAGCGTTAGAAGTGCCGCATTCTATTGGAAGACCTTGGTTGGAGAGTTTCGCCGCTGGGGGCCAAATTGTCGTGGGGGTACTGTTTTGTGCGTGGCCCTCGGGATGGTTATCGGGCTCATGATCATGATGATGGTTATCGTGATCCTCGTTGGTGGTGTCGTTAGAAGTGACCAGCAACCCCAAGCCAACGATCAGGAGAAAAGCGACAAGTCCAATAAGGTATAAACGGCATATTTCCCAAACCGGGCGCATACGGTTCGATACGCAATGGCGGGCCCTAATTCCTGCCAGATACTTTTCATCGTCCTCGAACGGTCCGTTACGACGAGCTAGATCTTCCAGGTCAACGTCTGGTGATCTGTCGGCAAGTTCGAGTTCAATTGAGCTGTTGGATTGAGAGTCATGGTGCCCGATGAGAGGATGGCCAGCTTCCATAGTGCTGATGCTTCTTCCCTATGGCCAAATGCAAGTCGAATACGTGATGAGGATGTGGGTGCTCTCGAACTAGGCCGCCAGGCAAAGGGCAAGAGAAAGAAAATGAGACTAAGTCTTTAAAATCAGATTACAAGTACCCTGGGCATAATGTGCGATTCATTTCTAAAGTTCTTTGGCATTTTTCCCCCTCTCCGGGGTCCACCGTGAATATGCGCCCCCATCTTATATGATACGGTACGCTGTTGTATATACCGTATTATAGCATAGGTCCACAGGTCTTCGTAACAAAACACCAGAGGATAGCACATGTACTTCCGTGGGATGGATGATCCTTCGGAATCGTCGGAGGTGTTGATTGAAGCATGTTGCATTGCATTGCATGGCTGCCTATTACACTGCATTGATCAGCGGTGGAGGATCACACGCTGTCCTTGGATCAAGAGGTTGGGTGCCGTATGAAATCATTTTCTCGGACCAACAACTATAGAGAATCTCGAGGTCCTGTTCCACGAGGATACTACACATGACTTGGTCCAGCACTCGGGGCTACGGGGGCTGCGGTGAGATTCGGCCCCCCAGCAAAAGAATATCCCTCGCTTAGGCAGTATTGTGACTGGCACTAATTTACAATGTGCAGGTAATTGAGAATCAGTTTGTTTCAATACTACAATCATAGACCTGCATCTATCCCAGCTAACCATTGCGAAGGCCCCACTCTTCGGCTCGGAGCATCTCGCTGCAAGCCCCCGAAACTATAGAATTTCCGTTCCCAAATCGCCATCATCGGGATGGTTGTCATACCACTGGAAAATGGTTTTGAATTTGTGGTTCTGGTTGACGTGTCAGTAAATAAGTTTCCTTGTTATCCTCAATGAAGTTGAAAGTCTTACCATGATAAGAGGCTCGAAATCTGCTGGTCGTCGGAGGGCCCCGAAAACTTCAATAGGGACAGAGTGATCATCGTGGTATTTCAAAATAGCGCCAAAGTCACGACACTTGTGGTTTATGCTAAAATCGGGGAAGGCATTTTGCTGGGCATCGATCCATGTATGAGGGTAGACGTCCACATTGGCGGTGCACATCAGATTCTGCAACAGCATATACACGCAGTGGCTGACATGAAGGCGATGATATTCATTGTTTGTATCTGAATCAGCGTAATAGTAGTCGTAGTTATCTTTGAGATGCATGCGAAGACGATTAAGGCAATGGATCTGGTGGAAGACGTCGATACGGCCAATGTAGGCTTCTTTTCCAAATCCGAAAGACTCGGGAAATTTGGCCGCGCGAGCTGGATCCTTGCCATGGGCAGAGATGTATTCGTGACTGATAGGCACTGGTCTTTGACTTTCGATTCGGGCCCAGGCAGCGTCAACTTCCGGTGAAGGAGGCTGGCGGAAGATGGAGAGCGGCTCGGCTTCGAGAAAAGTGCCATTCAATCTTGTCGAAGTGAGGGGAATATCAATCTCATCAAACAACGGCGCTGTCAAGAGTTAACTTCAGTTCTCTTCTCTTCCTTTGTTTGGGGTCTACTACATGGTTCTGACGTCTTTCTGAGAAGATTATTCCTCTGCTGGGACTCTTGAGGGGGAAGATGCATGGATATCATTGCCATAGTAAAGAGCCAAAGCGACAGAAGAAAGAATAGACCATTCAGGATCATGCCGTACCGCTGCCTTTTACTAGGCCAAGCATCGATATCAACCCCTAACGAATCAGGTGCCTCCAGTGAGCCCTGCTCTTTGTAGTTGTCTGGCTCATTGTTGACGGAGGTGTACTGCCATCGGCGAAAAGAGTCTCCCATGAAAAACATATTGGGTAGAGATTGCAAAGAGGAGTGTTACCTTTCGGAGCGTGTGCGGATCATTGTTATATCCTCGCACTAGAGGCGGGGTCCATGCTTAGGCCATCCCTGTGTGCGTAATCAGACCTGATAAATCCGACTCTGTGGGCACTTAAAAGGCATGCAAGTCTCCCTGTGAGTATTTCAGCTGTTCTTTCTCTGGTCTGAAGATTTTGGCTTGTAATCATGGCAATTACATACGGCATGCTAGGCAGTCACTCTATATTACAGCGGAATTGGCTCCTAATCACTTTATCTACGGGATTCCTGGTCATACTCACCTCAACTACCCTTTTATTCGGTATTCAGTATGGGCGTTTGACATCTTTCACCAACCCGCATCCGCCCTCGCACCCATCCTTGAACCCACCATCTGAGATATGGGATGTTCATCATGTTCCAAACCCGCCACCAGTCTTCACTCCCATGCTTTTCAGGGAAATATCCCATAGCAACTCCTTCAATTCAGCAGAAGAAGCCGCCCAGGACCCGTCCTGGTCACAACTGTTGACCCATGGTGGTGGCTTTCTTCATGTTCAAGAATCGGACGGCGAGGTTCACGGCTATGGTGTAAGCATGTTTCACCAGCTTCATTGCCTGATGATGATTCGCGACATGCTTCTTGGAAAGCCCATGTCACACGCACATGAGGCATCGGACTGGTCAAATGACAGTATGCATTGGCTGCATTGTTTGGACTACCTGGCGCAGGTCAGTATAATGAATACCGTTTAGCCCTCTCGCGATTTTCTCTTCTCTTTGACTGATCCATGATTCTTCTTAAAGGGTGTTCTGTGCGCCGCAGACGACACGATCGAAAGGCCAACTTTTACAAGAGATTTTGAAGGAAAACTAGTTAAGGGAATTGATGGTATGAACCACACTCATCAATGTCGGAACTCTAAAGCATTGAGAGATGCGGTCGAGCTATCAGAAGAAACCCCTAGAAGGGCGGAGCTATTGGGCGCAACGACCGTTTTCAAGATGGAAGGCATGGACAGTGAAGGAAAGCCATGGGTTGTCAGTGAAAGCTGAGGGTCATATGTACTTGGGGAATCAGGAGAAATATTCAATTCTTTAGGCTTCGCTGAATGCTATAAGATCTTCACTGATTCGTGGAAGGTTGCGAATGATACAGTCTAGACCTACAGTATTAATCAATTTTGTAGCAGCTCAAATTACCAACAATTCAGGAAGTAATGATTGATTTTGTCCTCCAAAGACATATCTAGGTACATTATATCTTCTGAGATAGGATTCTGATTGCTGATGCCCTTGTTGAAGCTCCCTTGGCTCCATAAAGTAATATAGTGCTCAGTCTCCGTCTCTCACTTGGAGTTGACATACAACAACTCATCTGGAGAAGCCTCTCGCTTGGAATTGACGTACATCAACTCATCCGGAGAAGCCTCTCGCTTAGAATTGACATACAACAACTCATCTGGAGAAGCCTCTCGCTTAGAATTGACATACAACAACTCATCCGGAGAAGCCTCTCGCTTGGAATTGACGTACATCAACTCATCAGGAGAAGCCTCTCGCTTGGAATTGACGTACATCAACTCATCAGGAGAAGCCTCTCGCTTAGAATTGACATACAACAACTCATCCGGAGAAGCCTCTCGCTTGGAATTGACGTACATCAACTCCTCAGGAGAAGCCTCTCGCTTGGAGTTGACATACATCAACTCATCTGGCTCGGGGTCACGGCTCGCAAGAAGGGCTTTTGATCCTCGGTCATTAGCCTAGCAACTTATGGAGTTTATAAGGTAACATACCGCCATGAGGTGCCGCATTGGCAAGTCCACAGATGAGGAGGCACACTTTGAGGAGTGCCTGGGTATGCATGATCTGGATAATTGTTCAAGTTTGAATCTGTAATAGTTTGAATCTCGATTGGATGAAAGTTCTGGTAAATGAGAAAAGAGTAGCAACTTGCTTCAAGTAATTGATATATGCGATTCTATGTATTTTAACCTTAGAGCCCGCTAAGATTTTTAGGCTAGACAGTCAGCACAAACATAACGAGCTTTGACCACCTTCGGCCTCGTCACGTTGCAGCTGCTGGTACTCCTCACTCATTTCTTTCAGAATTCTAATCCCTGTATCCGCTGAATGTAACTGCACATGGAGGGCGGACTGAATTAAATTCCGTCTGCGTCCGGGGTCATATCGCAGGTTCTATGCGCCTTAGCCCCCCCCCCTTGAAAATAAGATGTCGGTCTCCATCAGCAGTATATCCACGTGCCAATAGCGCAAAAGGTCGATGGGATCATGACGCGTCACCGACCATTTCTTTAACTTGTGTGCCGCATTTTCCGCCTTTGGGCTTCTTCGATGCCAAAATGGTGGTGTACTGATTTAATGAATTAGCAGGAGGTGCATCTGTATTACTTCTTTTGGAACACAAGGTAGGAAAGGATAATGAAGCGCTAGACTTGTCTATATTCTTTACACATCCCGGTGTCTGCTTCCTGTTTTTCTGGCTCTGGTAGACCCGAAGCGTCCCTTGACAGTTATCTTGGGTGCTATTTGATATATCTAGGTAGTTTCAGCAATGACTATATTCAATCCTTTGAAAATGCCGCGCCTATTTACGTCCTGCGTTCGTAGAAATGAATTATCCGATTTAAGTATGATGATCTGTTTGAGCTCCTAGGGGCCAATGACGGAGTATGATTCTCTGGGTAACCAAAGCTTCAACTAGAATTTGACCCCGCTCAGAATGGCGAGACGGAAGGGAAGAGATAACAATGGCCGATTGTCTAATACCTGTATTGAAGCCGTGAAGATCTTGCTTGAAGCGGGTTTAGATGGGTTACATTCACCAGTTCACCGACATCCAAGAGGCCAGTCACGATGGTTCAGAAAGGTAGATCCATGTGCACTTCCATCCGTTCCACTTCCTGCTATCACATCAGGTTTTCCCAAGGCGGCTAGAGGTGGGGAACGCATAAATAATTCTGTGATTCTGTCGACGATAATGCACCCGCTGAGCGGATATCTTCCCGACTAGTACCATTAGCATCAAATTCAGCTCAGCCAGCTAATCATGCAGGAAAATGGGTATGAGGTCATAAAACTAGACTCGGGTTACCAATGTTGTTGTGATCTCTTACCATACCTTGTCATCCTCTGACACTGTAAGGCAATGACGGTTTTGCTGTAATGTGAATCGCAACTATGTACTTTTATAGGACTAGACCTGCTAGTTTTACTGGAGCCAATAGGTTGAACCGAGAAAACGGGTACAGGGTTCATCAACGACAACAGTATTCCAACTCAACCTCATCCCCAAGCACAAAAATGACCATGTCCCAACCCCTGATAAACTCTCATGAACATGTTAGCTGCTCCGAGGAACCCATTCCGAACGGATCAGATGAAGAGGAAGAGGAACTTTTTTTACCAAAGAATAGAGGACCACCCAGTTCAACCAAGTCAGGAAGACCACAATCATGCCTTTTGATACTCCTCATCTTGAATTGTGTGGTCCTATTTTGCTCCATTGTGACTTTGTCTGTTGCATTTATCCTATATCGACCTAACAAGCAAACCGAGAGAACTGAGAGAAATTGGTTGTTGAAACAAACGTCCTACTTCTGTGAGTGACGTAAATTTCTTCTATGTATAGTCTAGTGTAGGTTGCTAACCTGTCGAACTCCCGCAAAAGCATCGATTCTGGATCAAGTAGACATACCACTCAAGCCTGTCCAGGTTGAAGGAGATTTCTTCGCACCCGACCACAACCTGTCCATCTATCGCCAGCTGCCAAGCCCTCATGTCGATGCAGCTTGGGATCGCATTTCAACGCTTGGACAGGTATTCCTCACCACAGAGGAGGTCGTAAAACTGGGCAAAGACCCAACCATGACTGTCCGAGATAATGATCACCCGGAGATGCATATCGGTCTGGTGAACGCTTTTCACGAGATTCATTGCTTGAACGTGCTACGTCAAAACCTCCACCGCGATTACTATTGGCCTGATGGTATAAATTCCCCATTTCATTGGGTTCATCTCTACCACTGCCTGCACCTGATTCTTCAGTCTCTTACCTGCAACGCCAATACGGATCTTGTCACTTACAACTGGGTGGAGACGCGATCCGAGCCTGTGTGGGACTACGCCATCAACCGCGTCTGTCGAGACTTTGACGCTCTGCTTGAATGGCACAATCGAACAACGCGCCCTATTGACGACTATAACTTTCATCGAGTGGGAGGTGAGAAGGAGCGGCCGGCGCCGGACCAGCTAAAGCGAATCGTGGCACATGGGTCAGATTCCCGGGTAAGCATTAAGACAGATCCTGCAATTTTGGGGTCCTTTGATGCTTGGTATTAGATAGATTCAATCCTGCAGTTTGACACTAGGTGCAAGCGAGCAAAGACCCTAGGTCGATTAAACTGATCCAAAAATTTACAACTGACAAATAATTACACAGTAGCATAGATCTCAAGCAGGCTCTTTAATATGCAGAAAGATATGATGGCCAATCAATAGTATAGAATGGAGAGTGGCAGTAGTCCGCTAGAGCCCGAAACCCCCGCTGTTATGGTAGGAAGACCAGGAGGATAGAAGTTGCCCTTATATTGACCGGCGGTGGGCTATCCCCGCACGGCTGATCAAGGACGGCGTCACATGCCCACGACAACCAAACCCTTGCCCATCAACCCTCTCAGTCTTCAATACTCTCACCCCAAAATACCTCAGTATTAGAACAGCCTTCGTGGTGACTCAACCTCCAACTTCCCACAAGAGAACATGAACACCACCTCATATCCCCTGTCGTACCAAACAGTCGGTCATCTGGGTGACTCAGAATTCAAGCTTCAATCCATATCAACAGACCTGTCACTTCGTCTACCAAGGAATGAGGATATCCCTGTGATTTTGAATATTCTTCAAAACAAAGCAAACTCAGAATTCGACAAGTCCATCTCCGAAGCCACATCTGAAGAGCTCGAGGGAATCGCTCGACGATGGACATCCCTCCCTCAACCACTCACCTATCTGAACTTTTTAATTTGGCATCGCGACACGCCTATCGGAATCGCTGGCCTGGGTTGGATCGGTGCGACCGATGGAGATGAAGCTGAAAGTAACCTATCCCGAGCTGGCGCAGCGGGCGTGATCCTTGAGCCGGTCGCGCGAGGCAAAGGGTATGCCTATGAAGCACTGCGGATGGTTTTTGATTATGGGCTTTATGGATTGGGCCTCGTGGAGATTCGAGTCGGCAGTCATTCTGGGAACGTGCCGATGAAAAGGCTGATGGAGCAGAGTTTTGGCTTAGAGGCAGAATGGAACAGTGGGGATGATAGTGTGGATGAGTTTGGGAATGATCTTTTGTGGCTGGTTAAGGCGGACAGTTGGCCGAGCTTGAGAAGGCATGATCAACATCGAGTCTAGGTTTATAACTTATTTGAGACTTTTCATTCTTGGTGATCGCTCTCAATCCTCTAGAAATTCAATAGAGCAAGAGGGTAAGTTTTTATTAGCTATCTAGGCTTTTAAAAATGGAGATATCAGCTCTATTGCTCTTGCTGCGCGCACTTTGAATGTCCCGCGTACAACTCTCCGCCGCCGCCTAAGCGGTGTTCAAGAGCGCGCGATTTCTCGCGCTAATTCACATAAATTGACGGAAACTGAGGAGGAATATCTTCAAAAATGGATTCTCTCTATGGATTCTCGTGGATTAGCCCCCCGCCCTTCTACCGTACGAGAAATAGCGAATCTTCTCGAAAAGCGCGGAACCACCCCGGTTCTTTCGGTCGGTGAAAATTGGGTTACAAACTTTGTAAAACGGTATCCTCTTGTTTCGTCCCGGTTCTTAAAACAATATAACTACGAGCGTGCGAAATACGAGGACCCGAAAGTTATTAGAAGTGGTTTAATCTTATTAAAGAAACTGTCCTTCGATTTAGAATCGACCCCGATGACGTTTATAACTTTGATAAAACCGGTTTCGCGATAGGGCTAATAGTAACCGCGAAGATTATTATAAGAAGCGAATACTACGGCCGGAGATTACTTTTACAACCTAGAAATGGTAAGTAGGTAATAGTTATCGAGTATACGGATGCTTCTAGATAGGCGCTTCCTCCGTACGTGATTTTAAAGGCAAAAAATCATATTGATAAACTTGATTTCCTCGAAGCGTACCCCCTTGTATGAATGGAGGCTTTTAAATCCGAGACTATTAAAAATAGCTTTGGATCTGCTGGTTTAATACCTTTTGCATCGGGGAGAGTGATTTTGAAGCTTAATATTCGCCTTCGAACCCCGACACCCCCATCCAGCCGGGGTAGATATATGATATGATGAATTTAGGGAATGGCAATCTTATCTTCCACTACCACATTGTTTGGGGTAGTAGCGTTAATTCAAAATTCATCGTACCTCTATCAACAATCTCGTTTCCTACCGTGGATCGTTCGTGATCCCCCGAATAAAGTCAGCTCCGAGGAGGGGGAAAGAGGTTCGAGATATGTTCCAAAGGAGCGCTGCATATGGCCAACATCGCCGCACAAAAATTTAATTTTACTTACGTATGATGGTGTACCAAAGCATGTCCACAGACAACGAATTTTCGATATAAAACAATAAAGCCATTTCAACTAGGGCCAGAACTCCATTTTGACAAGGGACCAGACTAACATGTACGTTCTCAGCTGTCTCATAACCTAACAAACCTACAGAAAACTATCAATCTAAATAGGTAAATCGAATCCGAAGGACTCCATTGCTACTAGAAGTATCTTCGATTTTTTGACTTCTTAGAAATCAACAACATCGAGAGCTCTATGACTGTGATTTGTCTGCAAATGCGGTTATAGTAATATGCCGATTAGCTGGCTCCGTCTTGATGCGATTTAGAAGGGCTTCATCCTGGTCAAGGGCTGAGGTAGGTCTCCGAGTACTAGGCTTTTCCTGAGTAACACCTGCGCCATGTACAGAGGTTTTCCGTGTGATAGTGGCTGGAATGAGATTTTCCCATCGAGAATAAAGATCCTCCGGGAGCACCTTTCTTCTCTCGATCTTCTTGATCAGCCGAATTCCTAAAAAAAAACGGTATAGAATTAAATAATAACGCTATTAAAAGAGGTATAAGAAAATACGCTACTTAATTTAGCCTCTAATATATATATATATATATTTATATAGGCTTTACTAGAAGAAAACTAAAACCTAATCTTTATATATGCATGCAATATAGAGTGCTGCATCCTGAGCTTGTGGGCAAGAATCCACTAATGGATTTACGCTGCCGATCATCGACTTTCTTTGGACACCTGACGGCTTATTTGCCGGCCAGGGCTATGTAGAATTCAGTTTGAATGATCATGATCTCAAACAAACAGCGCCTTCGCTATCGCAGTGCGAAACATATACTCGGCACTATTGCCCCCTTATATACTGAAACTAGACTTTGCCAATCACCAATATGACACATGACCTACTGAGCCTGAAGCTTTGGAGAGGCTCTCTGTAGCTTAGTGAATATGCTTGGTACTTTTCCTCCCTATCATAAACAGCTAAACATAGCGAATCATCATGTTCGGAGTGAGTGTCATTGAAAACACGAGACAAGGGTCCCCGGAGTCAGTTCAGACAAAGGAGGTCCCAAATAATCCACCTGAACGCACAATTATTATAGTGAACCTAACCTGCTTGGCTAGACTCTGGCCATGGGACACTTACCTTTCTAGTCGAATGCTATTGTTTGAGAATAAGAGCCTCTGCACCCAAAGACTTTCGCCCTGAAAGGTGCAAGGCCTAGATAGACAGATATATAGGTGCATAGTGGATTTGAGCATGGTTATGAATTATTCAAGAAATAAGGAGCTAAACTGGAGCTAGGAATATGAAATCTAAAATGTCAATGAATCTATCCATGTCTATACATTACTGACATCTCCACACCCGTAGGGATAGTACAGGGCTCGTCCACCTCATAAAGAGAGGACCGTCCAAATGTTAACGGAGCCGGAGGCTGCTCGTCAATCTACTCAGGGTCATACTCCCACACTAGATAGATCTGTGTGTGTTCAGGTGGTCATCTGCCCCTTCGTTTATATTTTTATTTAACCTGTAGAGGCTCGACAGTCGTGATCTTGTAGTCAAGAATTGACGACCTTGGATGACCTACATCAGTTGGCTGGCAATTGATGGATGAGATATTAATAAATCTGAGATAGATATCAATAGAGAAGGACATGTAGCAGAAATATGTACGATAGAAGATCTCTGTTTTTAAGATATGCAATTTGTGTGATTTTTTTCCCAGTTGGGTAGATGTATAATATACAGCAGATGTCACCAACGAACGCCAAAATATGCTTGCGTGAAGGGACCGCATTGCTGAAAGTGGTTGAGAAAAGAAGAAGAAGAAGGAAGAGAGAAAAGCAGGCGATAACCACATCCAAAAGAAAAAAAAAAGAGTGAGAGGAAGTGACACATAATTCATGGGTCGTCGTAAGAAGCGTTGAGTGGATCAAAGTGGCTACATGGGCCGTATAAGATGCATATCCACCCATTAATGACATCAGGCAATGGTGGATATATGTATGTACAAATTATGATTCTGCCAGGTGGCGAGGGTTGGTGTGTCAAGAGGAAGAGGTGAACATGAGTCGTAGTCGGCTAGGGCCTTTCTTTTTCTCCTTGGGTCGTTTCTCGGTTTCGGAGACATAGGTGCCATGTTTAGATGGGGCGCGACTGGGAGCTCGACTAGGAGCTCGGCTTCTGCTTGGTGCTCTGCTAGGCGCTCTGCTGGGGGCTTTTGATGGCGCCTTGGACCTGGAGGAGCTCCGTCCGAAGAATCCACTCGGTGCCTCCGAAGGAGCCTTTGATCTCCGTTCGTGCCGCTCTGACGGTGCATGCGATGGTGCATGTGTCGGAGCTCGGGTGGTACGTGAACGGCGGGAGCGACGGGATGAAGCGACCGAGGCATCTTCTTCGAATTTGAAACGAGGATCCCGTCGCGCGCGAGCAGTGGTCACATCAATGCCAGACATGGCTGCTGCGGTGGGTGTGATGAATTCGCCGTCAACAGATGTTCCAACGCTGTAGGCTTGCTCGTCAGCGACACCGCGTCTCCACATCTCAACAGAGCTGAGCTCTTCTGTGTTCAACTCCATCATTTCTTCCATTTCCATTTCCATCTCGGCGGGCTTTCCTTCTTCCCCGATAGCGCCGGCTTTGATTCTTTGGATAATCTTGTATCCTCCAAACATGACCACCGTCACACCTAGACCGACTCCGGCAGCGATGAGGAATTGAGGACTGGAAAGGAGAGCGAAGACGGCTGGCGCGGCTGACTTGATGGTGGTCAATGCGGCGGGCGCCATCTTGCTGCCCAGGTTGCTGATCTCCGCGAGAGTCAAGGCAACAGCGGCCATGGCATCTGGGTTCTTCTGGAGATGGGCGATAGTCGCGGTAGCACCATGTTGCACACAGTGTGCTTCTTCGAGAAGCCACTGTGCCTTGTTGACAAGACCATCAAGTTGCTGTTGATCGTCCTTCGGCTCTGGGGGGTTATATCGAGATAAGGCTGCATGAGAGGCGTCTCCATATGCAAGATCCATGTCGATATGCGCGTCGGATCTTGACCGAGCCGTTGATGGTCGAGGGGCATCTCGGACCGACACATCGTGATGCGTATGACGGCGGGCGATTGTCTGCGGGGGCTCGTATTGAGAGTCCTGCCGCGATACAACTGTCTGTCCATCATCGTAGTGGGATGAAGCATGATGACTGCGGCTGCTGTGATGTCTTGATCGAGTCCCACGGCTTCGTCGAGATGGGGCTACCGACGGCGCGTCATCGATCTGATAGTTGGCGAGTCCTTGGAGTGCTTGTTGCTCTGCAATTTTTGCATTGCGTTCTGATTGAAAGGCGGATTTGCGCTCGCGATAGGCATTTTTGGCATGGCTGAAAACACCAAATAATTGCTTGCTCTAATACTTTCTTGTCAAAATGCGGGGTTGGGTCTCCGCTGGAGATCGAACTTACGGTGCTCACAACTTTGCCGGACTTGTCAATCACGGCGATCGTTTGACCAAAAGGTGCCATGGCGAATAGTAAGTCGTTCCGACGACGTTATCGGAAATCAGTCATCAGATGGTCCAGATCGACGGTCGACAAGGAAGCGGTGTAGGGTAGAAAAAGAAAAGAAAAAGGGGCTTAAAAGAAATGTCCGGGGTATAGACCAAGTATGGAAGAACCAAGCAGGGTATAAAAGAGTAAGAATAAGCAAGACACAGCCCTTGAGAGTTCTCGGTTAAGAATGCAGTTGGGTTGTTTAACCTCAGGCCTTTATCAGCGCAAAGGTCCGATCGGAGGCGTCCCAACGAGGTTTTAAGGCGTGGAAGTGATGCGGAACAGGGAGGCTGGGGATCAAGCGCATCCACGTTGGGCAGAGCAACGAACAGGGCCAGGCTGCAGGAACTATAATGCAGGGTAATTGGGTGCCACTTTAGGAGGCAGACACGTATCAATGGGCTCGGTAGGTTCGATGAGCTCACATCGCATATCACACTCAAAGGCTGTTGGGCGCCAAAGTCGATATTTGCGGTATAGCTGCATGTGCCGGGACCCGGAAGAGAATTTCTAGGGAAATGGAGATCATATTATTATATTTAGATTGCATCGAAGGGGGGAAAAATGGAACGGAAATAATCCTTGCTCTTTGACACAGGTACATGCAATATAGTCTCTGCATTAACATTCGATCAGCTGTTAAAAGATGCAAAGAGCGGTGACATCTGATATCTGATTGGCCATCGGTGTCACCGCCACTGTGGCTGGTGTCACCTGTACAACTCTGTGTCAGCCAGGTGTGGCGGTGCTGGGGCGTTAACATGTGAGGACAGCGCGATGATTTCGGAGACTTGTCACTTTTTCACCTCCCGGGATATATATTTTGTGTATCTGCTTTCAGGTATCTTTCCGAAATGATGATTTAAAGACCAAAATGGCGCAATTACTGATGTATCACTTGATTTCGAGTCATTTTCAAGGGTTTCCTAAGATAACCTGGACACATTGATCACAGATGGGCACCTGCAGGCCAATATTTCTAGTCCAGTATTGAAGGATGGAAGCCATCAGGGGTTGGTAGGTACCCAGGTCTCCGGCAGGATCCTACAAAGTACTCCGTGTAGGTATCTTTCTCCCTTATCAATAGAGAGCTCCAGATTGGAGTGCAGATCAACATCGGTGTGCGTTTCATTGTTCTTTTTTTTTCTATGGACCGTTTTTCATTGATACTCCAATCTCACCCATCCTGGATCTATCGTAAGATCTAAACTGAATCCCAAACCCCTATATCATGACCGGCCGTCGCTCCAGTACCCCTTTAGCACGGCTATCATGGGAGCCAAGGTGTGTTTCATAGTGACAAATTCCAAAGAAGATTCAATGAATGGACATGCGACCGTGGCATAGACGAGCCAAACTCAATAAATTCGACAACTGATATTTTTTTTCCCGTATAGAAGGACTTGTTGTCAGAATCAAAGGGATGCTAGGGATGGTGAGTCAAATATTTTCTCGATGGTGCAATACCTTCTTGTTATTATTGCTTTTTTATTTTGTTCCCGTGCCGCCTTGTGATTCATATTCCTTCATCTTCCTTCATTTTGTTTTAGAAACAATTGAAGTTCTATAACCTCAAAAAAAAAAAAAAAGGAATGGAGTGAATCCGGGAGATTTCCAGTGTTCTGTTTGGTTGGATTTTTTGAAGCGGAGAGAATCCGAGAACACCAACATCACTTGACTCTCCACGTTGAAAACCATTGCAAACCATTGCAAATTGCAAAAAGCATAGACTGATCATGGATTTAGTCGAATTAGAGAGTACCTCCGAGGAGGATCAGAAAAATTGGGACTCGGATTCTCATGTTGATGCCAGTGCCCTTCCCAATAGTGACTGCGGCATCGGCCACCGCGTTCTCGCCAGTCGCTCCGTTCTCGCTCTGGCCGTTGATGAACAATGTGTTTTTGCTGGTCTACAAGGAGGAGATATTGTTGTAAGTTAGTTTGGATTGTTATTCCAAAATGTCTACAGCAATGTTTCTCTACTGCCAAGGCCCAAGGCTGACCATTTCATCAGGCGTGGTCCCTTGAAACATATGATCTAGTGGCATCAGTCCACGCGCACAAAGAGAGTGTGCTAGGCCTCTATCTCTCCGAAGATGGAAATTTACTATTTTCAAGCGGCGGTGACTCCGTGGTCAATGTGAGTCATGCAAATGATGAATCTCACGAACCGGGATTAATGACGCGGACAGGTGTGGTCCACGCGAACATTTGAACGTCTCTACTCCATTTATTCACACCACGATGTGGGTGATATATTTACAGTAGTCTATTCACCGGATAACCAAACTATTTACTGTGGTGCACAGAACACAAGTATACAGGTATCGGACCCTTGCCTGCGCCCTTGTTTAGCGATATTCTAATTTGGGCAGTGGTGTGATCTCTCCGAGCAAGGATTGTCATTGAACCAAGCATATTCCGCTCATCCATCTAAGCGGACGCATCGCTTCTTTGATTCTCGAGGCCCCGACGGTACTCGCGCTTCGGGATCATCAGACGGTGCTCTCTCCGACGGTGGTCGTGTGTTGAGCTTCAAGCGGGATCATCATAAGCTCTTCGCGCATCATGGCTACGTCTACTCCATGCTTCTAGTCAAAGGCCTGGTTGAGACCGCTCCTTCCGAGGCGGTACTTTTGACTGGTGCGGGCGATGGTGCGGTGAAGTTGTGGCGCCTGGGTCAGGATCCCGGCGCGGCTCCATCTCCAATTGCCAAGCTACAGAATGGAGATCCTGTGCTGAGTGTCGCTGTGGAGGGATCACTACTCTACTGTGGTTTGGCAGGCGGCGCCCTTAACATTTGGAATTTGGACTCTCAGCAGCTCGTTAAGCGGATCACTAGACATACTGGGGATCTGTGGGCTGTGCACGTCATCCAGGGTGTCGCTATTTGTGGTGACTCTAGCGGAACGGTCAAGGTATGTGCTGATTTGGATTTCTGTCTACTTCGAATCAACTTCCGCTAACCTCTGATAGAAATTCAACTCCCGCTTCGAAGAGGTCGGTGGCTGGGTTGCTCATGAAGGAACCATGCTCGCCTCGGCTGCTGGACGGTTCAAGGATCGCCAGATCTATGCCACAGGTGGAAATGACAATTCAGTAGGAATCTGGGATTTGACTGAATTCTTTATGACCCAGGAAGAGCTGCCTCCGATCAGCAACGGTACGTCCCATACACATGATTCGCGTCGAACGCTCGCTAAATTTTAACTAGACGAAATGGTCAACAGTCTTGCAAAGTTCGTCTCTTTCAAGACTATCTCAGCAAGTCCCAAATTCGCTGGCGAATGTAACCAGGGTGCTGCTTTCCTTCGGCGACACTGCAACTACCTCGGTGCCAAGACCAAGCTCCTGACTACTGGCCAAGATACCAATCCCATTGTTTTTGCTAGATTTAACGCTACGTCACCTGACAAGGTGGACAAGACTATCCTCTTCTATGGTCACTATGATGTTGTGGGCGCGGAGACGAACCGACCCAAGTGGAGGACAGATCCTTATCAGCTCACTTCTATCAACGGATTTCTGTACGGCCGTGGTGTCTCTGATAACAAGGGACCCATTCTGGCATCACTGTATGCCGCAGCAGATCTCGCCCGAACAAAGACCTTGCGATGCAACGTAGTCTTCCTCATTGAGGGCGAGGAGGAGTCCGGGTCCCAAGGTTTCCACGAAACAGTTCGTGAGCATAAGGCTCAGATTGGATCCGTGGACTGGGTTCTGCTAGCCAACAGTTACTGGCTTGACGACTACAACCCGTGCTTAACTTACGGGCTACGCGGTGTGGTTCATGCGAACTTGGTCGTTACAAGCGACCATCCTGATCTTCACAGTGGTATCGATGGCAGTACATTGCTGGATGAACCAGTCAAGGATATTGCCATGCTTCTGTCCACAATTGTGGGACGCAAAGGCACAATCAATCTGCCCGGCTTCCACGATGCTGTCAGGCCTCTCACAGACGCCGAGCAGAAGCGGTTCGAGGCCATTGCCGATGTATTGCTTCTGCAACACCCAGAGATCCCCAACAGCCAGGCGCTGATCAATTCACTGATGCATCGCTGGCGTGAACCCGCCTTGACCGTACACTCAGTGGAAGTTCCTGGAAGCAAGAGCGCAACGACCATTGCGCGCCGCGCCAAAGCAACCCTATCGATCCGCATCGTACCGGATCAGCACGCCGACGAAGTCGCAGCCGACCTCACCGCCTATGCGCAAGAGCAATTCGCACTGCTCGACTCCCAAAACGACCTCACAGTCGAAATCACCGGTAAATCCGACGCCTGGCTCGGAGACCCAGATAACGAAATCTTTGCCACGCTGTCGGAGGCGATCACTGCAGCATGGTCCCCGGCTCAAGAGGATCCGAAACGTCAATACCCGCCCCTCCCACAATCACCAAACACTCGCCTAGCGACCAAGCCCAAACCAAGCGCGGGACCGATTCCCGAACTCCGCCGCAAAGACTCCGACGACAGTCTAGCCTCGCACGTTGAGCGGGTAATCACATCGACAACGACCTCATCAGCGGGTAAGGAAGCTGCGCGCAAACGGTCCACGCAAACGGCCGCCACAGTGCCAACGTCCTCGACTCTCACACAAGCCACACCAGCATCGTCTGAGAAGCCAGTCGCATTGCCAATCCGGGCTGAATCTGCTCCGGATATCAAACCCCCAACGGCAAATGGACCAGCTGTTGCGTCCGGCGCCGGCAAAGTGAAACCGATGTTCATCCGTGAGGGCGGGTCCATTCCGACAATCCGGTTCTTGGAAAAGGAGTTTTCGGCCCCGGCAGCGAACTTGCCTTGTGGACAGGCCAGTGACAATGCCCATTTGGATAACGAGCGCATGCGGGTGGAGAATTTGTATAAAAGCCGGGAGATTTTCCGGTATGTGTTTGCTAACTTGGTGGATAAGTCTTGAGGGCTGTCAAGTTCTTTATTTAGGGTCTCATTTTTGTAAAATTATAAAACTATCTTTTGAATTGCATACCTGGTTATTCATTGCATCTGGAATCCTCCAGGTCAATAGACTGTAGACATAGCCAACAAATTCCAGACCAACTCCCAATTAACGTTTAACGCCATACTCCATAAAGAGGAAAGAGAACGTCTCGAATCGGATCATCTCACTGTCGCCCCATACTCCACCGCTTGATATTCTAACGTTGTCTCCCCGTATCCGCGCATAGAGATCGTCTGGTCCCGAAGCCGTCAAGCTCTTAGGCCTTTGAGGTGTTGCACAAAGTACACTCCCACTTCCGATGTACAACGTAGGGGAAGTTTGCATTTCAAGTTCATAATTCCACGATACACATGTGGCTTTTATAAACGCAGCTGCCCCCTCCATAGGAAGGTCGATGATGTTTGGACATTGGCTGATTCTGGGTTTGATACACTGACCAGGATTTGGCTAGCCTGGAATGAAACTGGGTTCTAAGCCAGATAGGGGATTCCATGCATGATTCTGGCTTTGTTCGAAAAGACATTACCTCGTGTCCTGGCAATTTTCACTTCCTGAGATCTAAGAGTATTTGATACGTTGGTTATATGTTCGATATTGGCCCGGGAAGTTTACTTGTGTATGGTTATTCTGTGGAGATCGGGGCTAGATGGCGTTTTTCTTTGTGTGCTGGCATGGTTCGATTGTTGAGGTGATATGTAAATATCCATGGATGGAGATATTTAGATCATCGTTAGATCAGATAATATAAGAAGGTGCCGGTCACCTCTGGTTTTGGATTACCACAGACTAGACCTACTTAGATTTCCACTTTCCAAAAATGAATTCTCTTCCATTTCAGAAACTTCTCTCCAGTCTATTCAGACTTTTCACGAGCCTCGTCAATATGGTTGGCGTTTCTCGCTCGGTCTACATATTGGACCGAAACGCAGCAGAGACTCAGCGGTTTGTGTTTTCTTGTCGCACTATGTCACATCTTCAATGCATGAAGTATATCCCAGATATTCTATGTCTTCAAGATTCCCCTGTCACCAACCTTGGAACCCTTACAGGAGTTCCTACTCGATAGTTCAGGTACCCCCGATTTGGCTGGTGCTAATATCTTATAGTCTCAATAACCAACATCGCTTTCTCGTCGATCTCTCCAACCTCATACACCCGTCGATTCCAAAAGACCAACTTACAGCAGTGGCTGACTTGGGCACTGGCACTGGGTATGTTCATTTCGATGGCATTCCTTTTTTTAGATCTGAAACAAACAAGAAGCTATTGTCGCACAGAAGCTAACTCACCACAGCATCTGGCTCGAAGATGTCGCCGACTTCCTTCCCAATAAGTCAGTCTATCTTCATGGCTTCGACATCTCCTCAACTCAGTACCCACCACACCATGAGATCCAACGACCCGGCCAAAACCCAATCCCACTTAGTGTCCACAACGCGCTGGTTCCATTTCCAGAAGAGCACCGTGGCCGATACGACCTCGTACACATCCGACTCCTCACAGCAGGCCTGAAACAAGTTGATTACATACGGGTGCTTGCCAACGCGCGTGCTTTGCTCAGTATGTTTTCCCTTCCCTTCCTTTACCTCTTTTCTCTTTTCTCTTCCTTCACCAAAAGAATACCTCCTCTCAAACTAGACTGCCCGATTAACAACCATAGAACCAAACGGATGGATCCAATGGGAAGAGGTTGACCACACATCTTTCTGCACAGACGCGGTTCCAGAGCCAGAAGTAATAACCCGACTGCGTGAATGCGTGATCGTAGCCATGCTCAAACTAGGCCTGTGGCCGTTTGCTCCACAGCGTGTGTTTGACGAGATCTCCGATTCTGGGTTTGCCGATGTCGTCCGTGAGACTTACACTACTTCTGGGAAGGAGCATCTGCGACCTATCGCGCAGAAATGGGTTGCCGGTGTGATGTGTGCTCTGGTGCCGGCTTGTATGGTTGCTATCGGTCAAGCTGAGGATACCAAGCAGGCACGTGGGATGACTGAGCAGTTGGTTCATGAGTTCGAGGCCCATTGCGAGACTGCGACGGCGCTAGTTAACTTCGGGGTTACGGTTGGTCGGAGAGTGAATTGATATTTTGTTCAGACTGGATTGCGGTCATGGTTTGACTGAGAGGCTCTCTTTTTTACTTGACACATTCATTTTCGCCGGTGTTGAATCAATACTCAGATAGTCTTTTCGCAAAATGAAATTGTGTGACTCATTTAAAATCCTTGACCCTTCCCCTGTTCCCTACCAAACAAGCCCCCAATGTGCCCCACAAAATTAATCCGGGGGAGAAAATATTTTCGAAATCTTCAACCTCAAAAAATTAGAATCTTCCAAATCTACCAATGGCAGCATCAATGGAAATCCAAGAAGCTCCGCCCAAAGGGCGAAGCAAAATCCAAGTTACCGCAATTATGGTAGCGCTTTCAGTAAGTTCCGTGGACGCTGAAAACCTCAGATTCGTCTACTAATTCGTACTAGTTATCAATGTTTATCGCCGCACTAGATCAGACGATCATGGCAACGGCGATCCCCACAATCGCAGCGTATTTCCACTCTTCCGCTGGGTATACGTGGATTGGTGGAGCGTACCTTCTCAGCTCCGCCGCCAGCGCATGTATTTGGGCCAAGCTTTCTGATATCTGGGGACGGAAGCCTATCTTGCTTTTGGCTGTTGGGTGGTTTTTCCTCAGCTCCATTGTTTGCGCTGCTGCTACTAGTATGGAGATGTTGATCGCTGGTCGAGCGCTGCAGGGTGTCGCTGGTGGTGGTTTGCTCCAGCTCGTTACCATCATTATTTCGGATTTGTTCAGTGTTAGGTACGATACTTCGATTATCTACAAGCTGCTTTTTGGCTGTTTATACTTATCATGGAGGGGGCTTACTAACCCGTTGTAACAGACACCGCAGTTTATATCTTGGCCTGATGGAGGTTATGTGGGCTTTCGCTGGTGGTGTCGGACCTCTGCTTGGTGGTGCATTCAGTCAGTATGTCACTTGGAGATGGACTTACTGGATCAATCTACCGATCTCCGGGGTGACATTTGTGCTTCTTTTCTTTTTCTTGGATGTCCATAACCCCCAGACGAAAATCATGGATGGCGTTCGCGCCATTGACTGGTTCGGCAGTCTCTCGGTTCTGGGTCTTACTCTCATGCTTTTATTGGGATTGGACTTTGGTGGTGAGACTTTTGCCTGGAAATCACCGCAAGTCATCTGTCTGATTGTCTTCGGGTCTCTATGTTCCTTGCTGTTCGTCTACAGCGAGAAGAAACTAGCCAAGTATCCCTTGATGCCTATGGATATCTTCACTCGATTCTCTAACATTGCTACCCTGCTAGTAGCATTTGCGCATGGCTTTGTTAGTATCTCCGTTCCATTGGTCGTCTCCAACCACTAACGAACCCTGTAGGTCTTCATCGCCGGGGAATACTACATCCCCCTGTACCTGCAATCCGTACACGGCTCCTCACCAATGGGATCCGGTGTCCTTATTCTTCCACTCGTCGTGATGGAAGCATTCTCCGGCATGTTCACCGGCGCAATCATCCACCGCACAGGTCGATACCTCGAACTTATCTGGATCGGCCTGGTACTAATGACCATCGGAAATGGACTGTACATCAACCTGGGCGTGGGATCCTCCGTCGGTAAGATAGTCGGGTACCAGATGCTCAGCGGTCTCGGCGCCGGATTCCTCTTCCAAACACCCATAATCGCCATCCAGGCTATGGTCTCGCAGGAAGACACCGCGACCGCAACGGCAACAATCGGCTTCATTCGCAACATGGCAACCGCAGCCTCTATTGTGATTGGCGGTGTCGTCTTCCAGAATAGTATGGGCCAGAGGCAGTCCAGTTTGTTGGCTTCTGGTATGTCGACTAGCATGGCGGCTCAGATGTCGGGAGATTCGGCGGCTGCGAGTATCGAGTCGATTAAATTCATTACAGATCCGGAGCAGTTGCTTGCGGTTAGGGAGGCTTTTGCTTGGAGTTTGAGGAATATGTGGATTCTTTATACGTGCATGTCTGCTGTTGGGGTGTTCTTTTCTGCTTTTATTCTAAAGACCAAGTTGAATAAGGAGCATGTTGAGACGAAGACGGGATTGAATGTTGAGAAGACGCCGGTCGTTGAGGATAATGTACATAGCGTATAGATTTTTTGAAATGTATCTACCTGTTCTCCATCCCTGTAAATATTTGTAAGACGCATGGAGTTTGATGAGAATAAATGGGACGCTAAATTAAGTTTAAACATGCAGCAAATTATGAGGCGACCCACAATAGGATGGATTCTAAGGTTTAGACTCATCATATGTATCTTGCTATGACAGAGTAGAAAACGAATCCACACCCAAGGGTCAAGTCAAATGGTCAAATCAAGACAAGCAGAGGGATCGATATTATTCACATAAATATATGTAACGCGTAACAATATATTCAAACTCGAGTCGAATGAACATAGAGGAGCCGAATATAGACAAGAAAACAAAGTAAAAAGTTCATCGCAAAGCATCAACTCTCCCTTATTGAACCGAACACTTTCCTCCGACCACACAGAGAACAGGCAGATCAGCAACACTATTTCCAACCCAGATCTTAATGCCCTGTCCATTGACAGGAGCCTTCCAATCTTGCACGGCAACATCCCAAACGCTAACATCCTTGCGAGTAAGATGCAGTGTAACCGTCTCACTCTCACCAGGGGCAAGCTCTTTCGTCTTCTCAAACTGTCGGAGCTGCAAAGCCGGCGTGTCCAGTCCCAGACTAGATGGAAGCTCGACATACAGCTGGGCGACAGCCTTGCCGGTTCGTTTACCCGTATTCCGGACTTCCAACAGAACCGAAAATACAGTTTCAAAGAGAGCGGGATTTCCGCCCTCGCCACCTCCAGCCCGTGGGACTGGGTGCGACTCGGTGCTGTAGCCGTCTGGGTAGGAGTATTTCTTTGTCGCAGTGATCGACTGCGGCTTGAGCAGGTAGGGGTAAAGGTAGCGCCATATGCGGGTGAAGCTGGTAGATGACCAGGCGACTTCCGATGCGTCCGGGATGCTGGTATTGTAGGAGGGGGTTGGCGGCTTGGTGGGTCGTGCAGCTGGGTAGGCTGAGTCTAGTGGAGTTCCTGTCGACAGCGAAGGCTGGGAGAAGTTGAAGGTGGTGTAGGAGAGTCCGTGGCCGAATGCATACCGAGGTGTGATGTTGGCCTTGATGAAGTGGCGGTAGTCGATGTATAGCCCCTCGGTGAACGTATCCTGGATTTGGCCAAATGGTTGGCTGATCAAGTCCACGCTATCCGGGTAATCATCTTCACTGCGGGGAATGGTGTATGGCATGTGACCGCTTGGGCTATAGTCGCCAAAGAGGACATCGGTAAGAGAGTTTCCAGCTTCTTGTCCGGGGAGATGTGCCACAACCACTGCTTTCACAGACTTGAGTTCAATCCACTCTTCCATCAGGATGGGACCGACGGTATGGACAATCACGACTACATTAGAAAACTTCTCTGCTGCTGCTTTGACGAGATCGTCACCATTATGCCAAGCCTTGAGTCCAGCTATGGTTCGATCCCCCGGGTTCCCTTCGACTGTAATAAAGTTTTCGCCTGAATCGGCACTGATGAAAACCAGAGCGATATCGTTGGCATTGGCGGTAATGTCCGAGGGGAAGTTGTCGGTGATGTGGAACTCAGCATCCTTAGTGATATTGGATATGGCCTCCTGGGGTGTGATGAGATATGGTAGTCTGGCCGTGCCACTGCCCCAGCCCATGGTCAAAACTCCTTTGTTGCATCCTTGGTCGGCGCATGAGTTGAGACCGTCTGGGTTTCCACCTGCATCTGTGCCGAATACCTTGAGAGAATCATTGCTGCGCAGAGGAAGAATGGCCATGTCGTTCTTTAGCAAAGTTATTGCTTCCCGTGCGACAGCTCTTGCGGTGATGTTGTGATTGCCCCTGACATCGACGAACTGGTTAACGATACCAGATGGAGAAAATAGAGCGCCGGGGTAAAGCGGACCCTCCTTGTCCTGGGTATTGGCTGAGAAGTTTGGCAAGGGATAGTCCTTGTCCTGTCCCATTTTATACCAAGTAGCAACGATACGTTGAGCCTAGACCCGTATATTAGCCATGAGGGAAACAGGAATAGACGGTCGCGTATGCGGCCTTGTCGTAGTTTTCTTTTTGGTGGTCTTTTTACATCTCTTTTTAGGATGTATGTTTCCATGTATAACCAGGGGGTTTCACACAGTGGACCACGTACCATATCGTTGAGACGGTCGACGGGAACGCTACCATTCAAAATCGAACGCGACAGCTCAGGGCCCCAATATGAATCTCCAAACAAGGGAACTGCTCCATCCCCAGGCATAGCCATATCCAAACCAGCTATGGCGGATGCAACGCCAGCGTAATGACCCAGCCAATCCGTCATGACAAATCCTTGGAAACCAAGCTCATCCTTGAGAATCCCATTGATCAACTTGCTGTTCTGAGAGCACGAAGAGCTATTGACCTACCAGATGTCAGCAGCACGTTACAAAAAGCGGAATTGACGAGACTCACATCGGAATACGCGGTCATCAAGGACCCTACACCCGCGCGAACACCCTCGGCAAAAGGCCAGAGGTACAATTCGTGCAATGTACGATCATCAATATTAGAGGAATAGCCCTTAGTAACAATACTGCTCATGCGGTGCATCTCCTGCTCATTACCAATGTAATGCTTGATAGCTGCGATGGCGCCGGTGCTTTGCATACCCTTCACAGTCTGGGCACCACCAATGGCCTGCAGAGTGGGATCAGTACCGAAGCCTTCCCAATTCCGTCCACCGCGAGGCTTGCGTCCGAGTGATCCCACAGATGGTCCTAGGAGCACGTTGACTCCCTTACCGCGAGCCTCTTCGCCGAGCCCAACACCTCGCTCATACATGAGGTCTTTGTTAAATGTTGCACCAACCGTAATACCAGGCGGGAAGGCAGTGTTGTGGTCCGAGTTGCGAATTCCTAGAGGACTGTCTTGGAGGCACAGGTTGGGAATACTGAAGCGAGGCACGCTCCCGGTTTGCCCTACGCAGGGCCCCATAAAGAACCCAGTGCCTGTCGTCAGATTAACTTTCTCGGCCAGCGTCATATTGCCGACGAGATGATGCGCCTTGGCGTAGGCTTCACCCCAGTCGGGAATCCATCCTCCCGGAGGGGTGGGATAGTATGGGGGTGATTCATAGCCTTCTGCTGCTCTCGCGCGCAGGTGTGTAGCAGAGTCGGATTCGTCTGGTACTGGGGAAGCCAGGAGAAGTGGGGTGAAAAGAGAGACTAGACCTAGATGTGCCCAAGGAGCCATGGCGATGGATTTGGGAGAAACAAAAGAAACAAAATGAAAAAGAAAAAGATCGTATATGGGCCAGTCAAGAGAATGAGTGCATTATTTCCGCCAGATTTGAATCTGCAGGATTTCAAACTAATAGGATCCTCGAGGGGGGCTATAAGAAAACTATATAGGAACAGGGAAGGAGCAACGCCCGCGTGCTCATCTCGGGGAAATGTATATTCACGGGATGATCCTTGCTACATTTGAGGGGGATCGTCATGGGATCCTGTTGATGATGCACTTGGCAGTGCAGTAAATACTGAGGCCTGATCACAATTGTTCAAGGATCGACTCATGACTAGTCTACTAGTGAATCGGCTTGCATAACCGAGGCCTGCCAGACAAGAAATGATAGGCTGTGCATATGGATTCGGGGCATAACATAGGTACCAAGTGGGAAACACTACTAGTTAGTACTAGTATTTCCTAAATATCAATCCCCGGATTACCCTAAAAGAGACAAGTGTCAGGGGTTCCTTGGATATGCAACCCCAGCACGTGCCCCCTATTCTCCAGGAAGTCACAGGGCTAAGGTCAATAGTTCAGTGTATTACTGTAAATAGAACACGCGACACTCGTTTGATCCCACATTAAAATAGCGTTTGTTCAATTTCATCTGTTGTTACACATATCCACATCTTTATATCTTAGTATAGCGCAGGTAAGGCTTAACCTCACGAACTTCGCCAAACTTCTTCTTGGCATCCGCGGTACTGACAGAGGGAGGCACAATGACATCATCACCAACGCTCCAGTCGATCGGGGTGGCTACGCCTTTCTTATCACCGGTCTGTAGGGAATCAATGACCCGCAGGACCTCAGCGGAGTTTCGGCCCGTGGAGGCGGGGTACATCATGGTCAGGCGGATCTTCTTGCTCGGGTCGATAATAAACACGGAGCGAATGGTAAACGCGATTTCCTTCTGTCCGATGCTATCCTGGTCGATCATATCGTAGAGGAAGGCAACTCTGCGGTCGGCATCGGCGATGATTGGGAACTGGACTTTTGTGGAGCCGACTTCGTTAATGTCCTCGATCCATTGGTCGTGAGAACCAAGCTCGTTGGCACTCTGGAGAGAATCGGCGCATCAGCTACGGCATTGTAGGAGTTGTAAATGGCGGGGACTCACCAATCCGATCATCTTAACGCCGCGTGCGTCAAATTCATTCTGAAGGCGGGCGAAGGCACCCAATTCGGTTGTGCACACCTAATTCTATGTCAGTTCGGTGTCTTCATAGAGTATTGGTGAGAAATACAGGTGTGAAGTCTGCAGGGTGTGAAAAAGGATGGTCCACTTATCGCCGATGAACTCGTGGAAGTCAATCTCGCCCTGGGTGGTCAATGCCTTGAAGTTTGGGGCTATCTATGTTAGCATGATATCTTGGCAAATGCAATCCTGTTAAGACTGTACCAATTGATCCCAGGCGCAGATGCGGCTGTTCCACCTTGGCCGAGATGAAGCGGCGGACAGCGGGCGCACGCGGCACCTGTGCAGACCATGAGGGCCGCGGAGCAGCTCTGAATGCACGGAACATTTGAGTGCCAATTCTGGAAGCCATGATTATTAAGAGTGAAAGGTGAAAGCTTCCAAATTCCGAAGTTGACTCGGGACTTTCAGATACCTGGGATCGTGAACCTGTGAACCTGTGAACCCGCCTACGTAGACGTCATCAAATATGACTAATCACCAACTTTTGCCGGGCCTAGGTGGCCACCGGCCCTAAGTGCCAACATGTAACCAGGTGCCCAAGTTTTGGATATTCATATATGACGATTCTTTTGTCACTTGGCCAAGGTTTGTCTATATTGCATCTTTCTGGTATCAAATCTAGATATGCCTTCTATACGCTCAAGGATCTTGCATATTGTGCTACGGAAACTGCGAGAAGTTTTAAAATCGGCAGACTAATGCAGCCAAGCAAAATTGGATTAAAGTACGAACTTATATCCCATTTATAGAACACCTTTCCACGGTTGATGCCATTCGAGAAATGAAAAGTGCTGTGTATCTGAGACATTTCGTTGGAAATTTGACACCGTGTTGAACTGGATCCTATGATTGGACCAATGAGACCCCCAATCTGAGACCCTTAACATCAACACTTCCCATGTCCACAAATGCTGTCAGCCAATGCCCCGTTAAATAATAAAATTTAGAAATCTTAGTACCCTGAATGATATCCACGCGATGAAAAAAAAAACCATGCATTTTACTTGGGGGGAAAAAAAGGAAGCGACTTCTTACGACACATCAGAGGTCTTGCTCTATCTATGTATGCACATACTGATCTACTTGAACTAACAACACAAAACTTCAAACAATGAAAGCTGAGCTTTTGTGGGCCCTAGAACGATCTTGCTCATCAGGAGATAAACCCTTTTCCTTCATAAGTCGGTGGATCCCTTTTTGAAAGTCTGGTCTCGTTCACATTTCCCTCAGGAGGTTCTCCCACCTTCAACATGGGACGGTTTCACTATCTACTCGGTTTGCTGCTATTATTCGTTTGCTCATTTCTTTGGATTGCATCAAGCCTGGCAAAACAACCACCAAGCATTGTTCTTACTCATGAATCATGCGTCTGCAACGAAGACAAAGTTACCGCCGCCTCAGGTGCCGTAATCATTCCCTCGGTTCGACCGGAACCTCCTATCGAAGATATGAAACGAATATCAAACCCGAAAATACCAAGCCACCTCCCAATCGCAAACTCTCACGATCATCACACACAGTCCGCAATCCCATTCAAGCTCTGGCAAAAGGCCGGTTCACAAAGAATCAACGACGCCCGCCAGAAAGACATCCACAGTTGGCTAGATGTGAACCCACATCTACGACATGAGATTCTCACAGATGACAGTGCAGACGAGTACGTTCGTCAACATTTTGCTGAATACCCAGACATCCTGAACCACTATCTCTCACTCCCGGTACCGATTCTAAAAGCCGATCTCCTTCGCCAATTGATCTTATACATCGACGGAGGAATCTGGAGCGATCTTGACGTGACATGCCACCGCCCAATTTCTACCTGGATCCCAGAACAATATAAGAACAAAACAAATATCGTTGTCGGGTTGGAATTCGACGGGTTCCAGTTCGCAAGTTGGACGATAATGACAAAACCCAAGACAAGCCATATCGTGGCGGTCATCAAATATGTCGTCGATAAATTGAAGGCGACTGCTGCACAGCACCATGTGACCACTGCCGAACTTAACATGACCATGATCAACGATGTGGTGGAGCTTACGGGTCCACAGGCGATGACTGTTGCCATATTGCAGAACCTGCAAAAAGAAATGGGCATTCCTGTTGGCCGAGCGAATATAACGAATATTAAAGAACCCACCCTATTTCAGGACGTGCTCGTGCTGCCCAATGCAGCCTTTGCCTCTAGACAAGGTGGCTACCCGGAGGACAGAGGGCCTTATCTTGTTGAACACCATTACGCTGGTTCTTGGAAGAATGCCAATGGTGGCGAGACGAAATCGTGAGATAGTCGGAACTTTTTATATTCGCGTTGTACCGCACAAAACATATATAAGGCGACGGACATAGAAGCATAAGAGATATCTAATCCTTGCATTCAGCGTTTAAGTGACTATTGCTAGAATAATACTTGCATTTGAATTCCTGCCGACTATGGCTTTCTAATCTTGCGGTCGAACTTATGTGAAGAAATCCTTGGTTCTACCTTGTCCCGCCTAGGTGATCTTGGAACCCGGTGATTCCCACTAGTTGTTACGATGGAAATGATGAAAGGGCCTGTAGGCCAGTGGAATTCATTGATAAATACAAGACTAGTCGGCCGCTTATGCGGCCTTGTCATATCTTTTTGGTGATCTTTATAAGTTCTTTTTGGATGTCTTTCAACTGTTTTTTTAAGGTATGTGTTTGGTGTATACGATGGCAGCAAAAAAAAAGCATACTTTGTGCAAGAGAATTTTCTATATATAACTAGGGAAATATGAAGCCCCACTATGTAGGGCGTCGGTTTAATCGATCAGAGTGACAGGGTGTATACAATACTACTACGAAGGCCAATACATATAGTACTACTTATATTCAAACTAAACTCTAAGCTTCTAATATACTTCGAGTTCTACTATATATAGTAGTGTGTTTATTAAGCGAGGTTATATGACTATGGCCTCTATCTATATATATACCTCCGGGGTTGTATGGATCCACTTCGAGTCCTACGACCCTTACTGGGGAGTGGACATGATAGGAAGTAAGGATGGGTTGATTGGAGGAAGAACATTGGGCGGCCGCCTTCCAAATCCATGACATTGCACTCGAGCCTCAACCGTCGAACCCTTCCTTTAAATGGCTGATGGTCTGTTCAAGACTTGCTCGTTGACAGTTTTTCCTAATCCCGGCGCTTCGAGTAATGGGTTGGGCTTTGGGCCCACCCTTCGAGCCCATCGGCCGGCTATGGGCCCATCTACCGTGCCCATAGGGCGTATTGGGGCCTATAATGGGCCCTTATTATTAACCAAACAATACAAATATACCAATTTATTGCAGCTATATAATTAATGCATTTTTTCCCCGTTCTTTGGGGATATTGGTAAAGCGGTAGCGGTAACGATAGTGAAGGCGGCAAAGGCGAAGGATAGACGAAGTATAAAGGAGAGAAGAAGTAGATATTAAGAGAGAGAAATGTAGGTTAGAAGATATAAATAAGAATCAAAATTGATTTTTATAAAGCTTTACTTTTTTATAAGAGGTACTTATTTTTATTAGGGGTTTATATAGTAAGTAGAGGTATTATAGTTAAGTATTATTACAATTAACTAGTTATTAACAACTCTAACTAAATTGACAAAACCCGTTCTTTCAACAATCTATACGGACCATAATGACTAATTATAATATGCACTTTTATATAGTATGCCCGGTACCCAATGTTATATGATGTTTCTAGTATATTACCTGGTTTCTACCATGTATTCGGACTTGGTATTCGACAGTATCTTCTGTTTATTTTTTAAGAGAACAATACTTTAATTCATCAAATCTTGAATAACCAAAAAACAAGGCATGGCCATGAATCAAACTCAACGCGCCCCACGTTCCGTCCCAGTGTCTTGCATGTGCGTTGGGTACCTTCCACGATGCAACGCAGAAGCACTAAATCAATAATTCAGAGGGAAAATGGAGAATACGCAAAAGTGGCTACTACGTGTAGTGACAGGGCGGTTAACCTCCCTAGGTCGCGCCACGGGTCGTACGGAGTAAGTTTTATCAATAAGATACAACGTAATTGGCATAGGATCAGCAATGTACGGAGTGACCATGAGATAAAAGGTTCCCTGTCATCCTACACGTTGCCATTTCAGGCTCCCCAAAAAAGTTTACAGACATCCAGTTCAGATTTACCCAAGCTTGAAGTTGCTCAGCCGCGAACTTACTTTGGTTCCTTGTTATACTATAATCTCTTTCCTTTTTTTTTCCCTCCCCCCTTGTTCTCTTTCTCTTCCTTTGGTTTCATTTTGTTGTATTACTGTGTGGTGGTTGATTTATTTGCTGTGAATAGAAGGGTCTTGTTCTCGATAATTATTAAATGTGCTTGTGTTTATAGTTTCATCAATAAACGTTAGAATAGGCCACCAATGCCAAGTATGTCAAACTGGCTCTGAGTGAATCCTTTTACCTTTGAGAGAAAGTAAGTTGTACTAATATTTTATATTCGTCTAGCATCTAGGTTTAGTTAATATATTACAAGGGAATACTTTCTGTATCATTGTTATTAGTCATTTTTGAATGGCATGAGTTCTCAGCTTGTTCCTCCAAGTGTATTCACCAAGTGTGTGGAGGGGTTCCAATCCTAGTATGCTGAGCACTTGATCAGGCGGAGTTTTGCAACCACCCAATATCCCATTTAGTGTCGTATTGAGGAGTGGCAACTTGGATTCATTCTATACCCCGCATCATGATTTGGGTCTGCATCTGCATTGGCGGTAGGCGTACTAGACTCAACATGAATGGATGGGTTGTTGTCGAATCGCATTAAGCTTCCCCACTAGAACACAAGAGATGGTCATATTCATGGCTACCTGAACATCTGGTTCCTTCCACTGCAGGTTGAGCTTTCAGCTGAACTGCAGTAGATGTTACATTCCACCAAGAGGGGTATCTACTCCCAGCCAGCCACCGGTTTCTTGATTTTGGGAACTACTATTAGTACTTATGACATTGTATGCATTTTTCTCTAAATACCAGCCTAATAAGTATCTTGGCTTGACATCTCCAATATTCCAGACTCAAGAAGTTATTTTCTTTTCTCATTTCAACCCGTTCAGACTTAGAGACGCTTGGCCGAAGTACTTCATTATGGATCCCCAGAAATTGAGTATGGCCCCAATCAATTGTGATATTCAAACCGGTGGGCAATCACTAAAACAAGTCTTTCCTCGCAGACACTGTCCAGGCCTATCTGGAAAAGATATACAGCGACAATGACCTACTGAGCGGACTTCTAATTAATGTCACGGAGAAGAAGGCGAACCCGACCGAATATATCGAAAAGAAAGGGTTCAAATTCCAGTCTGACGACTGGGAGGCTGTCAAGGTGCTGGAAAAACCGGGGCCAAATTTCGACCTTCGTCTCGCGGCAGGAGTCTACCGGTTTGACACCAATAAAGCCGGGCTATGGGAACTGATGGTTCATTCAGTCACCCGTGCCATCTATGGTATGTTCATCTGGATTAGAAGCCCAATTTATCTCCAATATAAATAAATACAAGCTCTAATGCGTGTCTTGTATAGTCGACGGAAAACAAGTCACGTCTCAGAAAACAAATAGCCAGGGATGGGTCACTTGTTCAACTGAGTCACAGCATGACCTTCGCATTCAGTTCAAGTGCGCAAGCATAGTGGGGGAGCCTCAGCCTCACTCGAAACCCCAGTTCACAGGCGAGGTTTCCAAGACTGGGGAGGGCGGGGGAAAGGAGGTAATCACGGGCCAACGATACTATCCATGGGGCAATGCGTACGATAAGATCAATACGAAGCAGCTCATTACAAATCCGAGTACCAGTGCGTCTGATGAGATAGTCCGGGTGTGTCGAAAGCTGCGCGAGGATGAAGCTGTGAAGTCGTTGGCTGTAGCCCTGGATCTTTTAGCCTGTCAGTCCAGGCCACTAGATAGGCCTCACGAGATCTCAACATATGGGTCCATCGATAAAGGGGACCTCTTGGTCGGTGGAGTCCACATTGCGCTTACTCTTTCCTGTGCAGCAATTGGAACGTATTTTGGAAAAGTACTGGGGGCTTTCGTGGGAGCCATTGGCGGAGGGGTGACGCGAAATTACTTCATCGATATCAGAGATAATGTCGTTAAGGGGTGGAGCCGAGACTTGAAGAGCCTCGTTTCGGAAAAAGAGCTTGAATTGGACGATATTCTGAAGGAGAAAATCAAGGAAAGAGTGGAAGAAAGGGATAATGTTCAACTGAAGGATCCGAATCTGTCCAAGGAGATTGAAAACGAAGTAAAGGGGATGTATATTCTCAACGCAAAGGACCAGCTGGCGGACGACGTTGAGGACAGATTCCAGTGGTACCAGACCCTGTGGACAAGAGAATTCAAGGAGGCATACGACGCTGCTCTGACTGAAAAGTTCGACGAACAGATGCCTCAATCGCAGATCGAATCTCTGGTCAAAATAAACATCGATAGGAGAGTTGCAGAAAAAGTGATACCGGACGATATTAAAGAGCTGGGAGTGCAACTTGATAATGCCGATCAAGACAGAAAAAAAAAGGAGGAAGAAGTTGACAAGTCGGGTAAAACGTGGGCAGAGAAGAGAGCAGAGAAACAGAAGATTAAAGACGAGTATGACGGAAAGGTGAAAAGGCTGAAAGGGGAGATAGAAGAAAAGCAAGAAGACAAGGACGAACGTGAGAAAAAGTCGAGTGGCACTATTATTGACAGCACTTTAGAAGAGATCAAGAGGAATGCAGAGAGGAGACGAAAGGAAGCCATCGACAGAGCAGCACGCAAGGACCGAGACGGGGAAATTGTCTAGCTTCGTTTAATTCTTTTTAGCTTAAAGGGTCATCTAATTGACCATGGAGGAATTGAACATTGATTTCTACATAACTCGATACATCTTGTAAAACCGCAACAAGATCGTGTTGTAGCATTGCTTTATGAAGAGATACATACCGAGTATAGCGCATATTAAATAGCGCTCCCCCCTTAGTCTAGTCTAGCCATGGCAATTCACTCAAAAGAGGGGTACATATATATCACGAGAAATTTATCCGAGTGTAGTAATCATTGTAAGGGTTATCATGCAAAATCCGTTCAATCTGGCTTACACTGCATCTGACAGGACAGGGATCAGGAAATCTGCTGCATCTACGTACATTTACCACCCAAACTGCAGTAGAAAACCCCCTTATTTCGCAGGAATTGTGCCCATCAGCACAAGATCCCCAGGGAACATCATACCGGAGACTGAAATAAACTTCTCACCCGGAGCCAGTATATTCTGGGTCGCAAAGAAGTTGAGCTCGTCCAAGGCAAAACTGAATTTGGGAAGAGAGGCATGAGGTGTGAGTTCAGCACCAGGGTGGGCTGGCTCAGTCCACGTTGTTGGCTGATCACTGTCGGTTAGTGAAAGATCGAAATCAATCTTGAAATCCTTCACCCATGCGAGGGTTCTTTCGCTCTGCACGAATGTTAAACACGGTAGGGCTATAGCAAGTTGCCAGAAAGGGGTGTACTTACTCCTTCAACCTTAGCTTTAACCTCGAGGCCAACCTTAGCAGCGTTGGCCCAGTAGTTTGTATGGGCAGAAAAATCCCAGTCCCATTTATATTTTGGGCTCGTATAAGGTGACTCATCTAAAAGTGTAAGGTGAAGGGGATACTCATTCCAATCAATATCACACTCTTCGATGTAATAATTGATCGGATAGACGAAGTAGCTTTTCCCAGGGACAATAATTGATTTCTTGTACTTGATGTCCAGGAGAGCACCAGGGGTTGATTCGCTTTTAGACTTGGTCTTGTCGACCACGTCCACCGCAGAGGACAGTTTGCCCATCCTGTCTAAGAGAAACTTCTTGAAGAAAAGTTCGCGAGAGATGATAATACACGCCGTGTGGTCCTGTGGTATAGAACTAAAGCCAAAGTCGCTGTACCGACGTCCAAACTGGGTATTCTGGTCATTCCCTGGACTGCTACTCCCACCTTCGGTCTGGATGAAGAGATTCAGCAGTCCTTTGGATGAGACAAGCTTGTACGACTTGGGGCGGAGCAGTTTCGATGTTGGATCAGTTTTGGTATTGATTTTGGCCAGCCCGTAATCAATCATATCCACATTTTCGATATCCTTGAACCACGCTTGAACTGAAGGGCCGGCCTTGTTGAGCTGTTCCTCCACAACCTTGTCAAGTCCTGCGTGGGGCGCAATAGTCCATTCAGAGCCCATGTTCTGGAAATGAAAGATCACACAATGATCGCTGTCGCCCGTGTCTCCAAAATGGATGATATGCTTGGCATCCTGGTCATGCTCCTGTCAGTCTAGCTGCTCTTTACAGACAGAAGAAGGGTAATGACCTACCTCGATATCCTTCTTGGTAAGGTTGAAAGACGTAAGTGGAACCTTCATTACCAAATCGGCGGAACCCGCAGGAATGTCCTTCTTTGTTTCCTTTGGTTTCGCACTGCCTACTGTGACCGTTGTTTTCATTGTTCCGGTGAATCCCATGGTGAGATTGACCTTTGGTCCTTCATTATTCATGGAATCGAAGCTCAACCGGGGTGAAGTCAAGCTCAGATCGAAACTGTGCTCGATCGTAACGTCTTCCACAGTCTCCTTCGCACCAGGGAATGTGTGGTTGTAGAAGAATTTCTTCTCGCCCCAGACCTTGTCAAGTAAACTGTTCAACTCCTTTTCCGAGTAGGACACTAGAATATCCCAGTCGTCAGTGGTTTCTTTGCCACTGAGCTTTTGGTAATAGTCTGCTTTTGATTTCTGGGGGAGGGCCATAGTGACACGTTCAAAGATATGGATAATATTATGGTGATGGTGATGAAGCAGTTGTGTTTAAATGTTTAGAGAGTAAGAGTGATGAGCAACAAATCTTCTCTTATATAGAGTAAAGTTGGGTGAGAGAATGCCTATACATAAGTACGGTCGGAAGATACTGGTAAGTGGCTTTCTGTCCCAAGGTGTAACGAAAGAAGGATCAACTAGCTGAGGAAATAAGAAAATTAGTAGGAATAGCCGCTATTGGTCAGGCTCAATATGCCGTTTGGTCCCCTGTTCATCAGCGGAGGATCTACACCTGCATCCTGAACCCATATGCCTAATGATTATTGGTTGATTGTATGTTGCAACCATTCTGCAGCAACAATCACATTTTTTTTTTATGCATAATAATCCCGCAACCCCAGAGTTCAGCTCGTCAAATGTAACGAAGGAGTAGCTGAAAACTACAACTTGCCTGGCTGGCTGATCCTACGTAATAGGAAGAGGGGTACATGATGTATGATGCTGCTTTTGTTGTTTGGTGCATAACTAGCTGAAAGCTGGGAAGTCATCCTACGCCTCTATGTCAGGATGTTAACACGGAGACGCCGATCTGGCAATGATGAGAAGATAGATAACTGTATAAATAACGCAGTGGAATATTGAGCATAATTTACAGCATCTGTCAACACCAATTGAAGCAACACACTTTTTGTTATTTCTTACATCCAAAGTGAAACAAAATGCCCTCAAAGCCCCTTCCAGACCCTGATACGGTCAAATACCCTTTGACTGATTCTCAACTTCTCTTATCCGTTTCAGATGATTCTCATAGTCCTGAGACGAGTATCAAAACTCCATTTGCTTTGTACGTGGAGCAGTTTAGCCTCACCGGAGACTTAAAGATTGATAACCAACACGATCCGCCCGGCAATGGTTTCGGTATTTTCACCAGCGAACTGTATGGCCCGGAAGTAACACCGAAGGGCTGTAAAATAGCCATTTCTGGGAAGGGAGGTGATGGAAATCATCCCAACGGATATGATGGAGGAGATCTTCAGATCTATGCGGAGCACATTGATCCTTCCGCTGCAGAGAAGCTTTCTTTCTACAGTAAGCAGGGGCTACCATCAAATCTGTACAATAAAGTAGCTAATATATAATAATAGGTGATGGGGGTGCAGGGCTTAACCGTGATGCCGTGACAGGACAGGACACTGGCCCTGCTGGTGGAAACGGGGGAAACGGAGGAAAGATCACTGTGATCATAAGCAGCAAATTCCAAGAGGCTTTTGAACTGTGCGTTCGATTATACAAGAAGCTACAGGACGAGAAACAAGTTTGGCCCCGAGATCTGCAGAGCGATGCCGACCTCCTAGTAGCAGTCGTCAATCAGAAGGAGATCGGAAAGGCAGTGAAGCTGCCTGACTCAGTGAAGACAAAGGAGTCGATGCTCAAAACCTCAAGGGAAACGATACAGAATGATATCTATGAACTATTTGACAACCTCCAAACGGCACGCAACAACCTGACGGGTACCATCCAACAACACATTTCTGTGCATGGTGGCTTATACGGCACAGGCGGTATGGGGACTAAAGCGCGCGGGCCCTCTGGCGCCCCTGGAAAAGTCGAAGTACCCCCACAGGTGTATCGTCTCGATCAAAAAGACAAGATCCTTGACGGCAATGTGTGCTTTGCGCATCCTACACAGTGCCGAATGCTGCTTGACATGGGAAACCTTCTCTGGTTCTGTGGGACAAAAGAAGACAAGGCCAGGGCTTCTGTTATTTTTAATCGGCTTGCGAGAAGACTGGCATTCTTGGGTGTCTCCGAGAAGGAGGCCAAGATCTCTCAGACAAAGCTTGCGCAGGTATACCGGGATGCTGAGTCTTCCTTGTATATACTCAGCAACGGAGATAAAACGCAAGAGCCCATATCCTTCAGTCTCCTGCGTGGTATCAAAAACGAGGCTGAAGCCAACCTGGCCAGTCTGCTATCTGGCAACAATTCCTATGGTAAAAGCCAGGAAAATGTTCCCAGAGGCTCATTCAAGTTCTACGAAGGCGCCATCCGCCCCATGATAGAAACCCTGGAGAAAGCCGAAAAAACTTACCTCACCTTTCTACGAGGGGAGATGGATGCTCAGCAAAAGAAGGAGGCCATTCGGGACCGACAGACCAAATGCACCTTTCGCAAAGGCCTGGTCGACGATCAAATCAAGGAAGAGAAAAACAGCCTCACTGATAATTTCGACAGAATACAGGTCTCCGACCAGTCTATCAAACCGGCAAAGGAAAGCCTTTTAAGACAGTTTGACAAGGTGAAAGATAAAATCAAACTTTCCACCAGCGTTTCGTTTGACGACCTCATGTCTGCTCTTTCCCAGATCATCTTTGTACACGGATCTGCACCCATGGTCATTCTCCAAGGCGCAAATTTGGCAAATACAGCACTCACAAAGCTCGAGTCAGACAGTGGCATTAAGGTCAAGAGAGAGCTTCTATTGAGGGAAGTCAAGGATATGAGTGGAACGATCGACGGACTTGGCGAAGGGTTCAAAGTTCTCAAGGATGGCGGCGTCAATTTTGATGACCCAGGGGCAACCAAGCTACGTGTCGCTGCAGCAGAAATGGAGAAGCTCCTAGGGGAATTCCACGATGTTCTTGGGGATGATATGGTAAAGGAGGTCAAAAAAAGATTCGATGATTACATCGGTGAGTCTTAACTATCTATTGATGTAAACATTCTAATTGGTCAACTTAGAGATTGTCCAACAACGCAATACAGCGGTATTGGGGTATACAAAAGCCGTGTCGTTGCTGATCAAATGCCAAACCGAACTTGACTCGCTCGCCGTTGAGCAGATCGACATCACTCGCCAGCGGTATGACGAATTGGGTGCAGATCATCCAACCATGACAGCATTCATGAAAAAGCTATACACCGACAGCATACATACAACACAAAACTGGCTGCACACGATGCAACTGGCATATCAGTTCGTTGCTCTCGACAAGGAAAACTACATCGGTAAGGCAATGGAGGGCTTCAAGTTTTCTCAGTTCAATGCCTCGACGTTGGGAAATGTGTACAGCAAACTTTCCACCCAATACACTTCGTACAAGGAAAGTATGGGCCACAACCCTCAGACATACAAGGAGCTGCCCTACACTATCCCTGATCGCTACGTCCGGTCCATCAGGCTGGGAGGGAAAGATGGAGTTGTACGCACGGTTCCGATCCCAGTTGTTCCACCCACAGGAACTCCCAACCCTTTTGATGGAATGATCGACATTCGTCTACTAAAGGTCCGTGTGTTTCTGGATGGTGCAAAGACGTCCAATGGATATCTCGATATTACACTCAAACACCAGGGAACCGAGACAATCTTGAACAGGGATCACACTAGGTTTGATTTCCAACACGCCCCTCTTCCCGTCAGGTTCAAGTATAACATGAAGAATCCCCATTATCCAGACCACGACACAGTAGACGGGGATATAGGCTCGGCAACTGACGAGACATATTCAAAGGTTGGTCCGTTCACCAACTGGACCATCCAAATTCTACCTCAACATAACCCGGGGCTGGATTGTTCGGGCGTCACTGCTGCCAGATTTGAGTTTTGCTTCAATTTCTATGCAACAACCTAGGTCAATTTCCACATCACAGTGTTAGAGGTCATGTGATCTCGCTTGCTTGCTCCTAGTACAATTAGTCTTATAGTAGCTAGTTCTCTTCCTTTCCTAACGCAACATGACATTTTCCAATGCACTACAATATTCATAGTAGTCCTACTAGATCTGTCTATCATATAGATATCGTATCTAATAGTATGAACCTAAGATTGAGAGGTAGATGCCTTCATTCCCCGCCAGCTCTATCCCGAACAGATCTCGTGCGCAATGATAGTATCAGGATTCATATGGAGGTGGACACCTCCTACTAGGAAGCTATGATCAGTCAAACCTTGAAACCCAAAGCTTTGGCATTCATGTGAAAAGTTGGCCAATATGGGAAGACGAGGACAGAAAAATCCGGAACTGGCATTAGATGAGAAGGTGAAGCGGCCTGTCGATCAATCTGCTTTGAGGCTTTGTGATGAGAATAACGCTCATAGGGTGTTAGGAATTATTGCATATGATTGGCCCTTGTCTACTCCTTGCTCCACTTTGGAGAAGTCACTGAAAAAGTCTGGCGGGATGTAGTCTCCTAGTTTTTTTTTCTTACATATAATCATTTCACATGTGTTGATATACACTTGTGTGATACGCTAAGGTAGAAAATGCAGTGCAATAAACAAACAAACAATTCATTAAGGCCTGGCGGCTAAGCCGGAAGGGCAACTATCACTAATCTATCAATACATGCCCCCCATTGGCCGAAACCCGCAGTATCCAGTTTGAGAAGATGCAAGCTCTAGTGCCAAGTCGACCGTGCACGTTGTTACTGAGAGCTCTTAGCAGTGTCCAGAGTACCACTAAGCCCAGAGTGGAAGTAGGTTTTAATCAACTTAGAACGGACGGTCCGCTTCAGCCTTTCCCTTATCCTTGAGTTTATTGCAAGCCATGGCCTACGATTGTTAAACTGGCTATCCCCGGAAGATAGAGATCTTTATGCAGCAGCTGGCATTTAGTCAAAAACTGCTCAGCCTGTTGCTATCTCTATGGATCTTGCTCATCGACGAGCCTGACATGTAGAAGCCCGTGTGAGGAAAACCTAGGATCATGTCGAGGGTTTGAACATTAAGAAATCAGTTCTTACCCGGCCTTGCGCTCTATGCGTACTAGGCAAAGGCCATGCTTTACCTTTCGGCAAGAACAAATCCATCCGCACGAATCTAGGTGATTTAATTCACATCGATATCTGGGGACCGTGTAGTATTGCTTCCTACGGAGGCTACAACTACTACGTCACATTCACTGACGATGCGTCCCGTTTTTGCTGGGTGTTTCTTCTAAAACACAAGTCGGAATTGCTTGATAAATTTATTCAAATCGAGCAGTGGTTCCAAGCCCAATTGAATCTCAAGATCAAAAGAGTAGTTGGTGATAACGCCGGCGAGCATGAACCTCTTCGAGACCATCTGCTTTCTAAAAGCAAGTCTGGGACCCTGTCTCGCCGTATTGTCCTCATTTGAACGGCATTCCCGAGGTCAAGAACAAGCATCTTGTTGAACCTCTCGTTTCAACCATGTCGGAACACGAGATACCCAAGTATTTATGGGGTCCAATCATCCAGGGTTTCAATTACACTCAAAACCGAATCTATCATTCTAAAATCGAATGCACTCCGTTCGAAAAGGTCTTCGGTTATCAACCTGACATTTCACACCTTCGTGCACTAGGCTGTCAATGCTGGTTTATGATTCCAAAGGATAAGCGCAAAACAAAGCTGCACCCGCACTCCGCGGAAGGACGTCTCCTTGGTTATGATCAACGAGGTCATTATCAAATTCATGATGTTTCTACAAAGATTGTCATTTCCCGAGACGTTGTTTTCGATAAGATGCCTGTTGTCTCTATTCCAAAAGCATCTGACGATCTAAATGCTGGAAAGCCGTTTTCAAAGCATCAAGAAGCTGATTCTCGCTACGTTCCTATTGAATTCCTCCCTCAACAACCCGCCGAGTCCTCTCCGCCGAACTGAGCGAATCCGACGAATGGTCTCGACAATGGTGTGGTGGGAAAAAAGGTGGCGCCGGAGGAAGGGGGTGAGCCTGATGTTGTGGAATCCCAGGATGATCCCGTACGATCTCAGGATGATTATCCTGTGGACGTACAGCAAGATCAAGATCCCAACATGCAAATGCCTTCCTCACTGCCGAACTTGCTTCATGAATCAATTCAACCTGCACAGGAAGATGCTGATGCTGATGAGCTTGCTTCTCAACAGCAGCCTGTCTCTCAACAACCTCTCCGCACATCAACCAGGATTGAAAATCCAAGCCGTGCTATGCTGGAGCACCTCGCTTCCCATTGTATTACTTTGGATCCTACTGCAACCGTGCTTTATGCATGTGATAATAACGATGTCATACTCTCTATTTTCACAGCCACCCAAAGCCGGGGGGAAGATGACAACATATAGTTCTCTCAGTCCTCCAGCACACAGTCCTCCAATCTTACAGCAGAGGATATAGGGTATATCCCTAACGGCCGGGTCGATGTCATGAACTGCAAAGAAAGAGATAAATGGCTTTCTGCCACACAAAAAGAGCTACAACCCCACTTGCAAAATGGCACCTGGAAGATCGTTGATAGAGACGCCAATAAGACAAAGACGGAACCCCTTATCCTTCGCTGGGTCTTCGACATTAAGAAGGACGATGGCCGCTACAAAGCCCGCCTCGTTGCAAGGGGGTTCAATCAAGTTAAAGACGTCGACTTCCATGAAGTATACGCTGTTGTTGCAAAGCCTATGTCTTTCAAAATCTTTTGTGCAATTTCCGCTGCGCTAGGCTGGGAGCTTCACCATTTCGACATCAAGACCGCATTCCTGAATGCAGACATTAAGGAGTCTATCATTGAACTACCAGAGAATCAGGTAGCCGGAGGTGCGGAAAAGATAGCTGAAGAAACAGCAAAGATCAAAGAAGCTTCTTCTATAAAAGCTTCTTTATCCTAGCAAGCAAAAGCTTCTTCTTCATCTCAGCAAGCAAAGCCTACATCTCAGTAAGCAAACCCTCGATATGACAAGATAGAATTGTTGATGAAATCCGTCTATAGATTGAAACAAGCTTCTAGGGAATGGTATATGCTTTTGCATGATGCCTTGCTAACGATGGCCTTTCAGAAAACTCACGCTGATCATTCTGTTTTTGTCAAATGGATTGATAAAGGCACAGCATTTCATCCTCACTGACAAAGGCTCTGTTAAAGAATACCTTGCAATTGAAGTCCAGAGACATGCAGGATCTATCTCTCTCTCCCAGAAGAAGTTTATTACTACTCTTCTTCATCAATACGGCATGCAAAACTGCAAGTCAGTGTCAACCCCATTCAACGAGAAAGAACCCCTGATTGCATACACTGGGACTACGTCACTCACAGCAAGAAAGCTCTATCAAGAGCAAGTGGTAAAAGCTATCTGGCTGATGGTTGGGACTCGACCGGACATCTCGTATGCTGCCATCCAGCTAGCAAAGCATGCTAGAAATCCGGGCCCCCAGCATGAACAAGGTGTCAAACGCCTGTTTGTTATCTTGCAGGAACAGTTGACCTTGCGATCTGGTATCATCGTGATCAATCACATCATCATTGTCACTCCATGGATTCTGCGACGCTGGCCACATTAGCCCGCACTCGACAAATGGAATCTCCACATCTGGCTTTGTTTTTCACCTGGCTATTGGTCCTATTTCCAGGGCTTCCAAAAAGCAAGCGTCTGTTGCATTGTCATCTACTGAATCCGAATACATTGCACAAGCTCTCGCCGCACAAGAAGAAAAGTGGCTTATCTTGCTTCTTACAGAGCGTCGTATGCATGAACCACAGCATGCCTTGCTAAACAAGCCTGTCACCATTCACGCCAACAACACTGGTGCTATTGCTCTTGCGAAGAATCTAGAATATCATGCACGTACGAAACAGATCGCTGTCCGCTATCATTTTCTACGACAGGAGGTTCAAGCAGGATCCATCTGCTTCAAGTACATTTCAACGAAGGGGATCCCTATTGGCACAGTCAAATCTCTATTGGCACAGTGGTCTAACTTGATTAGGAAGACTTGGCAGTCAGTTTTCAATACGAGTGCCATTTTCTATGGTATTTGTGACGTTACGCCATTGTTCCGTCGGTTCATGTACCCCACACGGGCCGCAAAGCTTAATTTATTGAATCTACAACTCCACAATAACCCACAATGCAGATAATACGTAGTTATGCTATTGTAAACCAGGGCCATTGATAGATATCATTCTAATTATTTGGAGTAGATGCCTGAAGGCTGCCTTGGGTGGTTAGGGGACCGTTTGAATGGGTAGTCGTTCAATTCAGGAAGGAACGCGTAGGACTGGTCTTAAAACCTCGACTCTTGTTTTTGTTTTTCTCTTTCTTCTTCTTCTTCTTCTTCTTCTTCTCTTCTCTCCCTAACTTTCCCATTCTAAATCGTTTTTTATTCTTGAAACACAATGCCTCGCATCGATTCGTTTGTGTTTGTTGCCCTGCTTGCGGCCATGGCCGCGTACTGGCACAGCGACCTTGTCCAATTTGTTGGAAGTGTTGTGGTTGGTTTCACCTTGTTGGTGACGGGGATTTGCTGCATCAGCGGGTAAGTTTAGGAGAACCCATCCCTCATATGTCCCATCCAAATACCCTGCCAAATACCCTGCCAAAAGCCAATCCAAAAACACATCCAAATATAAATTGAGACTGACATTCAATAGTCCCCGCGCATGGCTTTTCCAGTTGGTGCAATCGGTGGCAGTGTGGGTGGCCGATGTCGAAGTCACCCAGGTCACCCCGGCCACCCACTCCACCGAGGCCACCGAGACCGAGAAAAGTCTGAGAGCCCAGGTGAGGGTTTTGGAGCAGCAGCTGCGTAGCACGGAGGCACGAGTTCGCGATTCTGAGAGAGCCCGGGAGACCGAGAAGAAACGCCATGGAAAAGAGGTCCTCCACCTGGACGCCCAACTGGCGACTGTCTCCCGGGGTATCAAGGAATCCCTGCTTGCGAAGGATCGGGTAATCGTCGAGTGCCGCCAGTGGCGGCGCAAGTTCGAGGACCTGGAACACCTACAGCAGCAGGCCCTGGAAACTCCCGTCCGCGAGACGAAGGAGCGTCCTCGTTGGGCCCCGGCCAAAAAATACGGAGTTGGGAAGCGGGAACGTGGTCGGTCGGAAAAAACATTCACTGCCATTGCGCAGGTGGCGATTGTCAATGCGGCGTGGGAGTCGAAGCTGGTCAGCTTCGAGGGCGAGGCTCGAGACTATGTGGCCCGCACCGACGACCAGATTCAGTCTCTCCACGCCGCCATCACCGCGCTTAGCAACGAAAACGCCTACCTCCAACAGCAGATGAAGGCGACCCCCGCCATCCCTCATGAGCTGGCCCAGCAGCAAGTGAGTGATGCGGTGGCAAGCGCGATGCTGTTTGCTGATCAGAAGCATGAGGAGGTTGTCAAGTTGCTAAAGCAGACTCATAGCGAGGAGCTGATGGCAGTCAAGGCCGGCCACGAGAAGGAATCGGTTAAGGCAACATCGACAGTCAAGGCAGAGGCGGAGACTGCGCGAGCCCAGCAGCGTGAGGCGGTTGAGAGAGCGGCGCAGGAAGGAAAGCGCCTGGAGAAAGAACTCGCCGCTAAGGAAGCGCAGCTGGGCGAGCTACAGACCGCCAATGCTAAGATTGCCGGTGACCTTCGAGTCAAGGAGGAAGCATACCTCCAGCTCGAGAGTGAGAGGGACGGCTTCCTAGCAGCCGGCGAATGTCTACAAGCCCGGTGCGATGAACTCGAGACCGAGGCAGACGACTTCGCGAGGGAAAAACAGGCCCTTGTGGATGAGATTGAGGACCTGAAGGATGCAGCGGAGTACCTAGCTGACCAAGGCGAGCAGTCAGAGCAACAGGTAGAGGAACTAAAGGACAACAACCGAGTCTTGCTGGAACACAACTCGGAGCTGCTTTGCCAGACAGTGGTATCCGACCTCGACCTCCAGCAGACTCGGTGCAGAGTGGGCAACCTTAAGCGCCAGGTGGCGGATTTCGAAGCCGCAGACATCACGACAGCGGTTAGCGTTATGGAGTTTAGTGCTGAATAAGCCACTATCCCGGCCTCCCGACCACCGATCTCCGTTGCTGTTCGGTTGCTCACTCTGTTGTTGTCCTTCCGCTGCTTCCTCAGGTTCACTAATCACCTCTCAAGGTCCCTGTCCCCTCTCCCTCCTTCCTCCTTGTTGCCCTCATCTATTCCCTTCCCCCTTCTAACTGCCCCATTTCCACCTGGTGTTCTCTTCTCTCCACCGCGACCGACGGTCAGCACTCATTACATCACAGCATGTCCCGTTGGCCACTCACGCCCCTCTTATGAATTCATCACCATACCGCTCGTTTGCCGCTCGGCCATTGATGCTGAGTCTGGCCAAGCTTCTCCTCGTCGCCGTATCGCAAGTTCCTTTCACCACTGCTGCGCCTATCTTCTCGCCTCTTTTTCTCTCATCCCGCGACACAGAACCACCAAAGGAACCGACCGATCCGAGTTTATGGCTTTACTTGGGATTTTCAGCTGCTCTTGTGTTGAGCGGTGGAGCATTTGCGGGTCTTACGATTGCCTTGATGGGACAGGTCAGCTCTTTCCAACCCGGTTAAAAACTCCCCGATGAACCAGGCTGACATCCTGATTACTTCGTCGTACAGGATGAAGTTTATCTCCAAGTCATCAAGACATCCGGCGAAGGTCACGAAAGGAAGAATGCCACTAGTGTTCTCAACCTCTTGAACCACGGAAAACACTGGGTTCTTGTCACGCTCCTCCTCAGCAATGTGATCACAAATGAGACCTTACCCATCGTCCTTGACCGAACACTCGGTGGTGGTTGGCCGGCGGTGTTAGGAAGCACTGCTTTGATTGTCATCTTTGGCGAAATTGTTCCACAGTCCATTTGCGTTCGTTACGGTCTCCCCATCGGTGCCTGGATGGCACCGTGCGTCTTGGTCTTGATGTACATTATGTCTCCAGTCGCCTGGCCAATCGCAAAATTGCTAGACAGGCTGCTTGGAGAGGATCATGGTACTATCTACAAAAAGGCCGGGTTGAAAACACTCGTCACTCTCCACAAAACCTTGGGTGAAGCCGGAGAGCAACTCAACTCCGATGAAGTGACCATTATCAGTGCAGTTCTCGACCTCAAAGAGAAGTCAGTAGGCAGCATCATGACACCAATGGATGATGTCTTCACTATGTCCGCCGACACTGTCTTGGACGAACGCACGATGCACCACATTCTTTCCCAAGGATATTCGCGCATTCCCATTCACGCCCCTGAGAATCCGATGAACTTTGTCGGTATGCTCCTTGTCAAGATGCTCATCACATACGACCCGGAAGATTGCAAACGGGTGCGCGATTTTGCTTTGGCTACACTTCCTGAAACACGTCCTGAAACCAGCTGTCTGGATATTGTGAATTTCTTCCAAGAGGGAAAGTCCCATATGGTTCTTGTCTCTGAATATCCTAGTGAGGATCGTGGCGCTCTTGGAGTTGTCACCCTAGAAGATGTCATTGAAGAACTGATCGGAGAAGAAATTATTGACGAATCTGACGTCTTCATTGATGTCCACAAAGCCATCCGACGAATGACACCTGCACCCAAGTCTCGGGTTGCCAAAGGCAAGATCGTCGAGGAGCCTCCTTTGAATGGCTCTGTTGTCACCGATCGTGACTTGATCGACGTAGATTCCACACACCCTGATTCCATACAACCTTCATCTCTCCCTAAGCCTTCCGACTTAATTCGACGCCGCAGTTCTGTGGAAGCACCACTCCCCCGCTTTCAACTTCGCAAAAATAATACCGACATTAATTCAGACTCAGCAACTGAATGGGTCACACAAGTCGGCACCACAGATGAGATTCGAGAACACCTAAAACATCTTGGTCCCTCCAACCTCGCGAGCAGACCGCGCCAAACTCGTTACCATGCCGTCAAGATAAAGCGCAACAGCACCTCCCCCTCCCGTTCCGCACAAACCGACTTTGAGTCTGGACAAAGCACCTCCGACTCCCCAAAGCTTATCACTTCTTCTACTGGATATCAAGGTGGCATAGGCGCGGGCTTGCTCAACTCCGCTGGAACAGACGCTAAAGATGGTGCACATGCTCTCAAACTTGGCTACGGCACCATGACTTCGCAGGACAGCGTGAGCAAAGGCACCGGTGCTCAGCAATACAAAGACCTTCCCCAAGTCTCCATTCCCGAGGCTGTCCGTGAGGAACACGAAGACCAACCGCGTTCTGGGTCGACGCGCGAGGCTAGTAGTGTTGCTTTACCCGACGATTCCGAAAACCAACCGCGTTCTGGGTCGACGCGGAAGGCTAGTAGTGACGAAGGCAGTGTTGAATCGCCTGGTACACCAGGCTTTATTTACCACCACCGCGGACCGGCGCGTAGCGGAAGCATCACAGAACAGGTTGTGGATGTCAATGGCGTTCGCAAAGTTGTCCTTCATGCAAATTGCACGAGTTCCTCAGAAGGTGAATCCCATCCATCCGGCCATCATCGCCATCGCGACCACCACCACCATACCGACGGTTCAGTTCTTGATACCGATGACGCAAAATCAGAAAATCCCGACAGTGGCCAAGCAAAATCCAAAAAGAAGCGCCGCCGAAAGAAGCATGGCAAAGCTTCAAAGTCTGATGGCGGTCCCTCGGAGGACCAACCGTTACTCCGATGAGCTATTTGTTAGTTCATGAAATAAATTAGCGAACTCATATCCTCAATTATACCAGTATGTCCATATAGTCATGTATGTCAACTAAGAAGCCAAAAATCTCTGAATTCATGTGAAAATTTGATATACCGTACAAATTCTTTAGACTAGATTTCAAGTCACAGACCTTGTAGCTAAGCTTAGAAAGCAATGTTAACCAGGTGCAAAATGTTATATCGCACACGTACATAGGTCCGTCCAATCATCCTTTACTATGCTTCAAGATATCTATCTACTCACTTGCTTGCGGTGAGGCATTTGTCGTCTTTCGGGCACCGTCTAATACGAGAAACACAAGCAGCTATCGCTAATTTACTAGGACTTGAAAATGTAGAACAGTAGATATCATCTAAGTGCACTGTAATGAAAAAGCAATGGCTATGCAACTACCCAGGTACCCAGGTCCATTGAGATGGTAATGAGGGCAAAATATAACCACGAAATGCGAAGTATGATGTGGGAATAGACGAAGCGCCAGGGTATAGATGATCAAAACATAGAACTCCGCTTTTTTTCAAGCTTGGTAGCAGTATTTTCCTCCTTGTTGCGCCGGAACCCAAAGAAACCGCTCTTTTTCGGCTGGACTTGAGGTGTTGGCCTCGATGCCACTGGGAGAGCACCGCTGCTGGTAGGGTGGAACCCAACGGTAGACTGCGGTCGAGGTTGCGGGCGTAGTTGTTGTGGTCGGGACTGCATGAGATGGGTGGAGGATTGGTCTCGGGGATCCATGCGCCCCGATGCGTGGAGGTATGGGCCATTGGGGACCGATGCGCCGTGTGAATATTGTTGGCGGGGATGATGAGAGGGACGACCGATAGGTTGAGAAGAAAGTTGGACTGAAGATTGAGAGTGTTGGTGGGAGTAAAGTTGAGGGGGTCCGGTATGTCGGGGTGGAAGGTAGGGCCTAGAAGATGGAGCTGGAGTATGTCGTTGCTTTCGTGCTTGCTCTTCTTCTTTCCCGTATAACTTCCGCAGGCGTTTGGTCTCTTTTTCGACTTCTGCCTCTCGCCGACGTCGTGCTTTTTGTTCTGCGGCGAGAACCTCTTGGCTTCGTCGCTCCTCTTCCTGTCTTGCGAGTTCATCCTGTCGCTTCCTCTCTTGTGGGGCCGGGGATGAGGAATTCGGGATGCTAAGCCGAGGCGGCGATGGCCTTCCACTCATTGCCATGCTAAGGGGTCGTGCCTGTGGGTTCTTCCGATCGAGCCTGGGATCGCTAGTTGGTGTGGTCGGCGCCGCAATTGCAGTTGACCCTGCTACTGGCTTGCGAGCTAGGTTCGGTCCACCGGGGGTAATATGAAAGGCCTCCTTGGCAGGCCCAAAGAAAATGTCTCGAATCGCAACGGCTGCCAAGAGCAGGACGACCTCCAACCCCTTTGTATCTTCCATCTCGAGTCGGTAGAGATTGGGCTCGTAAAGAGTAAGCTCCTTCAGTCCTTGAAACAGAGCAACAGTAATATCTGGCTCGCGGCTCTTTGTGCGCGTGTCGGGAATTGTTGAAGTTTTGCCATGCAACAGACATGTCAAATCCTTTGACAGCTTTCCATCCTTGCGCCAGCTGAACCTCAACTTTGGAGTTACGTCTGCGATAGAGGGATCGATCTGAGTCTGGTCTAGCGCTGAAGCGGACGGAACACGGAATGTGTTTTGCGGCATCTCAAATTCCCACCGAGCTGGTTTGTTCCACGTTTTGGTATGATGTTTCACTGTGATTTCTTGGTCGGGGTTGTAGAGCTGGATAATGAACTCAGTAGGGAGGATGGGTTCTGGGGGTGGTACATCGCCACCATTTGCTCGTATTGTTTCTGCCGACATACTCGGTTGTGTCCAATCTGGGACTACGGCCACCTCGCCGTAGACAACGTCTGTCACGTAAGGGTTGTACAACGCGACTCCGTAGCGGTTTTGTGATGTTGGGGAGGCGGGGTCAAGCGCGCGCAAGGAGTAAGCAGGTTCGGGGTCGCTTCCATGTTGACTATGGTATATGGTGCTGATCTGAGGCTGTTTTGAGTTGTTCTTGAGAAAGAACGCTGTCCTGCGGTCAGTATGAGAATCTCGAAGCTGGGGGATGACGTAGCCTTCGCTAAGAGCCGAGGCCTCCTTGGTCCTTACAACGTACTGGGTAAATTTTCATCGATCATCTTGTCCTCCGGGGTGTGTAAAACTCAGCAAGAGACTCAGGTTATGCGGGGGGTTATATCCAGAGCTCGCCCGCGGCAGTGAAGTCTGCGCCACGGGACTTAATGATCGGCGCCTAAAAATAGAAGGCCTATCCCCGCTGATTCGTACTTCAATTGAAGGCACCAACATTTAAAGTATTTTAGAAAGCTATCTAGTTCAAGCTATACGGGGAAACGTAGGCATCGGCATTCTATGCATGACATCTGAAACCTAACTGCCTTATAAGCTTATAAATGGTTTGATTCGATACCTATGTACTTAGGTACGATTCTAACCGAAAGACTAAATCGACATGCTATCCTCACAATAAACATCGTACCGGCAATATTTCTCAAATACTGCAATTTCATTGTGAATCAATTTTATTATTAGTCTAATTGTGGTGGCTTTCCGTGAGATTTGTGGCAATGTAAGCGTTTCCTTTAAGAGAGTGTCTATATTGTCAATTCGATTAGTACTGAGTCTGAATCCAGAGGAAGGGCTCCAGTTATATGGGTACTTAGTCATAGATTAATCAGGCAGTCGTATTAACGCATCGAGGTGTGGCTTTTACATTCCATATTAGTACTGAGGGCCAAGAGAATGACTTAGCTGTTGGTAATAGGAATCCTCTTGGATATCTACATGACACAAGTCAGTTACAACGGGGTTATAAAAGGAATAACTTAGCTCTTTGGCAAGTCTATTGACATATGGCTAGCTGTAAAATCCAAATTAGTCATAATGGGGGTTCAAGGGAATGACCTAGCCGTTCAGAAAAGAAAAGAAAAGACTATGAGCATTCTTTTGGACAAAGCATTAAGACCTATATAGATGCGTTAGTATGGAATCCAAATCACAGGGGAGGAGAGTTAAATCTAGCTCACTATATGGCGGATCGCTGACCACGGTATATTGTGACCTATTGTTGAGATGTGTGTCTCTGTACATTTGGAATGACTGACCGGATGGACATATGAATGTAGAACGATATACTCGAAAGGCTTGGAACGATATATGGTGTGGTAATCTCTGAATCTCGTTAGTAAGGAAGGCAAAAGGGCGGAGGAAATGTTTATTAAAGGGCTTAGCCGTAGACAGGTAATAAATGATGTTCAGATCGATACTCTGATCGATACTCGTCGTCGAATACCACGGTGCCTTAAGTTTGCTATGTTATATGTTAGCAATGATCATCTAGCAGAAGGCCGCCCTGGCATATGTAGGTAGATACGAGAGCGTAGTATCTAAATGTTCCTAGATGGAAGTGTTAGTGTCTATCCTGTAAGTGAATGGAAAAGGTACTCAGCGAATAATTCTTAGCCCATATATAGTAGGTGGAAGACAGGCGTTGAGCTGTCTTGAGCTGGAATGCTCCTAATGATGGGATTAAAAGCGAGGGCCCAAAAGCCATTATATAGACAATTATACCCAAGACAAAGGGTAGCCAGCTCATAGCTTTTCTCCGCAAGTCCTTTGTCGGTATGCTTGTTGAGACTGTGATACATTGTTCACCCGAAGATAAAGAAGATTTAGAACGAGTAAAGGACTCTACAATGAAGGCCTTCATATAATCCATGCTCATCAGCTTTGTTCTATTGTTTGCTGAAACAGCCACCGAGGGATAAAATAGCCCAAGGGGCTCAAGTACCAAGGGAGCTGGAGTAAAAGAAATCAATAGACAATGGAATAAAGAGCCCTGCTTGAAGATCCGAGGAATTATTCTTGGTTTATGTCAGATCTATGTATATACTGGTTCTATCTTTGTAACCCGTCGCAATCGGCGACAACCGAAAAGTACAATGGCAATGTCCATCAAAATCACACTTTTGTTCACTGCCCAGTTCATACCCGGACTCCATTGACCTCCTCACCTCCAGTGGCCTTAGCCGCCTCCCGATCAGCAGTGCTCATCTGCAATCCCTGGTCATCCCAGCCCTGGGTGCCCTTCTTATACAGCGTCTTTTGTTCTTCCCGGCTGGGCATAGGTCCAGTCTTACCCCGGCGCTGCCGTGAGTCAATTGTCTCCTCAAGTGAGGCATTATCGCCATCCAGTGGGTATCCCTCCAAATCGTCTGTGTGTGTTTCCTCGCTGAAAGAGAAAGTACGGTACTCGGTGTTGGACCAGCCAGTACCTGCGAGAATGAAAAAACGGCGTTAGCGTTATGATCCCCTACAATCATAGCATCATATGACATACCCTGGAACTGGCTGCTGTCTTCCCAGTCTTCAGTGAAATAGTGCAAGAACCCGCCGTGTGTGACCATGACGATTTCCTTCTCGGGCCGGGCTTTCAACCAGCGACGGGCTGCACGAGCGCGTTCCTTCAGGGCTTTGTTGGTTGGGACGTAACGACCAGATAACTTGTTGAGAGATAAATGTGAGTACACCAAGTACTGGATACTGTTGGGGCAATCCCTAAACCGCAGGGAAGTAAGAAACATACCTTGTTATTCCACCCATCCTGCACAAGATCAAGATCAACTCCTGTCTTGAACTCCTCCCTCAGAACGGAAGGTTCGCTGCCAGTATCACATGGAACGTCTGAGGTCTCCTGAATATCAGGCAGGGCAATAATCTTCAAGTCCGGCTTTGACTCGAAGACAGGTGCAAAGCTTTCGAGCGCAGTATAGAGGGTGCGACGAAGGGGCGAGGCGGTTACCAGGTCGATGTTGGCATGGCGGGGGAAGTTGTCGCGGAGCGTTTGGCATTGCTCGTGGCCGAGATCAGTGAGGAGGGGGTCTTGGATGACGTGGTTGGCGGTGCAAACATTGTGCAGGCCCTGTGATTATCTATTAGTTCGACTGAGAATTGAAGAGCCATGTTTAAAGGTTGCGAATGAATTGTCGAGGCTCAGGGAGTCGGACTGCGATCATTGTCACGAAATGGACATACTTGGGCGTGGCGGACGCAGTGGATAATCGGGGCCATATTCGATGTCCAAGAGAGTATCGGGAGTAAGCTGATGAGTCTCACGTTAGAAACTTGCAAGAGTTGCAGATATTGATTGAAGACGCTGAAAGTGCTTATCGCGGGACGTGGGGGGTGATAGCGGTGGAGGGCTTGGGTAAGGGGCACGGGCAAATCGGAGTGCCTTACGGAGTATATTTAACCCCAAAAGTATTCCTGATATAATTGACAGATATATATGCGAGAAATAGAAATATTCAATTCAGGGACGTGAATGTTAAGAGTCATAAAACCCCCCGGACCTCAGAAGTCCGATTTGGTCATATAAATTTGCGGAGCGCCACATCGTCAAGCGAACCACAGCTCTGCATTGGAGTCCGATGGAGATTTATAAATTGTGATTTGTCTATCTTAATGAGGGATCCTCTTTAGATGTCTAGAAGGTCAAGTACTTCATGAGAATACGCTATTTGCGCCATATGGGATAGAATGCCAGCACCACATCAATGAAATATAGAACAAATGGGTATGTATAGGTAAACAATGGAATCTAACAACCTTTTATGCAACGCCGAATCCTTGGGCGTTTTCGAGAGCCTTGTCAAGCTTTTGCGCCAATGCCTCCCTTGACGAGTATTCTGGAAGAAGTAAACGTCCGAAGCACGTTAAGCTGGTAGGAAGACGCTAGAAGAACAATTAGTATGACAATCTATATTATGTAGGTATAGAAAGTGGTAGAACTTACCAAATCTCCCACGCCATTTTTCTGGATCACAAACATAATGCTTGATATCCCATTGACGGGTACTCGGTCACTGGCAGTGACGAATTCGAGTAACTGGGCCTTCTTTTCATCGGGGTATTGTTGGATAATACCCCAGAAGTCACGAATGACACGATGATCAGGATCAAATCCACCTTCATACCGGGTATGGTTCTCGAGCTCTTCTACGTCAATTGATTGAATACCCTCTACCACGGTTTTCAGGGCTTCCGGGGAGAAGATGGACAGAGCTGATCGGTCCAGGCACGTGTTGAACCCCCTCTGGAAGGCCTCAAACTGTGGTCGAATGGATTTGTCTGTGAGCCAGAAGATGTAATCCTTGACAAACTGATGTCGATTTTTGTTGGTCACAAGAGCGGCCTCTTCAGCCGGCGGTAGAGGGAACTGAAGCGATATGGACTCAGACACTGGCTTGGCGGTCGGGTCTGAGGCAGGCTCACAGGATGTGACATTGGTAGCGGAGGTTGGTGATCTCAATACCGCAGGGTCGCAGTAAGCTGGCACATCCATCCAGGCGCTGGAGCCCGCGATAGGAGCCGGAGCAATGATTTTAGCTTTGCTAGCAAGAGGCCACGCTGCATCGCGGTTAACCTTTTGCATATCGATTGTCTCTATACTTCCAAAGGCTTCGAAGCTGAACTCGTAAGTTCGTGTAAAAATATCGCCGACATCGCTATCTTTCCATGCCAATAATGTGTCGAGCCCTTGGCTAAGCTCCGGCCATCCATCTCGAATATGGTCCAGATGCTTCACCTTCAGGCCCAGCATTTTGCGGTAGAAAGCAATGGGAAGATTAACGGGGAGGGTCAGGCCGTTGTAGATTGCAATAGACATCAACAGACCGATAAGTTCGAACTTGTAGAGAGGTTCCAATGAGCACGGTTGGAACCAAGACATGCGGTGTCGAGTATCAACTGTGAACATGCCATAGGATGGGTCAAAAGCTTGGCCCATTAGCAAGCGGAAGAACTCCTGTTGAACACCACCATGATCAAGCCCTTCTTCTCCTTCATCCATGCCCATTTGCACCTTCAAGGGTCGCATCAGTTCTCGCTTTTCACGCCGCCATAATTGGCTCAAGGCATCAGAGAGGATATTGTCTCGGCGGACAACGAGAACAAGGTAAGTGGACATGGATGTTTTCAAGCGGGTGAGGAGTCGAGGATCCTCAGAAATTTGAATAGCCCCGAAGGCAGTCTGAGTGACATGTCTCGTGGTGGTCATAGCAGCCTCATAGGACTTGGTCATGGCAGAATAGTTCAAAGCACGGAAGTAGGTCACGAGAGAGGACGGAGGGAAAAGGAAGGAATATGATAGTAGATGCATGGTTCGGTTGTTTGTGAGGCCCTCAACCCATGCCACGGGCATATCCAATGGGTCCAGCCGCTCGGTAAGAAGAGGTGTGTGGAAGTCTTCGGGTAAAAGACCTAAGCGGTTTCGTTCCTTGTACATTGAGGCTAGAATCTGAATGGCACCACCGGCTGGGCTGCTACGGGCCATCTCAGGGTTGCCATCCCATTCACGCAGGAAAAGAGTCCGAAGCCACTCAACAATGAGACAGGCTGGGCTAATGGACTCAGTGGGCTCATCACTGCCAGCAGTATGAGAGATGTAGTGCTCACTAAGATAGTCAACCACGCGGTCCAACACGCTGACTCTGCGCTGTTTTGGTAGGTCTAGGCTGTACACTTGGCGGGCCTTTGAGATTTCATGGTATGCTAGTCGCGCAGTGAGAGCTCGCACGAGGCGATTAATGAGGCGGAGACCTAACTCGTGCTCGAATCTGTCCGTTACCTCAATGGCTTGCTGAGCATTCTTCGAAGGCAGCTTGTGCATGTCCGACAGTGAAGCTACAGACCCAGCGGCACGCATCCGGACCACCGTCCTCCAAGTCCCCAAGTCAATATTAGGCACAAAGCTGACCAAAGTGAACAAGGCAATTGTGGCAATGTAGGCAGCATCAGGATCCGACAGATGATCATCACTGGTAGATTCAGCTATTCGTCGGGGAACGATTGGGGGGGGCCGCAGGTCCTGTCATGGTCGAACTGCGAGATGATCGGCGGGATGGCCGTCCGGAAGAGGGAAATCCCACTGGAGGAACAAAGAGCTTGTCCAGAGAGCTCCATAGGCTATGTAGTGCAATATCCCATGGGCAAATTGTAAACAGGCGCTGCAGTGATAAACGCAGACGGGAAACATCCAGGCGACTGAAAGTAGCCCCAATCCTGTCCGTTGACTCACTACTAAAGGAGCGCAAAATCTGACTGGGGCTGCTGAACACAAAAAATGCACTTTGAGCAACGAACGGAAATACTTCACGCTGACGCAGAGTTGCAAAAAGCCAATCCGGCTGCTCAAAGCTGCCAGTACACTGGATGAGATCAAGTTCTTCCTTCCAGCAATCAGCATCTTCCGCAGATTCAATCATGACCTGTGACAGACCATCAATGATCTCGGGGGTAAAATGAGTGACCGTCTGAGCCAGTGGAATCGTGTCCAGCGAGTTTTCGACAGGAACTTGCTTTGTTTCCCGCTCGCTGGGAGATTGGGCAACAGAAGGAGGGAGAGGGCGAGGAGGAGGCATGGGCTCTGTGCTCCTCGAACTATTGATAGGAGATGTCTCATCCAGCAGCTTCTGGCTATCCCAGGAGACACGTCGTTGACTTTTGCGGCGTTCCTTCAGGGAAACCGAATCCACATCCCCAGTCCTTCCGCGGTGCTTTTGCGGACGGTGCTTTAACGCTGGTGGTGAGGGCAAGCTGACAAACTCATCAGAAGCTACTGGGGGCTTCTTGTTAAATTCCGGTTTCCTTTTATCGTCAATGCTTGAACGCGGATTCTGGCGCCAATGATCGACCTCGGAGACTGATAGTCGTTTGACATGCTGGTTCTGGAACTTGAGCTCGACCGTGGAGGGTTGAGATGACGATGTTCGTGATGAAGGAGTACGAGGTTGAGAGCCGGGCTGGGTTGCAAAGGTGGAACTGCCTGAAATTTTAACATCTCTGCCTGGAACTTTGTCGGCATGGTAGTGGTGCTTCTCATAAGTAGATGGATGGTTTGCGACTCCTGGTGCAGGTGATTTGGGCTGTGGCTCCAGTGTGTCTGGGGCACGGCGAAGGGGAAGCCATTCGACCATACGAAGGGAGATTGTGTCAAAAAGGTTCTGTGTAAAAGACTTGGGGTCTTTTAGTTGTTGCTCCGCGGTATGGTCGAGGTCTCGAATATAGCTGCTACCGGTACGGATTTGGGGTGAAGAATCCCCCCAATTTAACTTCCGACACGGTTGATCTATTTTGCACAGGACTAGATACGTCGTGGGGCCAGTGGTCTTCATCGTACCGATCCGGTTTTGGCGACCTGTTAGCCGCTGCCGTCTGTGCGTCAAGTGTACGGGTTCGGCGCAGGGAAATCCGATGGTAATCTTCCGCTGTCAATTGCGGTGGCGGCTTAGGCACGTTCAGGCATAAACCGGTCTCCGGGTCGTCCAAGCTGGCGAGGTAGCATGCCAGGGTCCTCGCACTGAGTTCTGTGTATCGACGATATGGACCTTCACTGAGTCTCCGACGATGACTAGCACATGTAGAGGTTCGACATCCGGGATCATCGCAGCCGTTAAGCAGTTGAGCTTTGTACCTATTCCGCCAAACAAATTAGTGTCATGTGGAGTTAGGAGGTCGAGGCCCAGCGTTTAGAGTTCCCACTCACCTGCGCACTAAGCCGTTGAATTTTCGTCTTCGGTCATCGCGATACCGTGGTAACACCCTTGAGGGATCCGACACCTCAATAGTATTCTGTATGAGCGCATCCGGTGCGTTTGGTGGGAGCTTCGACCGATAACTGTGAGTTCGCCCGTGGCCGGGGGATCGCGCGATGTCTGGGTCGTCGATGGAACCTCCGCGGAGCCTTGTCATTTTCAACAGAATAGCATATCTGAGAGTTTGAGAATAGCTGTATGCGAGGGTTAGCGCTAGTTGTTTGCTCGTCTCCACGCGTTGAACAAATGCGACCAAGACGCTCCACCTAGGTAGCTTAATGATAACGTAGTAAGATTATGATGCCTCAGGCAAATAATATCCACTCTTGTGATCGGAGCTGACGGAAGTCAAATAGTCCGGCGGACCTTGGGTTACTCAGCCCACTGACCTTTTCATGAGTTACTAAGCCGTTTATGAGTATCACGCTTACTAGATTGGGACTAGTAGCATTTCAGAGGGGCTCAGTCGCTCGATAAGAAACGGATAATTCAGAGATCAACCCTGCTGGACAGTCTATCGAGTGCATAAAGACTCACTCGCAGGACCATTTCCTTTAAAAAATTCTTCTCTTTTACATCCATCTAAGTCTCATCACTTTCATCCACTTTGATCATCAATCTACCATCAAATCATCAAAAAATTATCAAAATCGGAACAAGGCAGAGCCTTCATATGTACCCCGCCTACAACAAATATTCATCCCACAATCCACAGGGAAAACCCGCCCTTTCAACCACCCACGACACTCAAAAAACCACCGATATGTCGTCGACCAACCAAGATGCAGCCTCGCTGCAATACACTTGCAACACCTGTCTTGTTGCTTTCCAACGCAGCGATGCGCAGAGAGATCACATGCGCAAAGACTGGCAGTAAGTCTTGAATTCCTTTTTTTTTTATATTATTATTATATATATATATATTTTTATATATGTATTTTTGCGACTTCAGAAGCTGATTTGCCCTAGTCTATACAACATGAAGCGTCGCATCGCTTCCCTACCACCGGTCACTCTCGAGACTTTCAACGAAAAAGTTCTTGCCGCCAAAGCTACATCCAACGAGGCCGCCGCTAAGGCTTCGTACGAAAAGACTTGCCACACCTGCAACAAGGCATTCTACAGCGAGAACTCATACCAAAATCACATCAACAGCTCGAAGCACAAGCAACGCGCAGCCAGCCTACGTAAGGATGGCGATGCTGCCTCCGTCCAGAGTTCCGCTTTCTCTCTCGGCGAACCCGTGACAAAGTCCGACAATGACGTCAGCAAGGTCACCGAAGACCTTAAGGCTGCCACCATCGATGAAGAGGAAGATGAGGATATGGAATCCGAGATCAAGAAAGACGATTTCTTAGCGTCTCGCTGTCTCTTCTGCAGAACTGAATCAACCGATATTCACACCAACGTGGACCACATGCGCATAGATCACGGCATGTTCATCCCCGAGCAAAAATATCTGGCAGATCTCGATGGCCTCATCAACTATCTCTACCGAAAAATCACCGAGAACTTCGAGTGTCTTTACTGCCATGCCATCAAGAATGACGCACAAGCCATACAGACCCACATGCGCGACAAGAGCCACTGCATGATTGCCTTCGAGTCTGAAGAAGAGCAAGTTGAAATCGGTCAATACTACGATTTCCGGAGCACCTACTCCGAAGATGAAGACGAATCCACTGCCGACAGCGGTGGCGTCAAGGTGGACGGAGATGGAGAGGACCAAGGTTGGGAAACCGACAGTTCTGCGTCCTCCGTCGACGAGGACGATCTTGACTCATACCGAAATGCATCAGGTGCCTACGAGGCAGACTACGAGCTCCACCTTCCATCTGGAAAGAGTGTCGGCCACCGTTCGCTTGCCAAGTACTACAAGCAGAACCTTCACAAATACCCCTCAGCCGCCGAACGAGCTGCCCGCCAGCTTGCTATTGCCAATGGAGAAGTCGAGGAGGAACCGCCCCGCGCCCGCCCCAGTCATCACCGCGCTCTCGTCACTCGTGCCAACGGCGGCATGGGCATGATTGGTGTCACCGAAGAACAAAAGGAAGCTGCTCTCACTTCCGAGCGTCGCGAGAGAACTCGTGCCCTTCGCCAAGAGAACCGTTACGTCGCCCGCGTTCAAAGAGCCAACAATCACCAGAAGCACTTCCGCGTATGTTCCACCTGTGCTCTTCTTTTATTTTGCAAAACTAACTTCCTCCCTAGGATCCCCTTCTGCAATGATCGCTTCATCACAGCACCAACGGGAAATCACATCAATCGACCGGTTTTCATCCGCGACATCGTCCTTTCGATGTCACCAACGAACCATTCCCCAATACTCGCAAAATATATCGACAACCACCGCAGCTCTTCAACTTGCACGCTCGTTACTCCCGTGCCGCGAGCCTGCCCGAGTTTTGGGAATATATGGGCTTCTACAAGCCCTTCGGTTCATCAACGAAACAACCAAGTGAGGTACTCTTTCCGAGCCGGGCCATTTTCTCAAAATGAGTTTTTCAACCCGGTCGGTTTTAACGAGGCCTCACCGAACATTGGACAACTTTATGGAGGGACGTCTTTTATGGATAGCGATTACATGTTGCATATACCTTTTGTTACAGATGTCGTCATTGTGTCGTCATCTCATCCTGTTATTTGGGGGAGTCTTTTGGGGATATTATTCATGTATCTAGTCCGAGAAAAATCAAAGCAAATATGCTCAATATCTGTGTTGTGATGCATGTTATAACTGTAGGTGTAACCATCTGCATGTCTGCATGTCTGCATGCTGGTCTATTCTGGGATCGATCTCTCCACCAACATTCCATTTAAATCAACCATTGCTTTCCAAGGCTGGCTACAAGATCTGTGACTGCAATCTCCGTCTAAAGAATTCGTTACCAAGTTTTCACACGAATTAAGAGATTTTTAGCTTCTCAGTTGGCATACAATTACAGAGACATACAGGCATAATTGGGGAAATGAGGTTAACAATTTTATTGAACTAACGAATCACTTATCAGAGTAACGGCTTTTCGAAGCCATGGCTCATGAGCGTCATCCCTAAGTACCCTCTACCACCAGGAGTAACTTCTGATAGTGGTGGGACGAGCAGGGATGAGGGGGCAAGAACTTCATGCCACAGCACCTGCTGTAGTACGGCCCGAATGTTGGGCGATTCATTTTGAGAATGAGGACCTCTGCACTCGAGTCGAAAAATTTCGTGTCTGTATCCCGAGTCTGCTGGAGGTCGAGGTCGGATACCACTGTCTGGCAAAGCAGCTCCGAGTTGTGTTCCAGCAAGACTCGGTTGTTGTCCTTTAGTTCCTCTACCTGTTGCTCTGACTGCTCGCCTTGGTCAGCTAGGTACTCCGCTGCATCCTTCAGGTCCTCAATCTCATCCATAAGGGCCTGTTTTTCCCTCGCGAAGTCGTCTGCCTCGGTCTCGAGTTCATCGCACCGGGCTTGTAGACATTCGCCGGCTGCTAGGAAGCCGTCCCTCTCACTCTCGAGCTGGAGGTATGCTTCCTCCTTGACTCGAAGGTCACCGGCAATCTTAGAATTGGCGGTCTGTAGCTCGCCCAGCTGCGCTTCCTTAGCGGCGAGTTCTTTCTTTAGGTGGTTTCCTTCCTGCGCTGCTCTCTCAACCGCCTCACGCTGCTGGGCTCGCGCAGTCTCTGCCTCTGCCCTGACTGCCATCAGCTCCTCGCTATGAGTCTGCTTCAGCAGATTGACACGCTCCTCGTGTTGCTGGCCAGCAAACAGCGTTGTGCTTGTCACCGCATCCCGCACTTGCTGCTGGGCCAACTCGTGAGGGATGCCGGGGGTCGCTTGGATCTGCTGTGTGAGGTACGCGTTGTCATTGCTGAGTGCGGTAGCGGCGTGAAGAGACCGAATCTGATCGTCCATACGGCCCACATAGTCATTGCTCATTGCTGCAAAGTTTGAATCAACGAATAGTTCAGGCATAATCACCGTTGAGGTCCGACTCAAAGAGCAATGTAAGATGTAGTGAGGGAAAGGTCAAAGCAAAGTAAGAAAGACATGAAAAGCAAGGACCAGGTTGCACTTTCCTTACAAACCCATGTTGACATCTCCCGAGTAACTAACACAATCATAGAAGCTAAGTGACCTAATAGACTGTTAAGTGACACTGTGCCCTTTCCCTCTTTTCTTCCTTTTCTTTCAAGTAACAACAACGTACCACCAGAAGCTTTCAATTATGCTGCGGGGATTGTGGGTACGGTGGTAGGGGGTTTGTCCCTAGGCGAGCTGGCCCTTAAGGTGAAGAGGTCTTTTTGCAAGGCGTAAGCAGCATCGTGACGGGGGTGATGGAGAGTCTGGGGCTCGTGACACCGAGCTCGATAAGATGGATGTTGGGGTGAATGTTGATAAATGGGGGCTGAGTCTGAGGGGGAGGTTGGAAGGGTTGGACTGATCTTCATACTATTCTTAGTCTATTTTTATCTTATCCTCAATTTATCCTTACATATTCTTATTAGATAACACAGATGACGAGCTCACCCTTCTCCGCAGGGTCGGTGACTAGTAACCTTCAGATGAAGCCAAGAGAGCTCAGATGTATATAATGCAAGTATCTACCGGCTGAGTTTGGATATGTATTGATCATGCACGAGACCTTTAAGGATATGAGCTATCATCTTCGCATGGTGTTGGCATAGATAAAAGAGACACCATCCAGACCATCTACTAGAATGTGTAAGGCGATTTGGCTACACAACTGTCAGGGGAGAGGACTACGGATTGCCCGTCGAAGTGCATGGCGCATTGAGATTGATATTGAGTTGTTAAAGAAACTAAGTTACAGAGATTAAGAAATCTAACGATAATACTAATATGAAAACGGTTGACCATTTATCTTGAAGCCATAGGTCAAAATGAAAAACAGAAAAGAACCAAATACTACTTAGGAAGTCTGCGACAGTTCCGAATCCAGCCCTTATTCGGCCATTCACGCTTCCCCAGGTTGCGGTTCAAGGTAATCTGTAGTGGTCCTTCGTCACTCACATCCCAGCTCAACCATTGACAGGGCTTCCAATCCATGTATGAGGTGAAAGGATTCTTGCCTTCGCAGAAAAATTGTTTAACCCACTTTCCAGGATTTTCACGTACACAAATATCACGTGTGTTCCAGAAGTTTTCCAGCTGCGAAGGCGTCGACTTTGTGAAATCGAAGAGCATCTGAGTGCGCATGCGTAAGGTCTGATCATGACAGCCGAACGAGAATGAGACGTTGATTTGAACCTGTGCGATGGGTTTATCGTTGAAGGTACATGTGTGTAGTAACATCTCGCATTTGCAGTTGCGATTGGTTAAGTGCTGAACGTCAACTTTAGAGTCGAGGGGCTGATTATGGAATATAGAGATCAATCGTAGCTTGTGGTGTATATTGAGAATGTGACAAGGACACATATCGACTTCACCGGCGTGCGGCAAATAGCACTTCCGGCTACCAAGCGTGTTGCAGCCATAAGAGCACACCTTATGGTCCAACCTCCAGAAAGGTTGCCAAACTGACCGTGGATGGAGCATCCAGCATTGATTGCAAAATTTCCATCGGGGATCTTGGAGTCGGCGAAGTAGGTCTATTCGGTGCCATGGGAGGATTTTGACGCCTATGAACATCGCCTGGGGTGTCACAGGTATAGTAGTCCTTCCACGTCTCTCGAGAAGGAAGAGGTAAAAGGCAAGCGTGAATTTACAAGTCAGCGCAAAGCAAATTCCGTCTGCGGTCGGAACGGTCGTAAACACGAAGTATGCTATTTGGGGAGGCATCTTCTTAGGCCATTGGCGTTTCGGTGGAAAGGTGCTTGGGGAATACTTCATTTTGAATATCTTCAGAGATGAAGGGAGCTTGAGAGATATAAGGAAAAAGAATTCATTTAGCTCTAACTGATGGTTTAACTAATGATCCAACTCAATCCTGACGTCGATCTTCATCATCCAACAAATTTTGGGCTTAGCTAGAGGATCATTCCAAGATAATATATGCGCATCTATTCCCTATTGATATAAAATTGGAAGTAAGAGATAAGTAGAAAAAGATCTGCCATAGTTGAAAGACAGCCCGAAAGGTGTTGAGTAATTATAACCGAAAGCAATTCTTCCTTCCCTCCGAATATTTGAGTATCCGAGCAACATTCACCAATGATCAATGCACATATAATCAAAGGGTGACAGCGCATGCACTCAATATACCAGCTTCCTTAGCCAAAGCAGCAGTAACATGAGCAGGAACTCCTCTGTCAATGCCGAGGATCATCAGGGCTTCCTTCAATGATTGACCCTTTGCAGCTGGTTCTTGGGAGTCTTCATCTGCAGAAAGAGACCTCTTTGAGCTTTCATTGATAGCCAGTTTAGTTGATACAGGAGCAACAGCCATGAAATTGATGTTGACACCTTCTTGACCAAGAATATTACCCACAACACCAATCTTGCCCGGTGAATCGTAGTTCTCACAAATTAACAAGGTCCCCTCTGGTTCAAAAGAGGCCTCAAATCGACCCAGGCGAGTGATCAGTGGCTGATCACCAGAGCAGGTGCCAGAAATAATTCGCTGGGGATGATCTGGAATTGATCCAGTGGGGTTGTCACTGGAAGCTGGGGCGCGGGACGATGTCCGAGAAGGTGGACGTGCGACAAGAGTGACTAACGACGAATAGGACGAGTGGTCTGATGGGTCGCGGGAGTGTTGCTCCGAGACAAAGATGCCACGTTCGCGAGCCACCAGCTCAGCGTTGACAATATTAATATTCAGTCCCTCCGTGCCGCTAATAGGAGCAAGGAGACCCTTGATCAAAGCAGCGAAGAGCGGCTTCGTGTTATTAATGCTAGCCAACTCGCCTTGGTAGATCAGATCAAAGGTGTTTCTGCCCATTGCTCCGCCAGGAGAAGCTGCATAGTGCTGAGTATACAGGCTGCCCAGCTTTTCAACCAGGCGTACAAATGGCTGCAACTTTTTGTATTCCTCGGGTAGGATGAGAGGAGCATTGACAGCGCTCCGCGGCAACGATCCTTGCAAGATTTCAAGCACCTGTTCGCACACATCGACTGACACGTTCTCTTGTGCCTCTACTGTGGAGGCACCAAGGTGCGGTGTAACAACTGCTCGTGGGTGGGCAATTAGTCGTGCTGCAGATGAATCAGGAGCAGGAGGCTCTGAAGTGAACACGTCAATGGCAGCACCGGCAAGATGACCTGACTCCAGTGCCATGAGGAGTGCATCCTCATCAAATGTTCCTCCCCGTGCTACATTCAATACCCGGGCACCTGGCTTCAGCTGTGCCAGTTCGGCTTCCGCGATCATTCCCCGAGTTGAAGCAATGAGAGGTGTATGAATCGTTAGGAAGTCAGCAGATGCGAGAAGCTCCGGGAGCGAAGATACAAGGGTGACCGAAGCCGACGCCGCAACCGCCGGAGATGCGTATGGATCGAGGGCATTCACATCCATGCCCAAACCCTTGGCAAGTCGTGCTACTGTCAATCCCACTAGTACATTGCACGGTCAAACCATGTTTCCAAACAAGCCAATTGAGAAATAGCTTACCTTTTCCCAGACCAATAATCGACAATGTCTTCCCCTTGACTTCCACGCCGACGAATTTACTTCGTTCCCATTTCCCATCTTTAAGACTAGCGCAACTCTCGGGGATTTTCCTCGCCATGGACATCATCAATGCAATTGTATGCTCAGCTGCGGCACCAATATTTCCCGAAGGTGAGTTGACGACCACAATTCCAAGCTGCGTAGCTTCCGCGACATCTATACACCAGTCAATAACACACCCCAGCGTACAACAAGATTCAAACTTACCAACATTGTCAACCCCAACACCAGCACGTGCTACAACTTTTAGGTTCTTTGCAGCTTGCAGCACAGTGGCAGTGACCTTGGTCTCGGAGCGAACGAGAAGGGCATCGTAATCGGGGATTATCTGAAGTAATTCATCGGCACTGAGACCCTTTCGCTCGTGGACATCCAGCGAGCTGCGCAGAAGAGCCAGTCCATCTGGTGACAGCTTTTCTGGCACAAGAACCTTGGGACGAGAAGCTGGTAGAAGAGGCATGATTTAAATTATTTTAATTGAGGGGGGATGTAGAGACAAGTCCAGTTTTAAACCATTGTATTACTCCCCGCGGCAGGCGCGCCCTCGGATTTCTCCCCCTTTGTCCAATCATCCTCCATACGACCTTGGAAGATATGTACACCTGGACAGAACGCGGGGTACAACCACCATGATTGGAGAGAGTCCTTCTACAGGGGACCCCAGGACTAGAGACACTCAATCTGAGTATGCCAAGTCAACTTCATTGGACTTCATGTCCATCCTCTAAGCAGACTCTACGCCGATCCTCCCCTCGTCATACTTGCGCCCTCAATTACCATATTCTCCTAAACATCAATGTCATTTGTTTAGGGCCGGATTATCTCCCTTTCAAATATGCCTCGTTTTCAATCGCTTTCCGTTGAGCAGGTACCGTTTCTAGGAATTAGGGTGGGGGTGGGGGTCTGGAAGATCAACAGTTATCGGGTAACACGAGACTCGAATGCCCTCTAAACCCTCATTCAGCTGCGTAGTCAACGAGAAAATCAATAACAATCCCACAGATCCAGAGGTATGTCTACACCTGGATTGATCCAAGTGGGCGCAGCCCTAGACCAAAGCCTTACATGCCTAACGAAAGGTATTGGCGAGGCTTGCAAGGCAACATCATAATTCTCTTGACGAATGAAAGCTCGCACCACAGTTTCTCAACGCACATTGGTAGTGCGAGCTCATAAGGCGTAATGCAGAATACATCGTCCACGTGTTAGTAGGAGGCCCGTTGCCATCGTGGTATTCTTGATCCACGACGCATTGAGTGGCACAGCAAACGCCCTTATTATTGCGAGACTACCGGCGAAGGGGTTTTACTCTAAGTGGGAGATACTGTCGGGTAGTTTTAATTGACCTGGATTATCGTAATTTATAAATAGGGGCAGAATGTTAAGTAGGAATATATCTGGTTACTGTCAGCGCCCGTTGGATCGCGCGCCACCAAGAGCCCCACCGCTTCCCTGAGGAAGTCCTTGCCGATTTTCTTCTAGAAGACAAGATAACGGGATGACTCGGACATATGAAACAGGGGAACCGCATGTAATGTGGGAACTTCCTGAATTGTGACGTGCCGGAGCCACTCTGGATCGGATGGTACATCCCCGGAGTCGACATGTTTACTCACCGCATGCGAGAAGGAGGCAACGGTGACTGGCATACCGAGGTGGACTTGACGTGCCAAGCCAAACAGATCAGTTCTCCATATGTTGGCGCATCTTGACTCGGAGCACTTCCTATTCTGGAAGGTTCCTAGAAGACTTCTTAGCAGTGACAGCTGCGGAAAGCCGAGCGTTAGACTAAAGGAGAGGCCGGAATGGGATAAGACAAGTTTTCGCTGTCATGGAACTGTGTCTTGGCAGCGAACAAAACTGGTGAATAAATGAAGCTTGAAGTGCCGTCGTCACTTGGAATTTGTGTGTTTTCTTTTCATCCTAGTTCAGACCTCCTTTTACAAACCCGCAAAATGCACATTCAAGTTTTCCTCAACGTGCTTTGCTTTTTACTGTCTCTTTTCTTCCAAACATCCCTTGCCATACCACGTTACCCCAGAGGCTACCAATCCCGACCAGCTTCCACTGTCTTTCAGCTCGAGCGAAATGGCAGCTGGTTTGAAAACCTCGCTGTTCAGTCAAACGGTAACCTTCTCGCCACACGAATTGACGCCCCCGAGCTCTGGTCAATCGTGCCAAGCAGCAACAGCAGCCACCTAGGGCAAGGCTCCCTTCTGCTCAGGTTCCCCAACGCTATGAGTACTCTGGGCATTACAGAAATCGATCGTGATGTTTTTGCGGTAGTTGCTGGCAACCTATCTCTCCCTAGCATCACTCCTACTCCAGGTTCATTCGTTATCTGGACTGTCAACCTTACCGGTGCAAGGCCCGAGGCCAAGGTTCTAGCACCTCTGCCTGAAGGGCAGTTCCTCGATGGGATAACCAAGTTCAGCGATGATCTGCTCTTGGTTTCTGACGCCGCAAAGGGGACAATCTGGCGCCTCAACATCACAACAGGAGAATCTTCGGTGGCCTTGTCACACGCCTCGATGCTCCCTGCCGCTGGGCAGGCCGTGAAAGTCGGCGTGAATGGGCTCAAGGTGCTGAACAACTTTGTCTATTACACTAGCACCAGCCAAGAAGTCTATGCCCGCATTCCGGTTGACGGGAACGCGACGGCTGTGGGACCGGTCGAGATCATAACTAGTGGTTTTACGTTCGACGAATTCATCCTGACCGCAGATGGAACAGCCTACCTTTCGACAAATCCCCAGAACGAGTTGATCAAAGTGTTGCCTAGTGGACGTGTCCATTTGTTCGCAGGGAACCAGTTCATGTTGACGGTGGGGGGGTCAACTGCTGTCGCGATCAATCGTGAACATTCGATTTTGTATGTGGCGACCAGCGGTGCACAGTTTGCACCAGTTCTTGGACGGATGGAGCCTGCGAAAATTGTGGCCATTCGCTTATAAGCCCAGAGAATCTGATTTGTATCTTTTAAACTGTATATATTACAAAAGCGAGTTGTTGCAATAAAATTCTGTGAAACCTTGAAAAATTGTAGTAGAGAGTGGGCGAATGTACCCAAAGGATAGTTACAGGCCACAACAGTAAGACAGGGCTATAAAAGAAAAAACAAAGCAAAAACAAAGCAAAAACAAAGCAAAACTATATATCAACGGTGCCGTAGTACATTACATGGTCGATGATTTTCCTAGAGGAAATCAATATCAGGTCTCGTTGACATAAGATCCTCAGTACAGGACCCTTATCATTTTCAATGGGTTGTCGTATGTGAAAGGTGAAAGAAAAAGAAAAGAAAAAGAATCCAGACCCAAAAAAGTGGGAGTCGTCGAGTAATTGCCAGAAATGCGCATCGCTCCTCAATCCACCCGGATCCACTGACATTTTGGAGAGAGGCCCACCGTGGACCTCCCTTGACTCCGTTTCCCTCTTACACACTTGCATCACCTTACCTTGATCACCAATTGCCAAAATTGGCAAAAATTTAACCCAATACCAAGTCACTTGCGTCCTTGCCAATGGATGCAGACGGCCTGGTATCGGTATCCAGATATCCACCAAGGATAAAAGAGAGTACTTCTAGGATACAGAGCAGTATGAGAGTGAATCGTTATGAATACAACGCCCAATTTGCCAGACGGGCCCGCAATGCACAGCGATTTTCTCGATCCGGGTTCTAAGCCACCTTGAGAGACATGTGAGCTTCCAATGAAAGTGTAGAGGTGGGTAACAGCTAATCTTCTTATTTTTCGAAGAAAGAGTTGATTTCCACTTTCCAGGACATTATTCCCGTGCAAGAATACTTGGTCCATCACATGAGGTCCCCTGTAAATTACTGTCCCAAGCAAAGTGGATATACATGTCTCTCCTTTCGAACCGTCTCTTGATAATTGCCGTCCTTTTCAGCTCAAGTCTCAAGCTTTCTACCTACAAGACCATCGGAATTCAGTGAAACTATTTCTCAAATCATTCGAACATCATGTCAGACATCTCATTGCAACTCTATAGTTCAATACAGGTAGCTGAAAAGGGTCATTCTATAGATCGACATGGTCTGCCTAGTAGTTCCGTACATCAAGTTTTACTAGAGCTGCCCCTTTACCACCAAAGCGTCTAGCTTAACCATTTCTAAACAAATTATACCAGTAGGCATCGTGCTGATAGATCATCTCGATTTCCTCCTCGTAGTCCTCTAGCACCATTCGGCGTTGTGTGCTGCCTTTCGGAGTCGTGCGAAAGGGCTTGTCCGGCGACGCCAGCCCAATCCTCATGATGCCAATATGTCCACCAGCTGGCGCCAGTTCATTTGCTTGTTCGACAGCCGGCCAAATAGCGTGCACGAGCTCAGAAACCGACGATCGACTCGCGAATGACACGTTTGATCTCACAGATGGCTCTACAAGCAGCGCCGCGTGGGATCTGCGGTTTCCAATGACCACCGCCCGAGAAACGAGAGGATGACTCTCAATTACCTTCTCCATCGACACGGGATTTACCTTCTGCCCGTTGTTCAAGGTGATTGTGTCGTCTAGCCGGCCTTCGTACCTCCACAGGTTGGGTCGCGCCGGGTGGGGACTGAAGAGGTCCTTTGTGTGATACTCCTTCAGGTCCGGGAATGTGTGGAAAATTCCTTGGATGTCTCTTGTTTCGCCGCGCGGAATCACCAACTCATACAACTTGCTGTTCTCGCCGCACGGGTCCATGCGTATGGGATAGTTTGGGTTCCACTCCAAGTATTCCCAGTCTGCTTTGTTCTCTGGGATGAGGGACGGCACAAGGCCGAGCTCACTTGCGCCTAGGACGGACACAAGATTTGTTCGCTTGCTCAGAGCTTCTCCGATGTCTGGTGCGAGGGGTGCACCACCGATGCAGACCATCCTTAGGCTGGATAGGGCTTGCAATGCATAGGTTGATCGGCCTGTTGCTTCGACTAGCGCGGGTACAATAACGGCCACGGTGGGACTTGCGACCCTGATAACCTGGACCAGCGTGTCGACAGTGAGCGAAGTGGCTGGGGGTGGGTAGATGAATGGAGTCCCGTTGAACACGGACATGGCTTCGGCGAATATCCCTATGAGGTGGAAGAACGGAGCCGTAGAGAGAAACAGGTCATCCTGGCTAAGTCTGCTGGGGATGGCCGAAAGTCTCCCCTCCGGGACAGGGACCTGAGCCAGCTTGTCCATGGTGCCCAGGAAACCGTGCGTAAGGTGGATTGGCTTAGGAACGCCTGGAAATTGTCAGGCATGAGGCCTCCAGTGGGCGCTTGTAGATTGTCTCGTACCTGTTGTGCCGGAGCTGTGGATTATGATTGCACTCTCGTCCTCAATCGCCTGGTACGCCGTGTCGTAAGGGAAGCTGTTTGAGAAGTTCGCAACCAATTTTTCAAGACTGGGTACCTCTATCAAGGCTGGGGCTGCTTCAGACTTTCCGATCTCCTCGGCCTGTTCTTTCCAAGTAACGCTAAAAAGAATACCAGAGCAACCCGTTCGCTCCAGGAGTGCACATTGTACGTCAATGGAGTTTTTTGTTGATGGCAAGAAAGGCTGCCCGGTCAGCGTAATAAAGCAACAACATTCTGGCGAATAACACGTACCTTGTAACCAGTTTTCTGGCAAGCCACGACAAAAACTAGGTATCGGACATCATTGTCTCCGAGATAGATCAGTACTTCGCCCTTGCCAGGGGTACCAAGGGATTCCTTAATCAGCCATGCGGTTGAATCAACGGCCTTGGACAACCCTCTCATATCTAAGCACGAGAAGCCATCGGTAACCTGGGGGCCGTTCGGTGTTTTGCAAACCATCCTGGTTGGGCATTCCCTGGCCAGCCCGTCCACAACGGTGGCCAATGTCCGTTTCCCAGAAATCCCATGTTCGGGTGCCATGGTAAATAGTTGATGGGTGATGAATTGTGCGGTGTCGGTGAAAGTAGGGCTGATCGAATTTCAAGCTGGTCTCAATCGGGGTTTAAATATTTGCAGCAACTCGGAAGTTCGTGCCGGGCTATGACTGAATTATGCTGATCGTCCGGGTATGTTCGAGAGGGATCTACAGACGTGTGCACCAAGGACTCCACATAGATCGTGTGTGGCATGCTTGGGAGAGCCGGTGTACAGTCTTGGAGCCTACAAGTACTGATATGGTGGGTTCAGCGTGCCGTGTGCCTTGGACCGTTATTCTGCAATTGACGAGCTGGTCACCGTAGAAGATGTATTACGAGTACGGGCTTCACTTTGAGTGGTCCCAGATAGCCCATCTTTGGTGAATGTTATCTGCCTAGAAATTGGCACCAAACCCCAAGGGTTCATGCATAAGACCCTGCAAGCTGAAGGTTTGGTCTCGTTACCTAAGTATCTAGATACGCACTTGATGGGGAATAGGCGTCGATCAATGTCAGCTTCTACACCGAGATTTTCAGTATTGCATGTGGAAAACTGGTGCTTGGCTATGGCTTGAACGCTCCGTAGCTCCGAACGGTCTCTCAGATTCGGTATTGTCTCCAAGATTCCGAATAGCCTGCAAGATGTTGAATAGCCTCCAAGATCTCGAATGATCAGCAATATTTCCATTGGTGGGTACGGTTCCGAATGGTTGGTAGACTTTTAAAACCCTTACTTAGGCATAACCCATTGTTAATGAAGCACACCTAACAAGCGAAGCTTTTGGGTTTCATTCGTGGCTCCGAGCACCCAATCCCCAACTCAGCAAGCCCTGAAAACTTCACAGGATCCCAGCTCCTGACCACCGTTTATCATACATGGAAAACTAGAACATTTAGTAATCCAATTTATAATAGTATCTATCAAATAGCCCTTTCTCAATCAATTCATTCTTCTTCGAGCAGATGTATGTGATATATCTAAGCGAAACTTTCCAACCATCCGTCAAATCTTGATGACACATCCTCCGCGCGATCAACGGCCTCACGCAGTCAGTTCACTGGGCTGGACAAAGAAGCCCTTCCTGTTTCACCCGCAGGAACTGAATTTAGTGCTAGTGGTGGCGGGGGCTAGGCAGAATACCGGTATTCTCGTAGGACTTGAATGTGCGGTTGTAAGCCTCATAAGAATCATCGATACGATTCCAACCAAACTTGCGAGCCTTAGCAACAGTGCTCATGAATGGGGTGCTAATGGTAATTGTGGGGTTGAAGCCCCAGTTCAACATGGCAAATCCGTCAAGTTGGAAGGAGTCAACTCGGCCACCATACTTGGCCACAATCCTTTCCCATACTTCTTTCTTATCACGTGCCCATTCTACCAAGTCAAGCTCTGGCTCCTCTCTATCCGGCATAGAAGAGTAACTAGGAACTTCAACGCCAAAATGTTTTGCGAGATGTGTCCAAAGGAACTTGAACATGATGCTATCGCCGTTGGTATGGTTGAAGGCTTCATCCCGACAGTGTTCTTGGGTTGTCGCCCACACTGTAAGGTCGGCAATGCTAGGAGCATAGGATTGATCCTCCGATCGATGGTAGTTTCGAAGATTTCCTGGCCACTTAGGCGTCTCCCCGAGCTCCCGGCAGATAAGGAAGTACTGAGCGAGCGGGACAACTTCGTTCATACCGTTGACTAGTTGCCAAGGTCAGTGAGAATGTTGAGTTCCGGACAATAGTGAACTTACATTGGGGAGTGTATCCGATAATTCCCATTGGGCGAATCACGTTGTAATGCCACGAGTTGCGACGTTTTTGCACCCTCACAAGGTCATCTTCCTGCTCATAGTAAAAGATCGACTTGGACCCGGGGCCCTCGTACCGTGGGGTATCCTCATGGAAAGGCGTGGAAAACTCCCGGAACATCAACCCATAGTGCTGTTCATCTGTTAGAAGTGACACTCTACAGAGTTTGCTAGCACTTACTTTACCACCAGTTTGGAGACACACGCGTTCAAGCTTAGGGCAGGCCGCGTCAACAGCCTCCAGAAAGTTCCGGAAGAGAGGACAGTTCTTCTCGGCCAGTGTGGAAAAGTCCATGGAGTGAACGTAGGAGGTGAAGTAGGCGTGTGTGACATCTGCGCAGATTGTTTTGATCTCGTTCAAGATAGTCTCAGCCGGCTTCAAAAAGTCAAGGGCCACAAATTCCACTCGAGGGTCCACCCACGACGATGGAAGTTGTCTCCGCGAGGTGACGATGATTTTGGACCTGTCAAAAAGTTAGAACTTTTCATTTTCACACAAAACAATTGACTGACCAGGCTGACTCAGGTGTTCGAATGAGATGTTCGATGATGGCATGGCCACTGATACCGTTCGCGCCAGTGACAAAGGCCACTTTGCCAGCAGAAGCAACAGTACTGCTTGGGTGGCTCATCTTTCTTTCTCTGACAAGAAAACCACTCGTCCAGGGATTGATATATTGCAATCTTTCTCGGGCATGGTCTCCCTATTTATGTCTTGTCACTACCTAGCGTTTACGTATTTAGAGTGAGACATGAATGCAAACACAACATACCGCGGTGTGGTAATTCGGACAAAGCTTGTGCCATGGCCATGTGTCATGATGGGCCACCATATCGAGTCTTCGATTGATAGGGAGCAAAAATTCTTGCCAAGCCAGTAAACCCGCTTGCACAATACTACAAGGACTGACTAGCGGAGTTAACGTGCGGGTCATACCCACCCGCTCTATCTGGGCACATCTTAGATGCGTGGAACGCCCGTGTCGCCAAGTCTTCGGGCGACGAGACTTCCTTCAAGCCGGGCCGCGAAAATTCCCATTTTCGGGCCTCATGATCGTATTATTACCGCCCCGAGACGCATCATTGAGTGGAATGGGCATCCCAGGATACTTTTGAGTAATGCACCTTGGCACTTACCTTCCAAATGCTCAAGTGGCGGAGAAGACTTGGTAGTTGTATGCAATCTACAGTGAGATCTTATATAGTCATCCATATAGTTAACCAGATTTTCCAAAACAGACTTTTGAATGCTACTGTTGGTCCTCAAAATCAGAAGTTCCCTGTTATCAACAGACACCGATTTCATGCGTTCCTCGGATAATGTTAATTGTTTAAGAGCATCAGGCTTCGGTGCGAAAAGCCTCAAAAGTGGGGGGAAGAGGGGGGTGGGGTGCTAATAAGGTGTTTCGTAACCCAAAGGCATCTTCCTTTTACGTTCATCACCGTGCTGGAGTGGTCATTTCGGATCTTTGCTTGTACTGGACCCTCAAGGCCGCAGGTTCTACGATCAGTTTTAGGCATGACTTTCAACGCAAAGCCTGTCGCCTGCTGTGAATTCATTCATAAATCGGTCTAATCAAGCCTTATGAAAAAGCGGCCGGCGGCCGGATATAGCGAAATGTGTAATGCTGATGTTTGTATAGGCATACACGCCTTCGGGACACCGGCAAAGTATTAATTTCATCAGCGGATGCTTCGGGGTTTGGACTTTCTTGGCTCGTAAAGACGACTGAGCTGTCAAGAATTCCTACTTTCCTGCCCCAAGCTAAGAGCTGGGATGTGGAGCTTGTTGATAACGGAACAACGTGTGTGAAGTGATAGGACCAAAGCGGCGCTTCCACCAGATAGAACATTAAAAGCCCCAAGAGTCGATTTGGCTTCTCTAGCAGCTTCAGCCATCCGGGAACAAATGGGATCATAGATCCGTAAACCCGCAGGACGCACTAACTGCATTCTGGCACCTCAACCAAGACTTACAGCTGCCCACTCCCAAGTTGGCGCCCCCGATACTACTTATGTTTACGTTCTGTTAATGGCAGTATAAGGTATGTGTCAAGATCAACTTTCAAGTAAAAAGAAAATCCTAGTTTAAGCTTTCCTCGCCTGCAACCTTGTTCTCCCAGACCCTATTCGTTTTCATACCTGCCATGGACCTTTGATGCTGACGAGGCGGTCATCTGGCGTGTAATACAGATAGACTCAACGCTTGCACAACTGGGACCGAAAAATCGGGAGAGCTCTCAGTGCGGAGACAAGGGTCAAGCTTCCAAATTATGTCAAATTCTGAAGAGCAACAGAAAACATTCTGGTCTCTCTATTTCCTTGATATGCGAATTTAGCTGTTCCTACTGAATTCTGGAGCCTCATACTCATTTGAACCTCGGTTGGAGCAGCTTTCACACCGGTCGACCGAGTTCACTGTTTTCGAAAGATTTCACGATCGAACGCACGGAAGATCCCTTTCTTCGAGAACTGGTGTCACTATGTACAGTCATTTCTCGATCGACCGACGGGAAATATGGCCAGCATCATGTGTCACTACTGGACACATGGAGGGCTACTTGCTCGATTGCTGAGGATCTTCCCAGCCTTGCCACCAAATATGTTACCTGGTTGATAGGCCTTACACCTGAAAACTGTATACTTTTACAAAGTCGTACTTATAGCGTATTTATTACTAGGTCGGTAGTACCTACTAAAGCGAAATTGTCGTAGAGTAATATCTTAGCCTTACTTAGTTACTCCTTATCAGTCCGGAGAAGAAGAGTCGCTACTTTCGTGCCTTGTATTACATATTACTATACTTACTATAGAACACTTTTAGACTCTTAACTTAGGGTATAGCGGCTTAATATAAGCGACTAATTAGTAATTAAATAAAGCTATTAAAAGAGGTACTAGCTAACCGTGCTTATAAGTGTTAGAAATAATGTGATCCCATAATATGTGGACACCTATGATACCATTGCAGTTGAACTGAGTTCCATAACTCAGTTTGACTATGCCCTTTTAGCTTCATGGGTAAAAGCCCGGAGTAGTGGCCGGCTTGTGATCTCACTTCTTCTAACTTAAGCTTATAGATCATTTGTTAAAGCACTCGGGCTAGTCAGTATATAGCACTTAGTAGATAAACAGATTTCTGAAGGAGGCTGAATTTGCACTTGCGGAGAAACCTATAAGGTGGCTCCTTGGGGGGTTGTTAGCTAGAAATACCCTAACTATCCCGCATAGTTAATCATTTCCCCTCGCTTAGTGTATATAGGATCCATACATAGACCCACTCTACGAGCATTCAGGGGTTACATACAACATAGTGAGCAGCCTGGTGCTCTTTGCAATACACACTCATTTTACCACTTGCTCTGCATAGTAACGTATTTCACCACCCCAAAACACATAGTAAATGCGATAAATTATAACTTGGTATCTCAACAACGGCACTTTATATAGAGATTCCCTTATAGACTTATGCTTTTTAGGTAATTTCTAGCTTGTCTATGGAAATTGGGAAATATATATGGCTTTGTGATTGCGATATTTCTAGCTTTTAGCAATAATGTACCTCTTCAATATTCTTGAGATTGATATATCACTAGTATTTAAGATGCTTATTAATAGCTATTCGATAACTAAATAATGAAACCAAATAAAAACGTGGTTGTTGAGATATCAAGTTGTAATTTATCGCGATTTTCTATGTGTTTTGGGGTGGCCGGCTCGGTGAAATACGTTGAGCTTTTGGTATCAAGTCATACCAGTTCCGACATTATCCAAGGCCCATCTTCTACATTTTGAGTCAATTAGGTCTTCAATTCATCTCATTAAAACCCTTTGTAGGTGACTCTTTTCTATACTTTCATTTTTAAAATCGTTCACAACTACGGGGTCTTGCCTATAGATTAGAGTCGAACCCTGAAACGGTTGTTCCCCGCCAATTTGGCCGTTTTGCTTGGCAAAACGTTCTCGACGCCATGAAACAACCTAGGGCTGACAGCCTCTCTCAATTTCCCCCTTCAAATCAACTCTACCTAATTTGACTCAACTCAATTCGGCTCAACTCGGCTCGATTTAGCTCCATGAACCCTGAAGCCGAAAAATGGGAACATAAGCCACATTAACCTTCCATCTGCCCCGTGATGACATCTTAACGGTCTTGACACACCATGGTAGGAGTTCCGCATAGTACAGGTTGTGCCCTGTGTCGCGAGCGACGGATCAAAGTAAATATGCACCCAAGTATAAGATGGAGGTCTCGGGCTAATAAAGTCACTAGTGCGACGAGGCAGTTCCGGAGTGCAGCCAGTGTCAGAAATATGGTCGCGCCTGTCCGGGCTACAGGCGAACCTTCCGCTTCCAAGACGAAGGCCCCAACCTCGCGCGGCGACACCGGTCCAACACCCGACGGAAGAAAAGAGGCGCATCGGCTGGCCCAACCGCGTCCGCTACATCGTCAACCCGAACAACTCGATCGCCCCCCGGACGCGATGACTCCGCTACCGCTGCAGACGTGGTGCGCGGCAACGCGATTGCGCTCATACGACGACATTCCTCCTTGGGTGGCTGGGATGAAAAAGTGTCGCCGTCCCTGGTGCGCAAGTCTTTCCGTGCTGCACAGCCACAATTATTCCTTGACTTTATCAGCACGTCGTTTCCAACCCTCTATTATCATAATCGGTTCCGGTCTGGCGATGCGCCTGGGTTCGCCGAATATATCGTCATGAATTTCGGTAGTGATGCTTACCTCGACTCCGCGGTTTGCTGCTTGAGCTCCGTCTATTTAGCACACTTGACTCAAGATAAAGCTCTCCTCCAAGCAAGTCGACAAATGTACTCGAAGTCGCTGCGTGAGGTTATCCGGGCCATCCCGAAAGCCAACCATGCAAAGTCTGACAACATGCTATGCACATCCATCATTCTCAGTGTCTTCGAAATGTACGCGCAGACCACGCCCGACGCCTGGGTCGTGCACTCCGATGGCGTCAAGCGGCTGATGATAAGCCGAGGCCCAGAAGCGCACGGGACCGGGTTCGGTAGATGGTGCTGGATTGCATTCCGTGGCTTCCTCATCGCCACAGCAGTTTATGAGGGCAAACCCTGCTTTCTAGACCAAGAAGAATGGCAATCCTACGCGACGAAAGTCAGGGCCGAAGACTGCCAGAAGTCCGGTGAGTGGTCTGCATACGGAGAAATATCCGACCTGGCTTTTATGGAAATCGCAAAATGCCCGCGGTATATCAGCGAGACCCGGGATCTGCTTTCAATGCCGGCCGAGCCAGACTCAACATCCGTCACAAGTCTCCTCGGTCGCATACATAATACTTCCCGTCGGCTGCGCTCGCTCGCCGCGGAGCTCCGGTGCTGTATCACCGCGCACAGCCAGCGCCAGCAAGGTATTGTTCAACGGCCCGGATCTTTTATAGGGCCCGTACCAGAGATCTTCCCGGACACCGGTCCATCACTGCTCCTCAATGGAGCAGAAAATATGCTAGAGACGCTCCAGCAGCTCTCCAACCGTCTTGAAGACCGATTACGCTTTACTCTTGTCGCGGATTCGCCAGACTCGACTGTCGTCACACCACCCAGCAATGGTAGTGAATATTCCATACCCTCTTATTCTGGGACGTCGAAGAGCTTCACCCTCCCCTTTCGGATTCACTCGGAGCTTGGACAGGGTCCGTCTAGGACATCTGATCCACATGATCCCCGTGCTGTGATCTGGTTAGATCGCATAGCGTCGTCGATGGGTGTCCTTGGCGCCAAGGTCCTCCCGGGTGATCCCTCGAGTGCTTCAGTACAAATGGACAGTTCATCACCTGAATTATTGGAATTGCCGTAGTCAACGGTGATTCTTGTATTGACATGAAATGTGATGAAAATATATAACTGTTCCTAGCCGGTCTAGGATGAACCTCCCCCTACCACACAACACTACACACAACATTACATCCTACCTCTCTCCCCAGTATGAACAAAGGAACAACTCAGATATCCAATTTTGACGCATAATTTCGGCGTATATATAGTTATCAAATGCAATGACACTATAAAAAAAAACTCCACTTCAATAAATGGTATCACCATCCTAATAATCCAAAGACTCCTCAAGCAAACTCCTCAACTCACCCCGCTCAGCCTCCAACTCCTTACTCAAATTCGGCGCGAGCATAAGCACCCGCTGCTGCGGAATAGTCCCCTCAACCAACCCCTCCAAATCCGCAGCCTTGAATCCTAGATCCTTCAACCCGCGCGGCTGATCACCAAGCGTAACAAGGAACTCCGCAATCGCAGCCCCAAGCACCTCACCCGCGCTCTCTCGCTTAACATTCGAGATGTCCACGCCAAACGCCTCAGCCGCGGCAAGATGACGATCAGGGTTCGACGCCGCGGTAAAGCGGAAGACAGCAGGTGCGGTGACAGCCACGGAAACACCGTGCGGGATAATGGGGTGATCGACCGCATAGCCCGCATGTTTATAACCCGGGTTCTGGCTGGAGATGGGGTAACTCATACCGTGGCAGAGATGAACACCTGCATTTCCGAAGCCGACGCCGGCAAGCGTAGCCGCGAGCAACATCTCCGACTGTGCTTCGTGGTCGTTTGGATCGCGGACTGCACGCGGCAGGTACTTGACTGTTGCGCGCAGGGCGGCGAGGGAGAAGATATCGGAGATGGGGTTTGCGCCTTGGTAGGCGGGCCGGTTAATGGGGTTTGCTGGGCGTGGGGTGCGCTCGTTGTATGGGATTGCGGTCCAGGACTCGAGGGAGTGGCAAAGGACGTCGAGGCCCGAGGCGGCGTGCACGGCTGAGGGCATGGTGCGGGTGTTGAGCGGATCGCAGATTCCGAGAGTTGGTTTTAGGTTTCGGTGGGCGATGCCGGTTTTGGCTTTCTTGGAGACTAGGTCGAATATTGCTGTGCCTGTTGTCTCGGAGCCTGTGCCTGCTGTTGTTGGGACGGCAACGAGTGGGAGGAGGGGTCTGTCTACTGGGAGGCCCTTGCCCAAGGGTGCGTTCACGAAGTCGAGGAAATCTGCTTCGGGGAAGACGGTGTATAGGTTCATCAGTTTGGCCGTGTCGATTACGGAGCCGCCGCCTGTTTTTGGTGTTAGTTTGTGTATAACATGGGGGTGGGGATACGGGAGATGTACCGACGGCCAGGAAGGCATCGGGCTTATAGGGCTTAGCAAAAGCGATGGCCTCTTTTATACTTAATTAGAAAACATGTTAGTACCTATACAACAGCCACGTTTGACGCTTGGGGTTGACCTACGAGCTATCCTTGGGCTCAGTGCGAACTTTGTCAAAGATAGTAAACTCAATGCCCTCACGGGTAAGACCCTCAACAGCCTGCTTCATAGCATCGAGCTTGGCCACATTGGAATCGGTGACAATGCACACGCGCTTCGCGCCGAGGTTGGTAAAGTCCATTCCGACCTCCTTGGTCGCGCCGGGTCCGAAGCGAATGCTGGACGCCGCCATTTCGAAGGCATACTCCTTCTCGCGCGAGCGGTCCACGGGTGTAGACATGCGGCGCTTTACATGGTTGAGCAGAGAGGGGGTCTGCTGGTGGTTGTGGTGGTGGTTGGGGTTCTTGTGGCATGGGCAGTTGGGTGGGTGGGTGTATTGTACTGTGCGTAGCAAGTTCAGGGCGCGATTGGCCGCCGAGGGGGCAACTCTGATTGCTGGAGAAACCATTGCTCTATATATTCTTTGGGCTTTGTCGGAATGAGAAGAGAAGGAGGGCGAAGTTGAAGTAGAAAATGGTTCGAAGGTCAAGAGACTCGGCAGATAAAATGCGAGACAAATTGGGGAAATGCGGGGAAATGCCCCGGACTTCTGGCCGAGGTCTCTGCTCTCTGGGGATGGATCCCTTACTCTTACTTACTCTCACTTATTATTATATTTGGGGAAATCATTCACTCATCTGAAATGTTCTCTTAGGTTTCTCCATTTTGGAGAAACTGGGACCCAGTTCCTCTCTATTCCCTTGAATACCCTACTACCGAGGTCGAAACCCGCCGATCATGACCTCTACAACCATATATCCTCTGTGATATGCAATAAGAATAATTAATGAAACATAGCAAGTTGAATAATTCAATTGAGCAACACTAACGTATCCACCTCGTGCATATCCAAAAACAATAACAATTTCCAAACATAATTTCCATTCTCCCATCTCATCTCATTCCCAAACTAAACCCCCAACCTCTCAACAAAGCGACAAGACCAAATCCGTCGAAGCATCAACAGCCCTGACCTGACTTCCAGCAGGCGGAACCCCATCCTTCCAAGAAATCAACGGCTCAGCGGGCGTAAGATTCACCGAGTAACCCTCCAACGGGTCTCCAAAGACATCGGAGAGATCATACCACACTTTATCCTGTCTCAGGCCCCGTTCCTTTGTAGACGAAAGGTTGTACGCAAAGATCATCTGCGGGGCGCTAGTGTACAGCCCATCACGGTCAGTGCTGATCTTGATTGCGATGCCGCCAGTGTCTGTGTTCTCGCGGAAGACCTCGCTGTACTTGTTGTTTGGGAGTAAGGTTTGCTTGGGTAGAACCGAGGATGCCACGGACCAGAGGTAGACTGGGAACTTGCAGTTGTTGTGCACTATCGCATGTCCTAGATCTCGGTGTGTGGGTGATGGCGTGCTCGTTGGTCTCGATGGGCCGCTGCTTGAGGAAGGGAAGGCACTGTAAAAGATGTCCTTTGGGCCCTGGTGGTAGTTGTTATGGATTGTTGGGGTTGAGAGGGCGATGGTAGTGAGCGAGAGAAGAGGGAGGATAGTTGAGAAATACATCTTGCTTGATTGATTTCGTTGTGTCTTGTGATAGAATCAGGAATTGCAACGGCTTTATATAGGCGTTTTCTGTTCCTGCGTCTGGTATCATTCCATTGTTGCTGTGTTTCACTACGAGTCTAGACCGTTGGATCTAATTCCTCACAGCAAGATGGTTCTAGGCAGTTGCTATGAATCTTAGCTCAAGGGAAATTAGACGCCAGTGTTATGCTGTGCAATGTAGATGTGGCGCAAAATGAAGGGATGTGAAACTACCACAATGTAGTAATCAAATAAGACCCCATCCAGTTGTCCAACAGAAACATATGAAGAATGCCACCGTTTCCCTATTTAGCGCCCATCTTCGCTTTGTATCCCCAGGGAAGGACTGGATGATTTCCGGGATTCTCAGTTACAGGGAGGAATGCGCGGGCCTTTAATTTTATATTGTATATCGAGAATAGGGTGGGAAGAGCCAAACACCATCGGATATTTTACTCGTGTCAGATCGAAGATATTGAAGAATGTGACTAGCTCGCTACCTCCATGTATAGGGTTTTTTTTACAAAAAGCATGAATCAAGTACTATGCTCATACAAAATAGTCATTGGCCAGACTAAGCTAAAGGACTATGCTCCTTCAACAACCTTAATAGTCAGTTACACCCGTTGACGGCATGATACACACTGGATACACAGGCAGATACTACCATCTGAAACCCTAAACCTGATCGAAATGCAAAAGCCCGTGGCTAGGGCAACTGTGGCGTTCTAGACATTCATGCTTTTTTGAAGAATGTGAGATTTTTATAGCGGAGACCATACGGAGAATTCTTTTGAGTTTGAAACCACCGAGGAATGTACAGATAGAGAACTTCAGTAGCCGATAATAGAGGTATGACTACCTGCCAGAAGGCTCTGCTCTGCTACGGAAAAAGAATTTCAGGAACAGAACAAAATCAGGTTAATTCAAGTGGTACGCCGAAATGGCCGGTCGCTTATTTGACATTCCGACATGTCCGGTGTCCATTAGAGAACATCGTGAAACAGACGTAACGGTTCTGTGTGGCATATTAAAAGTTTTGAGAGATGTAACACCATGCTATGATTCAGACTGGAGGACCTGGGAATATCACTATTTCGGCGTTTGAGCAGCCCGGTGGTTCAGCTAGAAAACCAAAGGATTGACATGGCTGAATTACATCTAAATTTAATCAAGTATCATAACTCTGCCTAGATGTAGGACAGCTTTCCAGCTCTTCAAAATTCGGCTTGAGATCAAAATGTGCCAAGAAAACAGTTGTGTATGTAGACGATGTCAAGTATGTACAGGAAGAAAGCAATGATGTAACATGTGTGACCAAACCACTCCCTCAGAGAAATCATGAACAGGAAGGCCTGCTTAGAATGAGACAATATCCGAGGTCCTGACAACGGTGGTACCCTTACGAGCGGCAACCTGAACGAAATTGGTGGGAGGATCGACAAGAGTAGCAGAAGTCTCGAAACCATTGCGCTTAGCTGTGGCGATCTGAGTGTTGTTGGTAGAGGTGGCAGAAGAAGCCGCGTAGACGACCCAGTTGTCATATTCAGTAGCGCCATTCCAGCTCATGTAAACGGTGGCACCGGAGCTAGTCTTGCTGACGGACACGGAGGGTTTCCAAAAGGGAGTAGCAGTCCACTGGCAGCGGTAGCCACGGTAAGATGCAACAGCGTTGTCGTCGCCGAACTGAGCACTGAAAATGACGGTACCGTCACCATCAAACTCCTTGACTTTGGAAATGGAGCCATAAGCCAGGAAGACATGGCTGTCTACCTCACTGAGGAGCTGATAGCTGCCCTGGCTCACGGAGTGGATGGGGTCGTTGGGGTCAGTCAGAGAGCGGAGACCGGTAACTGTCTTCTTGTTCAGATCAATGGCCAGGCTGATTCCGGTGGTCTCCGATTGTTCGTCGGTCGGGGTGTTGGCGTTGTTAAACAAGCTCAAGATGAGCCCGTTGTCGGTCTCGTTGTAGACGCGCATGTCGTGTTGCCACGAGAATTCGGCATTGCCAAGTTGCTTGAAGTCGGCGCCGTCTTCGCCGCTCAGCCGCCACATCACGCTGCCATTTTGAGACAGATAGTAACCTGACCACATGTGGCGCAGCGAGACAAGATAGCCATTGTTGGTGGTGGTGATGGAGTTGATGTGGTAGGCATCATAGGGGGCATCCTGAGTACCAACATCCTTTCCGAGACCCTGGTGGGAAGTGGTCAGGGGAATGTCAGCCTCGTGGTCAAGTGCACTCCAAGCGTGCAGCACCTGGTTGGTAGGAATGTCGATCTCATAGAATTGGCTGTCCAGCATCCACTGGGAGGAGGTACCATTGATAGAAGTCAGGTCATGCTGAGTGACGTTGTAGGCGGTGCAAATGAGAGTGTTGCGGGAAGTAATGTGGCTCTCGTGCATGTCACAGTATGAGTCCTTTCTTGAGCCGTCCGGGGTGACGAAGTCGCCGGTCAGTTGGACAGTGTAGATCTCCTTATAGGTATTGTCAAGGATGTGCACGGTTCCATAACCGTAGCCGATGGACATCATGTCTCCGGCCCAGAAGGTGATAACATCCTTGCCGAAGAGCTTTTGCACCATGAAATTGGCAGTCACCTCTTCCGGGCCTTCGTAAACTAGGTCACCCGCATCATCGTAAATTAGCGCAGCGCAGCCAGCGTCCTGAACGTCTCCACGGGGACCCAGGAAGATGTAGCCGGGATCGGTAGTTCCGGTCTTGTTGACCTCGAGCTTCGGCGGCTCGAATTCCATCGAGTTATAAGTTGAATAGTCCCAAGCAACCACCCGAAGAGACAGAGCCAGGGCGCTGCCTGCCGTGTACCACCATGGAGCCATATCGATCAAAGATCCAGAAAAGAACGACTAAAAGAAAGTATACAATATAGCACAATGAAGGAACGTTAAAATAAAAGAATGACTACAGTAGGGTCGATAAGGCGTGATTTGAGATCTCGACATGGCAGAGATTCTTTTTCAATTAAAATCACAAGCCTTCAAGAAATTCGAGCCCTGAAGATCATTACCCTTCCACCGCGCCGAGTGGGTTGCGATGAAACCATTGTCCAACCAAGTTGGCCAACAACTTCCACCTCTTCCGAATTGTGGAACTATGCATAAAATCCTTGGCCATCATCATTTCTCCGCATGTAGAACCTTTAATCCGACTGATAAATCACGGTATGCGCGATTCATTGCGAGAGGCATGTTCTGGAGTAATTGACCCCGGTATTGGAACTAACAACACAGTATACATCGTAGTAAACCTCACCGATCAAGATAAGACAGTTGCACCGTAAAATGATTGATTCGAGCGATCAGCATGACGATCAATTGCGGTTTTTCTGCGTAAGCTTTGGGTGGACATTGTCGGCAGCTGTGGCGGCAACGTGGGATTACCCTCTTGTTGACGTGTGCGGTTTCATATTAGAAGGTATAGGCCGTTTCTCATGCGCAGCTGCGCAAGGCACTTTCGCATTGTCTGTTACTTGGTCCTCTGTGTATCACTAGTACAACTGGCATGTCAATTTCTCGAAACTTTAGCGTGGTTACCATGAGGGCGTTGTATGTCGAATTGAAGGAATCGTTTTCTCTGTCCTCTGGAGATTGCTGGAGTTTGGACAGTTTGGACAACACATTAATCTCAAGGGGGTTGGAATCCGGTGTACAAACTTTGACCGCAACGTATCTGTTAGATTTCTCGTCCTAGGCCAGCCAGGTCGAGTATGTACCATGACTGAGCTTATGAACTACCCGGTAGTGACTGTAGAAAATATACCAGGCTCTCCTTGAAAATGAGAGGATGTGAGAAAAGAAGCGGAGTGTAAGAGCTTGAGAAGCATGCAGGATCTCATATTTTCCTTAGCAATCAAGGTCTTCTGATCTTGAAATAAAGTCAGTGCATCTCTGGCTTATTAGCCTTACCTGTCTCAACACAACATACAGAGGTCAAGAGCGCGGATGTTGATGCTGTGGGATGACTTTCTTGAGGGCGGTGCGGCACCCACTGAGATCTGCACCCTATACCCTATTACCCTATGTAGTTCTAGCAAACAGTAGCATCGACCAATGTTATAGATATTTATAGGTAGGAACGACAATAAGGTGAATATTGCCTCACATCTTCGCAGCTCAACTCGGGCAAAACATATATAGGCAATGACCTAATCTTATACTCTGTTGAGGATGTGATAATGATAATAATAGATCAAATTGACTGGTTCCAATTGAATCTTTGATGCAGTTTCTAATGAGTTTAGAGCAAGACAGACCCTGCCAGTTGAGATATAAAATGGAGCCAATGCTCAGTGTAAAGTCAGTCTGCCAGGGAGATCTACAGAGCGGGAGATGTCAAAATGCATGGTCTGTTGAGAGATGAGATTTTTATCTATATCCATTTCACTTATCCTCCTTTTGCCGTCGAGACCTGAAGCCCCAGCTACATTTGAATACTTCCCTGCGTTTCAAAATGTCGACTGCGAACACCGTGACATATTATTTTCACGAAAGACATAAAATGATCACCTTGAGGTATCAAACGGCAAGGGAAGGGGAAGTTTATCCGAAGTCCGTCTTTATCGGCTACGCTCTTATTCTTTTAATTTTAATTTTTTTTTTTAGGACCGTGCCTGTTTCTTGACCCATGGCCCCCATGGCGCTTATTCACAACGAATCAATATCCCAGGTCTGAAGCCCATACTACCACTAGCATGCAATGGCCAACTTTTCCTTATATTATCTTGAGTCGGATGAATCGTACGTTGTTAAAGACAGAGGCTGCAGACGCGTCCGAGTACGCTCGTAGATATCCAACGGGGATGGAGTCCACGGATATTCTAGGTAATTAATTACAGGGGGTAATTGCTGGATTGGCGGGGATTGGCGATGTATTGGGCTGAAATATTACCAAAATAGATGGTTGAGTGCCTGTTTCCAAGTATTCCAGAGTATGTCCAGTGTGAAAGTGTTCAATTATGATAGAAATCATTCCCACCATCGCAAGATATTCGCATATTCGCATAATCGCATAATCGCATAATCGCATATTCTTAACATTAACATACGAGTGTTCAATTAGTACTGGGGTAAGGGGACCATTGACTAATAGAAACTCAGCACTGGACCTCGGGTAATCAGAAATAAGGAACATGTGGACCGAGCGATATTCGAGGGAAAATAGCAGTGTGTCTAATATAAGATGGAAGATGTCATTCCATTCACTATAAGCTCGGGTCGAATCACACGGAAGACTTCGCCACCAGTTTCAACCTTGGAGACGGGGAAATAGCGGGGAAACAAGGTGCCCTTTCCTGCCCTTTCCGTGACTCTATGTTCTGTTCTTTTATGTTCATAGTTGAGTTCCTGACATATGTGTTTGGGATTCTTTGGTCTGTGAGTTGTAACCCTTATTGTCTTGTCAGTTGTCATTGGCCTCAAACCCCAAGACCAACGGGAAATTAAAAAACCACATCGTGCAGTAGCTCGTATCCCCATGCCCCATAACGCCACCTCCATGTCTCCGCATCGAATCATCGTGGGGGCGAACCCGGAGGTCTCCGGGGATTTTCCGGGGATTTTCCAAGATGAGGACCAAAGAGGACCAAAGAGGACCAAAGAGGACCAAAGGGACTAGACCTACAATTGAGACATTTTTTTCGATATCCAAAGGTGTTACGCGTTGATCCTTCCAGTTTTCGAGTCTCCCGTTCCCAACCCCTGTAGACCTAACCGTGTTTGACCATCGAGTCATTTAGTGGCCATCTAGTGGCGCAAATTACTTTTCTACGGGTTAAACTAGCCAACTAAGACAAGGAATAACTTTCGTTAAATGGCCGTGCTTATGAAATTTACGAGTTAATAAATTATAACACTCCTTCACTTTGAATTCTTAAGGATGTTGCTCCTATGTGCGAGATAGAGACGGGCTCCTTTTGTGACTTCATGAAGTTTGCACTTCCTTTATTTCCTCGACTCTCTATCGCAAACGCTTCTGCCTGTTTCACCTCTTCGACCTCATTTGCCTAATCCTTATTTACTCTCCACGACAATTCAGCAACCGCCCGCGGTTGACATGAATACAGCCCCACGATGGATACCGATCACATCTCGAAGCCTACCGACCCTGATGCCCTGATCCTCGAAGCTTGGGGTCAGGGTCTGATGGTTGGAAGTCTACTCATTATGGCCGCTATCACTCTTTCCAATATGAAATCACATATTCTCCTGCACAAGCTGATCTTCGCTGAGGTAAGTCAAAAGATTAACCTTGGAACGCAACCATTGAATGCGCTGAACAGAATTTCGGCTAATACTTGCATTGACTATAGCTCATTCTAGCTATGGCCCATGGTACTTTCATCTTCCCCCACGAGCCCGTCTATGGCTGGTATTTATCCGTGACCGCGATCGGTCTCAACATCTCCTGGGCCCTGCATAATGTTATTGCCTGGATGAAGAATCGCCCATTCCTATCGCGAAAGGTTTCGATCATCTACATTACCACCGTTGTTCTCTGCTGGCCCTATTGGGGTCTGGAGATCTATGCCAACTTCACATATTTCAACAATATCAATAAGATTTTCTTGACGACTCGGCCAATGGAGCCATTATTCCGGTTCGTCATTCCCTTTCCGTCCAAATAACGAGTGCTGCCCCTTCAAATTGGAAGTCACTTGTGCCCTAACATCCTCTATCAACAGGGACCCGTGGTGGATCTTCACAACAGCCAGCCTATTCTGGACAATCAAGCGCGAATACAACTTCGGATTATGGGAACTAGTACTGGTCAGCCCACGCTTCGGAATCATGCTGGCGGCCATGTGTCTGTCGATTATTTTCATGATTGTCGATACCTGCAGCGTGCTGAATGCCTTTTCCACCTCGCTCCCAACAGGGGTCGAGCCCTTCTGGAAAGTAAGTTCCCCATCCTGCTCATCTAGTTTTCCCATTTTCCGCAACACACTCTAACCATATCCCAGTTATCCTTTATCTTCAAATGCCTCTGCGACACAGTCATTCTCGACGACTTCAAGACCGCCCTCGATCATTTACGCGTACACTGGATGCGCAAGAAGAACGGACAGCTGTTCCCCACCCCGGTCACCACTCCGAACTCCAACCCTCGTGCATACAGGACACATAGGGATATTGAGATTGGTAATTTGTCTACTGACCATATTACCCCTACGAAGGGTTCTTACGCCCATGCGATACATATGGACAATGTTTAAATGTTTAATGAAATACCCGGAGGGTGCGTGACTATCTGGATTGCGACTTTTCTCTTAGCACTGGCTTTCGACTTCGTACTGTACGCTGGGAAGAGTCTGGTCTCTTGATCTCGGCGTTTCTGGTGAGTTATGGCGTATCCGGACTGAAATTATGGCGATTGTACATACCCCGGTTTGCTTGAGGATAGCGATTTAAAGAATACAAAAAGAAACAAAAAGAAATGAAAACTTCCCCTAGGTTAGATACTCCGATACTCAATAGAACACACAAGTTTCGTTCTTTTCGATGTGGTGCCATAAGTAAGGAGATCTGCAGTGCGCAGGCCCCCTGCCCAGGAGAATTGATTCAGAGAATTGACGTATCTCCATGCAGTGTCATACGAGGTTCTTTTTCCTGGTCTGACTACCAATATCGAACGGTACTTAGGTCTAGCATACTCTATTTATCCGGGTCTGTCTCGTTGATATTCACATCAGCTGCGCAAAGGTTGGCTGTGGGCTGTCTGGAGGGTTTGTTTCATCCAGTCTTCACTTCTCAATCATTCAATTCTCACTTCTCAAGGAACCGATTCTCACTACTGAATGTTGACCAGAGAAACAATAGTCCTTCGCTTTCCCGCGTCGGTGAGATCACCGCTCTCCTAGAGCGTGGGCATTGGCCCTGCTTGGTTCTTCGCTCGTAGTTAGATGATCATCCACCCTTGCGACTATCAACTGAACTCGATCAGATTTTACTGTCTTTCATTTAAAATACTGACGGAGAAAGACCCTCTTGTAAGCCTCAGACATCCCCAGGAAAGCCAAAGAAAGATCTATAGGAGTCTGGTCCCGAGAGGTAGGATAGATTTCGGTCTGTTAGATTTCTGGTGGTTCTAGAAGGGGGTCTCTGACGCTGATAGGGGCATCCCTCGGTGGATTCAAGAGTTAATCAACAGCGACACCGACATGGATGGCCGGTGTGCCACCGTCACGATCGTCGGGTCCAGACAAACCATTGGACTCGGAAGCACTCTGGCAACTCGCAACGCAGCACTGGGCGCGACCAGATAGCGCCCGTCCAGCAGACAGTGCTCATCTCGCGACCATCCGGCAGGAGCTCAAAGGCGATCATCTCGGACGCGCCTTCTTTGGACTCGGGTGCTAACTCAGCAGGATCCCACCAGGAGGCAACTGCGCGGACTTGGTCCCTCCGAGAATCACCCCCTATCCTCTGGAAGAAGCGGATATCATCATGCCGGCCTCGTTCCGGTGACGACCTTTCAATGTCCACAGGAGTGGTATGAAGATCCAATTGACTTCATTAAAGACATTGAGACCGCGGTTGAACGGGATTACGCCCGAGAAACGACGGCGTTGAACACCGCCATGGTACAGACCAAGACATATATCATCGAGCCTTCCTAAAAGAGCTTCTACGTTAACTATAGGCCAGGCATTATATGAATATCGCTAGAGGCAAGGGCTGTCTTTGGAATGTACTAGGGGCTGTAGGCTGGAATGAAGGAAACACGCTCAACGCTAGCGTTTTGTGTGGATGTATTTTCTTGATCAATTTTTGGATTTCCTGTAGATTGAATTTCGGGGTCGGCTTCTCGGTTTGCTACTCGCCGAGATTTCGGGTCCCTCTTCCCTCTTATACGCGCTCAGGTACGTACAGCGCACCTGCTTTACTGCACCGCGGTAGGTATCGCATGGCTAAGAGCCGCTATATTCCACTTTGCGGAAGATACAGTTGTCGCAGGCTCTTTTATGCTTGGCCTATTGAAATTGTGTTCAAAAAGAATGAGTTCGGGATGTACATCGGAATGCGGAGACATCGGAGTCCGCTAAGGGGGGGTAGTTTCGGTAAGTTCGCCGATCTATACGGGATCAGAACAATTGCATGGTCTAATTTGATTTGAATATTGATGTTGATATATTCAAGTTGGATCGAATCTATAGATGATGGCTTTTTGCCTTTGTGTGCACCTAAGACTTCCAAAAAGACCAAAAAGAACATCCAGAGCACCCAAAAAATACATCATAGGATTCTTACATTTAACATGCCTAGTACCATCTTGGTTCTTGGTCGAAATAAATCAAGGACAGAGGCATAAATCAACTACGATAATGTAACGCAATATGAAGCAACATTGGCAAATCTCCAGATCTCGGCGACGTCACCGATGGGCCCAAAGGAAGGTCCAACCCCATTTAACCCCACGCATACAAATATTTGATCTCCCCCGAAAAGTTGCCCTCAACTTTTCTTCACCATTGACTTTACATACCTAACTACAAAAGTAAACATCGAACCACATCAATCATGGCTCTTTCCGCACCCAGCACAGACGTAAGTCCCCCATACTCCCACCATCCCAAACCTCAAACCCCAAACCCCGAAAGCTAACCAGGAAACAGCCTCGAGTCCTAATCGCGCAAGAAACAAGCGCGGAACAAATCTTCCCTAAGTTCACAGCAGACACCGCCTGGCAACTCGGAAATGCACTGAGAGACCGGATCCTCCGCCTCCCGGACGGACAACGCAAGCCAGCCCTGGTCTCCATTGCGCTCAGCGGCGGTGCCCCGCTCCACGTGGTGTTCCAGTCTGCTACAGAGAGCGGCACGATCCCAGACAACGAGAACTGGGTGCGACGGAAGCGCAACACCGTGCTCCGGTTTGGTATCTCGAGCTGGGCTATGAGGCAGAAGACCGTTAGTGGGCTTGTGGCCGGTGCCGAGGCGGACGATGTTGAGGCTGCTTTTGTGCGCAAGTATGCTGTCCCGAGTGCCACTGGCGGTTCTGTTGCGGATGAGTATGCTATCCACGGTGGTGCCTACCCGATTCGCGTGCGTGGTGTTGATGGGATTATTGGTGTTGTTGTTGTTAGTGGGTTAAAGCAGGAGGATGATCATCAGGTTGTTGCGGAGACTATTCAGGCGTTTGTGGCTCAGCAAGCGAAATAGATGTCGTATTTAGTATTATAAGAACATTTAGATGACAAGAAAAACGTTCACATGATCCTTACAGAAGTGAAGCGAAGGAGGCCCCCGGGGACACCATGTACCTTTTGCGTGGGAATCCCATGCCTTGGCCATATGTATTGCGTACGTAAGTAGTAAGGAACACCAGCATAACGTTATTTAGTTCGATCGAAAATATTTCTATTGGCTTGTTTACTGCGGTACTATCTTTAATAAAAGAATGCAAGGTATCATTGTATTGTATTCTGAGCCGGCGTTCAACAACCAGGCCAAAAAGTTGGATGGGACACCAACAATGCCCCGTGTAGATTCGAACACAAAAGGGGACTCAAGCAAAAGAAAAAAAAGTGGAACTCCATGAATAATGCCTCAAAGATAATTTTACAGTTCGTCGTGGTCAAGGGGCTCGTCATCCTCATCAGGAGAAGCAGAGCCGTACAGCTTGCTGGTGATGGGGTAAGCCACACCGGAAAGCTGCTCCTTCTGCTCCTCAAAGTCCTCCATGGTAGCGGTGGCGGCGTTGTCCTCGAGCCAGTCGTTGACCTCCTTGACAGCGTCGAGGATAGACTGCTTGTCATCCTCATCGATCTGGCCACCCAGACCGTTCTCGTCGTTGACCTGGTTCTTCAGGCTGAAGGCGTAGTTCTCAAGGCTGTTACGGGCCTCGATCTTGCCCTTGATGGCCTTATCCTCCTCGGCGTATTGCTCAGCCTCCTGAACCATGCGGTCGATCTCCTCCTGGGAGAGACGACCCTTGTCGTTGGTGATGGTGATGGACTCAGCCTTGCCAGTGCCCTTGTCGGAGGCGCTGACCTTGAGGATTCCATTGGCATCGAGGTCGAAGGCGACCTCAATCTGGGGAACACCGCGGGGCGCGGGAGGGATGTTGGTCAGCTCGAACTTGCCGAGCATGTTGTTGTCCTTGGTCATCGAGCGCTCACCCTCGAACACCTGGATCAAGACGGTGGGCTGGTTGTCAGCGGCAGTCGAGAAAATCTGCGACTTGCGGGTAGGGATGACAGTGTTGCGGGGAATGAGCTTGGTCATGACACCGCCAGTGGTCTCGATACCGAGAGTGAGGGGGTTGACATCCATGAGAACAACTTCGGCCATGGAGTCATCACCGGACAGAATACCACCCTGAACGGCGGCACCGAAGGCAACAGCCTCATCGGGGTTGATACCCTTGCTGGCCTTCTTGCCAGCAAAGAACTCCTCGAGAAGAGCCTGGACCTTGGGGATACGGGTAGAACCACCAACAAGAACGATGTCATCAACCTCGGACTTCTTGACCTTGGCATCCTTCAGAACCTGCTCAACAGGCTTGAGGGTCTTCTTGAACAGATCAACGTTAAGCTCCTCGAACTTAGCGCGGGTAAGGGTCTCAGAGAAGTCCTCGCCGTTGTGGAAGGCCTCGATTTCAATGCGAGTGGACATCTGGGAAGACAGAGTACGCTTGGCCTTCTCAACCTCGCGCTTCAGCTTACCCATAGCCTTAAGATCCTTCTTGAGGTCGGTGTTGTTCTTCTTGTTGTACTGCTTCACGAAGTACTCCATGACACGGTGGTCGAAATCCTCACCACCAAGGTGGGTGTCACCAGCGGTAGCCAGGACCTCGAAAACGCCGTTGTCAATGGACAGAAGAGACACATCGAAGGTACCACCACCAAGATCGTAAACAATGACCTGGCGCTCGTCACCGGTCTTATCAAGACCGTAGGCGATAGCGGCGGCAGTGGGCTCGTTGACAACACGGAGGACGTTGAGACCGGCGATAGTACCGGCATCCTTGGTAGCCTGACGCTGGGCGTCGCTGAAGTAGGCGGGAACGGTAACAACGGCGTGGGTGACAGTCTTGCCCAAGAAGCTCTCGGCGATCTCCTTCATCTTACCGAGGATCATGGCGGAAACCTCCTCAGGGGTGAAGGTCTTGGGGGACTGGTTGACGTCGACCTTGACCTGGGGCTTGCCATCCTTCTTGACGACCTTGAAGGGGTAGTTCTTGACGTCCTTCTGGATGTCCTTGTCATCAAACTTGCGACCAATCATACGCCTGTGATGCGTTAGTGTTTAATTCATGTCGTGATTGGTGTAGTGGAAGCTTACTTGATGTCGAAGACAGTGCGCTCGGGGTTGGCGGCATATTGGTTCTTGGCGGCATCACCAACGAGGCGCTCCTCATCGGTGAAAGCAACGTAAGACGGGGTAATACGGTTTCCTTGGTCGTTGACAAGAATCTCGACCTTGCCGTTCTGCATCACACCAACACAACTGTAGTAAAAGTTAGCAACCTGTTTCATTCAACACCAATAGTTTTCCAAACTGTGACAACTTACGAGTAAGTGGTTCCCAAATCAATACCGATAACATTGCCGTAGCTCTCAGGGGAGTTCTCCTCCTGAGCGTTGGCGGTGTTTCCAAAGAACGCCAGAGGCGCGACGAGAACGAAGAGGAGGTAGAAGATGGTGGTCCAGGCGAAGGGCTTGGATGCGCCATCGCGTGCGGATAGGCGAGCCATTGTGAAGGATGTATGTATAGATAGGTGGATCGAAGTCCTTTTTCAACACGAAGACAAAAAAAAGCTGTCGTTACAGAAACTTTGCGCGTGCCGCTCTAAACAGCTGCGCAGACGAGTAAACACAAGGCGTGTTTGACTCTATGAACCCTTATGTTAGTTGATGATATGTGGGAAGGGACCCAGGGCGAAGTGAGTGAATGGGAGAATGGTTAGGAGAAGAATCGAAGAAAGAGGACTTCTTGTACGCGGATATGGCCCAGCGGCCATGCTGGCCTTTTCCCAGTTCAGGTCACTTCTCGCTCGCTGATTGGCTGGAGTTCATTCGGCAGTGGCTGACTCAGAATCCGCCTTGTATACACACCGCCTTCTTCAACAGGCACCATGCCTCCCAAAGTAGTCTAGTGGCAGGGGTTTATCCACTAACTACTCCGGACTTCCACCAATCAACAGCTGCCAAATGATCGAACTTGCTAGAAGGGACCAAATGTTTGCCCCTTCGGGAAATTCAATCTCAGGTGCTGAAGTTTACCCGGTTGACTCATGTCCTTGCTACAGACCACGTGTTGCTAAATTGTTCTATGCTACATTGTAACAGTCTAATCTGATGTCGATTCATTGATTATGACAAGTGGTAACTCGATCGAGAGAAAGTGCTGTCGAGGTATACTCCGTACTGCGGGCCTAGATGTTGGCCGGGGATCTCCCGAGTAGGGGGCGTGGCACAGAGCACCCACCATGCCCTGGGAATTTAGTACAGCAGCTTATGAGTCTAACTTTAATGGCACTACTCATGCGATATACTTCAATAATTCATTCAATAATTGAGCCTGGAATTATTTCCCAAATAATATCTGAATGTACGTCCGAAATCAAATCCAAGGAACATGCCTATCAACGGGGCAGTCCTGGATCGAATACTACT